ATGTCCTGTTAGCAGAATGCCTAATGTAGACGAGTCCAAGACAACCAATAACACTCCGTTGCATGAACTCCACATACAAAAATCCACGCTGAGTCATCTCGATTCCCAGCGGTATGACACTAGTACTATTTATGATGGCAGTCATTTAAATTCGCCTTTATTCTTTCTGCTGAACAATACACCTAAATTGAACCCCATTCGCCCATTGAAACGCTCCCAAATTCCAACAGTTTTTGGGTCAGATGTCTCTTTTACCAAGTGCTGCAGCTTCTAATGTCTTTTCTCCTGCGTGAAGTACCCAACAGTCCGGTGCAGTCTTACGCCAAATTCCGCAAAACTACTTGCCCAGTGTATCAGGCGAACTTAAAAACACCCCCACCGGTAGTTTGCAACCTCGGAGGACCCTTTGAGCATGTGCACACTGACAGAGATTCTCCGTGTAAAACGCCTGTGGGCCTACTTCTCACCCACTAGTATGGTCAGGGAACATTGGCTACAGCCCCGACTCATTCAATTATCTGGGGTGCATTGGGTAATCTTCACCTGAAAAGCCTGTAGCTCTCATATAATTTTTTTGGCCTAAGCTAACCAATTCCACCGGCACCATCTTTACCTCCAATGCTGATGCTACCACTCCAGAGCCGCTGAGCCACTGTAATACTTATAAGAACAATAGCTTTGTTTCAAACGAATTTTGTTACGTTTTGGAATCCTCGGCATGATGTGTTGCAACAGCGACCCAACCCTCACCTCCGGTCATCTTTCAGTATCGAGATAATTACGCCAAACCAAAGCTATCTCGGATGGTCAAGATGACAAACAGGAAATAGTTTGTCTGCTATAATAGTTCCCATTATCTAGTTGACTATTTCGGCTGGACAAGGTTGCTTTCTTGGCAAAGTTTAGCGAAGGATTTCGCGTAATAACGCTGGTTTTCTTGCGGTCGCTTACAGAGTTTCTTACAGAACACAAAACGTGTTTGACCAAAATAGATGAAATTCATGGCCCTATCGACTTCGGCCGAATAGAGCCCTATACTTGTGAGCTTTTACGAGTGGCGATCAAGGATGGAGTCACTTCGAAGCATGAAGCGTGTTCAGGGCTGTGGAAACGAGTGGTCTCAGTAAAATTTTGGTCCCTACGGAGGGTGTGCTTTTGATATATTCTCAGTATCACATCCTTCTTGAATAGTACAATCAGATAGCCAAGCATCATCCTAATAAGAAAACCAGCTCACCGGAGCGCGTTCAAAATATAGGTACTTACTCGTTAGTCAATAAATTCAACTTTTCATTTATGGTGAAGGACTGAGGTATACTACACCCTCTCACCAGTATCGATTATGTGCGAGGGCACTGGCTAAAAATTCAAAAAACATCGTGAAAGGTAGTTTGATGGAAGCTTCTTCTATTCCGTCGATAACAGTTTGAACCATTTGAACGAACTTCGCGTTTGTGGTTCTCACTTTGAGTGATTTACAGAAGGAATTATTTGTCTGAGGATGTAATATCAGTCACTTTCATGGGAAAATCTAGTGAGAAGCTAGGTTTTTACAGCGATATGTACTCAAAAGAATATCACATTTCAATCGGCTTGTCATCATTGTAATTGGTGCTGAAGGTCAGGCGGGGTTTCGAAGTAACGTGGGTTTACTCTCTGGTTTGTTTGTGTGCGACTAAATATTCTGCCGAATTGCTTTCCTAGCGCTGTCATAGTGTTTATACTCAATTCAGAGTATGATGAAAAACTATCTGATCGCTTTCACAGGAGTGTTAAGACGACTCAGACGATCTATTGACTGGTCAACAGTAATGAACTCGGACGTTGCACGGATATTTTGTATTTTAGAATAAAATTCTATACACGCTTCACTCTTGAAAATGAGTTGCTTATTTTAAGCCATCCAAGGTGCTTAGGCCCAAAAAATATAGATGAGAGTGATGTAAACCTACCGTTACACGCCAGCTACCTGAGTGGCCCCATTTGGGGCTGATTCAGGTTTCAGATTTGTTGCTTGAGGATGGGAGCCTGGACTTATCCTTTTACAGTAGATCCCTGTGCTTGTCCAATCTTCTTAACGAGTCACTTGATCATGCGAACACTACTTCTGGTAGTCGGTTCCAGGCCTTGATTACTCGACGGGATAATCAGTACTCTGTGGAGACTATGTTCGTTCTTCGCTTTTGTAGCTTCCTACCATGTCCTCTGAGATGTTCCGACCTAGTGGGAAGGAAAAGAGAAGATAGATCAGGTTCGAAGTCATTTCTTAGAATCCTGTATATCATGATTAGGTCTCTCTGTCTGCAATGAGACAAAGTGAAGAGGTTCAGCTCCTTAGGTCGGTCTCTATAGGTGAGGCCAGCCATCGCAGGGATCACACGAGTGACTGGCCTCTGAACTCTTTCTGGAAGGTCTGCTTCATTTTTCAAACAAGGATTAGCCGCCTGTATACAGTTTTCTAATTTAGACCTAAGGATGTGTATAAGGTGATGAACATGTCACCACTTATTTTCGTAAACGTTCTACGTAATACCCAGAGAGTCTTAAAACTCCGAGCTGCTGCCAATCGACAGTGAGCCGTGGTTTTCAAGTCATAACTCTCTTTGGCTCCTAGGTCATTGTGGGTCAGTACTGCCGGTAGATTCTGTAGTACAAATCTCCAGGTAAATTTTGAGGAATGCATTACATGTTCTGGACTGCTCGAGGTGCTGTAAGTTGGCCCAGTTTGGTGCAGTGCACTTAACTCTTCCCAGAACTTTATTGCAGTGTTGTAATTATTTTACGGTCATCTCTGCATAGCCCTTACATCCGACCTGAACCGGTGTACCATGACATTCTACAACAAAAAATTTTTGTACGAAAACTAATAAATCATGCAGATCGGTGTTGTTTTATGGTCCAGTAAGACAGGCAATCCACATGCGACGTGGCATTACTTCGTAACAGTCGAAGTTGCCACAACCCATATCAGTACCCCAAGCGAAGGTGCATTAAGACAGAGGGTAAAGAATTGAAAAAGCTATAGAAAGTCTTCGAAAAAGAGCAAGGAGGAATAAAAGTGCTAGAATCGAGTTTGACGATTAAGATCATGTGTAGATGCATCTGCACCGTTTAGACCGATTCTGAGCTATTCCACCTAGAGTCTACAACTGGTTTCTGTTGTCACACGGATCCCAACCGGGCAGTCTACGCCCCACCTACACAGACCAGAGCAACAGCCAAATACGTCAGTGACCGATACCATGTCTTTGTCGTGTCCTAGCCACCTGAGTCGATGACGGTTCACAACATCTTTAACTGATTTACCCATTCTCCCTAAACTCTACGCATGACATCTGCTTTAATGACGAGGTAACTGCAGAACACGGTCTACGCTTCAAAAGCACTGCTGGTCAAAAGCCAGAAGCCTTCTCACGTCTACCGTAAGGGGCCATGTTTCACATCCATAGAGTAGAACAGAACAGACTGTAACACAGGACGCAACCCTTATTTTAAAGTCGGATGTCAAAGTGGCGCCACAGATGACATCAGTTGACGAAAGGTAGCCGAGGCTTTATATTCGGGCAAACATATCGTCGGTCACTGAGTTGGTCCGACTTTATAGGTGTTTGAAGTGATTTTTAACGTGCTCATTCACTCCACTCCGCATTCTTAAGCAATGGACAAGCGACGACCAATCCCAGAGCAACAGTTTGTATCTCGATGGTGAATTACGCATCCCAAACATTTTCAAATTGCCACTTATGGTGTCCAGAAGGCGGTATATTTTCAACGTCTTCACGTAACGATGCAATGTCATCTGCGTACTGTAGATGTATTAGGGATTATGTGACTAGATCAGATGAGGATAGAAGGACCTCCATATATACCTCCATGATAAAGTTGAGTAAGAATGAAGTGTGGACATCCCTGAACACCACTTGATGTACATAACATGAGCTGTAGCTCACCTACGGGTGTTCGAGTACAAAGTCTTCAACAGAGCGATGCACTTACGCCCCTTCCGTTTCTGTGAAGGATATTTTCGTATTCTGTATGGTCTTTTGGATAGTGATCAATCATAAGGCGGTTGGCTTTGTGAATTATTAAGCTGTGATCGGAGTCTGAGGGCAAACATGATCGCTATCTTGATGGGAATGTAGTAGCAGTAATGTGTTTCTCTTGGATGACACGCAGTGCTACGCTTATGCTTTCTGCCCTATGAGAATAGCAGATTAGAAAGTCGTTCCCCAAAACAGCACGCTACTATTACCCTGAGGCCTTATGTGACGGGCCTCTTGTGCTCTGTTGTCACGCCCTGTCCTTCCTTTTTAAGATACTTCAAGGAGAATTAGCCTTCCACAGTTTGGGAAGCCGGGAAGTGTCAACAGCCCACACGCTTTCAGGAGTACACATGACCCAATCAAACATAACATCCTCTTCAACTCCGTCTCTTCTTTTGCCTTCACCTCCTGATACTCATATTTAACCTCTTTCGTCTTTCTCAGCTTCTCACTCTGTTGCCATTTCGAATGATCAAAGTCATCGAAACCTCGTTCCTAGTCTCCTAAAACCTCGCCATCGATTTCATGTGAAAGCTTTCAACAACCTAACTGTTACTGACAAAATCAACGTAGAAACTAGCATACAAATGAGTCGGCTCAAGTTGACATACTTCAAAGTAGTACACAAACAATATCAACAATATCAAAGAAGATTAGGTTGTACGAGAGAATAAAAAATCTGAAGATAACGGTTAGTGCAGATATTCAAGCTTTAAGGGACATCAAAGAGTGGATAAATCTGATTTATTTCATATGATTGCTTCCTAGGTATGAAATACGAAACTTTTGGTGGGAGATAATCTAATTTTTGAATATATTTTGAGTTATAAAAGTCATCCTTTCTGATCAAACGTCAATGTCTGGAAGTAATCGTTTTTCATCATAATTAGTATTCATATTACTCTCCATAGTGTTGAATTTTCTTTCAAAAATTCATTTTTATAGGTTGCCTACTAAATGGCCAGTTTCGGCACCTCTATGCAACCTTGCTGCAGTAAAAATAATGCTACTATTTTATCAAGTTTCCATAATGAACAGGGATATGCTGATTTAAAGTGTATAAAGGGTAAAAGTGTTAGGGAGAGATTCCATGACCTCTTACCGCCTTCTCCTACAGTCGCCATAAAATATGAACTGGATAATCGAATTGATGGTTTTAGGGAAGCATGCTTGCAGCTGGTTGGCAAGGATTCAGTTAATCTCAAAGAACTTGGCACCGCTGCCATGTTCATTTTACTTGGAGATATGGGTGAACAGTTGGTGGAGTTGATAAATCGAGGCATTTCTGTTATAGACATTTCTCGTCATTGTTCTCTAAAGACATTAAAGCCTAAAATATTAGGTAAAATTGGTGGTTCAGGAGCTGAAAACGTTGAACTTGCTTGGGTGGATGTATGCAGATGTCTTGGTGGCTTATTAGCATACCATCCGTTTAAAACAGTCAAACGTGATGAATTCGATGATCTTTTTCGTCAGTGTCGTGTTGTTTATCAGAATGAATATTTTATCACAAAACATATGACTAGTTCTCATAAACATCGAAAAACAGTCAATAAAAGTGTTTCAAATAAAAAGTCTCCAGTGCTACATGCTCAAGGGCAGAGAAATGGAAATGTAGATGAAATTGAAATTCCTAGTGATATTTTAGAAGATGCAATAACTGATCCATTCAGGTAAGATATCTAATCGTTTTTTCCACATTGCTTTTTTCTAAGCCACTATATGGTTTTTGAAACAAAATTGTTTTGTAGAGGGTCATTTGTACCAAGTATACATTGTTACTGCCAGGTTGTTCCAAATGATTATTCCTATTTCTGCCTAGAATTATAGTGAGGCTATTGTCACTGTCAAGGGCTTACACATTTGTATAAAGTGAATACGAGGTGTTTCGAACAGTAGCCAACTGTCTAGCAAATATTCTACCCAGATGAATTGTGTCCTCATAGTAATGCTTGTGTGTAATTGAACTACAGACTGAATAATATTGAGGTTAATCAGAGAATACTGGGCAAGGAAGGCAAGCAAGTCGATGAGGTTGTGGACGTGCATTAACGTTTGGTGGATGGACATATGTTGTGAATGCTCAACTACCATCTAACTTAACTTGTAATGCTAGTCGAAGTAGGACTGGGTTGGAAGAAGACAAAGGCTGTTCAACCCAAGATGTGGCATCAGTCGATGAAGTCTCTAATCGTTGGTTTGAATTGTGTAGAAAGATGAGGGTACCTAGTTACACTTTTAGAGAGGGGAGGAATCATTGGTTGCATACTGTTCGTTATGACTGAAAATCGATCACGATAGCGCTAATGTATGCAATCTTCGTCATCCTCTAAGTCTTAAACATTCTGATATTCATGTGTTTATGCCATCTCCTCATACACATTAGTCTACTTTAATATCATTTTCTGTACGCTTACTCCTTGCGTAGTGGTGTGTGTAGCAAATCGGACCGATACACATCTGCACTGTGTTCTACACCGATTTTTCAGTTTGTTTGTTCACCTTTTAACTGTAACATTAAAAATTTGCAACTTGATTCATTATCAGGTGCAAAGAGTGGGTTCCTTTCAAGGAAATAAGCGGTCTGACAGTATTTTTCGTGACAAACTAACTGCAATAGAGGAACTTAAGCATATTGACTTATGATTGAAAGCTCTGCAAATTCTACTGCTCTGTATTTTATGATATATCATTATTTATTTGTCCCTTGGGTTCCTACTGGAACATATGGTTTCAGTAGCATGTCTCTACAAACTCTTGAACCTGGCCCCACGACAGCCCACAAGCTCTCATTTCCTCCTCGCACGATCTCCTCCATGTCACCCTCAGCTGGGACGCCCAACTCATCGCTTCCCATGGGGATTCCACTCGAGCAACTGGCCTGGTGGGTGATGTCCCCAGTCGGCCTTCTCAATGTATGCCCAATCCATCTCCACTTCCTTCCACTGCATATTTGTTGGGTGATAGGTTCCTGGTTGGTTCGTTCCCAGAGCTCCTTGTTGCTTATTCTGGTTATTCTGGCTATCTGATCTTCAGTAACGAGCCAGCGTAAGCAGTTGTTGATGAATGTCTGTAGTTTATTGGAAATCCCTTTCGTGACGCACCGCCAAGTCTCTGAGCCATACAGAAGCACAGACTTGACTGGATTGGTGTTGAAAATCCGGATCTTGTTCTTTATGCTGAGTGCAGAAGATCTTCACACTGGTTTCAGGTAGATGAACGCCTGTTTTGCTTTTCCGATCCTCTAACAAGATCTTAATTGAAAACGGTTAAGATTAGTCACAAATACGTAAATGCCACCAACTCAGATTACTAAGGATTATATACTCATTTAGAGATTTACTCTTTCTTAGTGACCGTGATGAAAATTGGTTTTGCGAAGACATGATTAGAAGCTGTGTCTCGTAGATAAATATTATATTTCTAGTCATCTGCACAAGTTGAAACTAAATGTTCTTATGTATTGAATTATTATTATTGTTACTTGTATAGGCGACTTCTCCTTGGTCCCTTAATTGAAAAGAATAAGCAAAATATAAACCAACCTGGACCATCTTCCTCACTACATACTACTAATCTTTCTGCATTGACACAAAAGTTGTCATGTAAAGCTAAACAGCTGGATATATCAGAAGAACAATTTATTCAAATGATTTTCGATATTTTAGCATCTTCTAAATCAAATGAACAAGTCCAAGAAGAAGTAAGAATATTTTTATTTTCCTACTATTTGTATCGTAGTTAATGGATCAAATGATATTCTTTTACAATGTTTCATGTTTTATTACCGTTTAAACGATAGTTTTAAGCAGTGCTGAGTAACCCTTGATCAGACTCCCCCCTTCCCCCCAAGATGTCATCTTTTAAGCACCTTGGTTACGAAGTAAACTATCTCAGTAGTCTCTAAGATCCTAGGGTTCATAATTATCCAATAACTTGAGAACAGCAAGCTCCAGACAAACAGACAGGTGTATAGAACATATCTTTACTATTCGATAGGTTGTGGAACACTGATATACATAATAGCACTAGGCACTTGTTATATTTCTTGACCTGAAGGGTGGCTTTCGGTTTTGTCAATCTACGGGGGTGTTAGGCAGTGTCCGAATATGTCAAATGTACTGACGGACTAAGTATTTTAGGCTTATCAAGGATTAACTTACTCTTTGCTAAGCAGTTACCTTATTTGGAGTACGCAGAGGATATTTTCCTGTTAGGTGAAGACGTTGACAAACTTCAGAGTCTTCTGCAAGCTTTGAGCAGAAATCTGAGTACGTCTAGCATGCTTTTTACGCTTTTTCAGCATAAAATAATGTTTAACGGTAGGCTTACATCTAATCATAGTTTTAGAATGATAGAGAGGCTGTTGATCTCTCCACTTGGCGAACATAAAACTATCTTTTGTGCCCAGAGATTTGCTGTACTAACTGTCCCGTTTGTAAACTATCTGTTAACCGTTTCCTTAAACAGATTTTATGCAAAGAGTAGCATTTAGCTTGCATAGAGTACTTTAGAGCTAACTTTGTGGAACTGTAGGTCATCAGTCTTAGCATCTGTCTATTCATTTCCCATCATCTGTTTACTTCACTCCCCTTGATTCAACCTGAGCAACTGAATGATATCTCAAGCCTCCGAACATTAGGAGTATCTCGTAGTGTTGTTTAAAAACATCAAACAGGTTACTTAATTGCACGATTACATCATATTAGGTAATCTCTTCCATGTAATTGAGTATCCATTCTGTTAAAAGTGGTGGCTTTTGGCTGTTGTGTTTGTATCTCAGGTCTCAAGATTAATATCAGCTACAAAATTCATAATATATGGGACAAAAAGTTAGAAGATAAAGCGTTGAAATTTTTTTAGATGATAAGATGAAAAGTGCATGCATTATTGAATCATAGTGTTGAAATCTGGTATCCGCAATCGTGAATCTGTGGCTCATTAGTCCAGGCACTTGAGATCCAACCGATGGGTCGTGGGTTCAAGCGCCACTCCACATGGTAAGGTTTGGGTAGCCAGGTAGCATCACTAACTTTCAGCTGACGAGTTCCGAATAGGACTGAACGTGCATCCTAGGTTCCAGTACTAGCCACAATCAAGTTAACAAACAATGTATAATATGATTATATTAGAAGACAAAGGTGATCGGAACAAGTCACGATCGCAGCCGGTGACGTTTCTAACCTAATCTCAGCCGCTTATAGGTGTATTTGAATTGGCTTATGATGATTTTATTAGTCAGGACCACTTAGCGACATGGTGCATAATCTTTTACAGTGGCATTGATGTGTTAGCTGTGCATCATCTTCCAAACGCCAAACACTTGGTTGTTGTGTATTTTTTCTTTCTTACCTGGGAAGTCGAATCAGCCCTGGTTCGTCAGTGGCCGATGAAGTTTCTGCACGGATACAAAAGGCTCTGTTGGCTTTCGCCAACTTACGCCACCTATGGCGCCACCGTGATATCCGATTACCTGTTAATACTCACGTGTACTACATAGCAATCCGGTCTGTTCTACTCTATGACTGTGATACGTGGCCATTAAAGGTAGAGGACATCAGAAGGGTGGCTGCAGGTGTTTGACTAACGTTGCCTCCATAGCATAGGCCATATTCCGTGGTGTCACCACATGAGTAACGCAGAAGTCAGGCTTAGGTGTAGAGTTTTAGGGAGAAGAGGTAAGCCAGTTGATGCTATTGTAAACCTTCATCGAGATGGTTGAGACACGTGTTATATATGCCTAGTCGCCATCTGCCTCACCACACAATGTTGGCCGAAGTAGCTTCAGGCTGGTAAAAAGCACGAGGTGGCCAGACTAAAACATGACATCAATGTATGAAGTGTTTGACTGTTGGTTTGAGCCATGTGGGTGATGCAGACTAGCCGGTTGGGGTCGGTAAAACGAGAGAAGCCAGTGGTTGGGATCTCAAAGTGATCACATGGCTGAGAACCGATGTCAATGGCGCAGATGCATACACACATCATCCTCACATTAACCACTTTACTTAGCATCGTTATCTCATCCCTTCTTCTCCTCGTTCACTACTTTCTACTTTTACTTCCTTTAACCTATTTTTCTTTCCTTCATCTTCCGTTTTATTGCCTTGTTAACTTGGTGTACTGATATGAGGTATGAGAGCTTGGACTGTTACGCAGTAATGCCTGATCCTATGTTGATCTTGATGATGATAGTGTTGTTCTTTTCATATTCATATGTTTAATAACCTCATTGTTTCTGACACTGAATGTAGCGTAGAATTATTTCTGAATATATATTTTACGAGTCTAGTGTTGTATATTTGTAGATGTTTGGTCTCCAGTTTTACAGGTTTTCACATTTCTTTTTTTTTTTTTGAGGTGTATGCCTTTCGATGTCTCACTCGCCTCATAGATGTAGCGCACCCACAGGTGTTCGAGTAAAGAGCCTTCAGTAGGGTGATGTACGTACTCGGTATCCTTTTCAATGAGAGACATTGCCATAAGACTTCTCTATCAACGGAGTCGAGTGCCGCCTTCAGGTCGAGAAATGCAGCTCTTGTCGGGCCTCGGTAAGCGTGTTTGTGTTTGAGAACCTGACGGAGTGTGGATATTTGGTCGATACACCCATGAACAGGTGTGTAGCCTGCCTAGTTTTCTCTGGCTTGCTATTCCCAAGCTGCTCTCAGCCGTTTAGTGATTATAGGACCTGGAATCTCAGACAGTATGTTCTCAAGGCTGAGTCCTTTGTGGTTATTAAAAGAATACTTCTCTCTACTACTTCTACTAAGATTACATGACTCGTAGATTATTGTTTTGGTTGTATTGTGTTCTCTGAGCTGGCTGGGTTGCTTAATCGTGAGGAAGCTTTCATCGTCCTTCTAGACAGTGACATTAGCACTAACTTCAGTATGCAGTGAGTGAGCTGTCAGTATGTCTACGTGAGTGATTTATTAGCTTACCGTGACCGACGGGTTTGTGATTTGTTGTTTCCTTGACTATTGTGTCATTGACTGCATATATTTTCCTGCTAACTGTTCTACCTCACCTGTGACCTTTCTGTCGTTCATCATTTTTCTCATTGTTTGATAGATTGGGTCTATGTATATACATCTATTGATTACTGACTGACTGACTGACCTGAATGCCACCAAGCTTCTAGGAACTCTCTGATATTCTTTGTGTTTCCCCTCTCCGTCTAAATTTTCTAGATTGTCAGAAGTTAATTCATATCTATAGTTGTTATCCACGTGCATTGAGATGAGTAGTGGAATGTCGTGACATTGAATAGCCAATTGGTGTTTATGCAGATGAAGACGAAGAGGGTGACCACTTTGTCCAGTGTAGTGTTGACTACAGTTATTGCAGTTGATTTTGTAAATGATATTCAGTTTGTCTTCTTTGGTTGTTGCATCCTTTGGTCTGCATAGTTAGGGGTTGGAAGGAATTTGTTGGTTTATGAGGCGCCACACCAATTCCACCAAGTGGTCCCAGTAATGTTGTCGTGACTTCGTGGGTAGCCGTTCTTCTTTAGGATGGACATCAAGTAGTTTTCTTCGTTTCTCCATGAAGTTGTTTTGCTGCAGTGTGTTGTCGCTCTTTTGAATTGAGTCTGCACGCAACTGATCTTGTGCGTTGTTAGTACTGAAGTTGAGGATTTGGTCAGTGTGTGTGTGTTGCCTTCCTGTACACTTGAGTTTCCAGCTTTCTGGCATTTTTCCTACTGACTAAAACATCTAGGAATGGTAGTTGGTTGTTTAACTCCTTTTCCAGTGTGAATTTGATGTCATTGAAAACGTTGTTAATCCCAGCTCAAAGAACACAATACAACTAAGGCCATCCACCTGAGCTACAAATATTCTCTACGATTACTGTTTTCGTTTAGCCTTTCCAAACTATGCTTTAAAGTAATACACCATATATATATATATATATATATATATATATATATATATATATATATATATTGGTTTTTAACTCATTCATTCTGTCTACAGTGTATAACAGGTAAAGGTAGGTGGCTTTGTTTTTCTCGTTGTTTTCATTGATTAGTTGTACACTGCGTACACATACTCGCCCATTTCATTTTTCTTATTTTTTTCCTTAGTTATTCGAGTTGATTGGATTAGACTGTATTGATATCATTTTCGATTTGGTAAATCAACGTAGTGAATGGACAAATGTCTACTTTTCAGTTGAAGGTAAATTTGTATAAGTATTCATTACTGTTAGCCTAATGTTTCATACTATTGTATGTTATCTAGTCTGTTTATTTGTTCTCCTTGTAGTGTGCGATATCATCAGATATGTTTTTTTAATTGGAACTGAACTTTAGAAGATTAGTGAGAAAGCCGTTACACTTGGTGTGAAATCCTGTATACATACTTATCCTAGTTAGAATTTTCCATTGAAGTGTAATGATTGTAGTGTATACCTGTAAGATTGAAATCCGTAGCATTATTGTAACTCAACATTCACAAACAGGCTAATGAAATAGGCTGTTAACCATACTTTTTATATTATGAACTAACAGTACTACTAATCAATTCAAAACATGAACTTATGATCTGACAATTTTTCGATGTTATTGACTATACTACTAATGAGTAGTTAATATTTCTGTGCAGTCTGAACATTGGCCGTTGCTTGATTGGTCGAGGTTGCTATATCTTTGGCTAGAAAAGTTGAAGGAGACACTTGAACGCTGGTTTTAACTACTATTATCATTTCCTGGGTTGCTGTTTTCTTGTTATCATACATCTGCTAGCATCAAACTAGCGGCTAAATCAGCGAGAAGCAGAATCTAAATGGTCAGCCAACACCGCATTATTATTTGTATTTACTAAAACAGGTGGAAGGTTGACAAGGCCTTAAAACGTAGGCCGCCTAGTCAGAATGGGGAGGGGTGAGGACCAGGAGGGACCTTAAAGGCTACCCTAGCAATAACCGAAATGGAATAAAAATCTGGTCAACAACCGTTCCCTCGTAGCTCAGTTGGTAGAGCATCGGGCAGGAAACCCTGTGGTCACTGGTTCGAATCCTGCCATAGTCCAAATTTCCATCTCACCTTCACTCATCACCCAGCATCAGTTATACTGGTCTGCAAAACTACGGCTGTTTCTGATAGTAAAAATGATTATCAATAGGATGCTCCTCCTCTCTAATTCAGTAAACCTTAGATCGGGATGAAAAGTCCCGACTAGGTAGCCAGCGTGACTACGACCAAGCAGCAGTAACGTATCATGAATTCACATGGTAGTCAGGCAAGACCTTTGGAGATTGGAGTGAAATAAAAATGTGGTCAGTAGTTGGACCTTGTAGACCAGTTGGTAGAGCATTGGTCCGGTAACCCGGTGGTGGCTAGTTCGAATGCGGCCGCGGTCCATATTTTCATTTTACCTTCAATCATCACTCAGCATATAAACAATCGAAGTAACCACTTAGGTTTCTCCATTTCAGCTGGAAAGGCAGATTTTAATGAAAATAAGACAGTTTAATTGGTTATTTCAGTTGTTAATAGGGTGGTCTTTAAAGTCGCCCGAGAACAAAGACGAGACATAGGAAGGAAATTCGAAATTGATTGACTGTGCCTTTTGTCTACAAGAGAGGTGATGAAGTTGACATTTAGGTGCTTCGACCTTGTCACTACCACCATTTACTAACTGTAGCTTGTAGTTAGTTAAGCCACCTCGAAACTTAATGTATAAAATTATATATTAGTCATTCAGTATAGAATTACTAATTATTGTTACTAGGAGACCAAGCACTCTTTTGACTTTGTAAGATTATAGCGCGCTTTTCTTCAGGGAATCTAAAGGTTGTTTGACATACTACCGAGACAACAGTCAGAAAACTCTATTCAATCTGAGAAAAGATTAGAAGTCAAACTTGTTGGGATAAGAATAGAAGAATTGCAGAAAAATGTGATATTGGAAAAACCCACCCATATTCGAGGTGTGCAAGATCACAGCATATGCTGAACCGAAGACAAACTAACCGGTCGGAGAAACTTTGACAGCCTGCATTGAATTTCATCTAGAACATCCTGAGTACGAGACATAAACAATCGATGGCAACCCAAAGGCTTACAAGTTGTTCATCAAAGAATTTCAGGCTGTTACCGAACACATAACCAAATGACTCTATACGACTTATTTACCTGGTCCATTTCTGCATAGGAAGGAAAAGCTGAGAAAGTTATCAAGCACTCCGCTGTTATGAAATGGGACAGAATGCTTAACGATGGCTAGTCAAGTATTACAAAAGAGATTTGTGCAGTTTTACAAGATAATCAGAGCTTTCATTGATGAAACGCTCATTACGAATGTTGAATTATTAGCCTTAACCAGAATCAGTCAGGAAATGCAAGTTTGCAAAGCAAGTTTGAAACACTTCAAATATGAACCTGATCTAAATGTTAATTGGACATTAGAAGTATCTTATTTACCATCAAATCTTCGGGTTAAGTGTGGCCAAAAGTAGCTGTAGAGTCCACGAAACAGGGAAGAAAATCCACATTTAGTTACCTACCGAAGTCCATAGAAAAACACCTTGCTATTACTTGCAGAAGTTAGGGAAAAGTTGCAATGAATCTGAAAGCTTGATAAGTGACTTAAACGAAATTTGATGGTACAACAAATAAGCTCAGTAATTAACAACAATATGTTCTCTGTTCAACGTAAAGATGCTAACCATGAAGACAAAGCGAACTTAAAATGCAACGTCTCTAAAGGTAACCAATACTCAGACTAGTGTCAAACCTTTCATTCGATGAAATTGGAGAAGGAAACAAATGTTACTGTATCACCTGTGTGTACTTGAAAGCTAATCATATCATTAAAAGATTGTAGATGTCAACGAAGATGCACTGTTGAAGACTGTGCTTGACGACACCATCTGTGTTACTGCACAGATTACTCTTTGCCAGCTCATTACATCTCGGGATTTAAATTAGAGAAAATTATAGAATAACAACAATAACATAAGTATTAGCATCCGACTATCTGATATAGCTGTAGCTTGGCAGAATAGTATTTGTACTCGGTGATGATTCAAGGTAAAATGAAAATATGGACCGCGACCGGACTCGAACTAGCCACCACCGGGTTACCGGACCAATGCTCTACCAACTGGTCTACAAGGTCCAACTACTGACCACATTTTTATTTCACTCCAATCTCCAAAGGTCTTGCCTGACTACCATGTGAATTCATGATACGTTACTGCTGCTTGGTCGTAGTCACGCTGGCTACCTAGTCGGGACTTTTCATCCCGATCTAAGGTTTACTGAATTAGAGAGGAGGAGCATCTTATTGATAATCATTTTGACTATCAGAAACAGCCGTAGTTTTGCACACTAGTATAATTGACACCGGGTGATGAGTGAAAGTGGGATGAAAATCTAGTCAGCAGTGGGACGTCGTAGCTCCATTGGTAGAGCACCAGGCCGGAAACCCAGTGGTCGCTGGTTCGAATCCGTCATCAGTCCAAATTTTCATTTCACGTTTAATCGTCACCTAGTATAAAGATAAGTAGTGATTTTTACTGAATATAGAACCGCTAATTACTGCTGAAAGCGAAACCAGACAGTCTTCTGTCTTCACACGACTAGCGTACTTTTTAAGGTGAATCTAACAGACCTGTCAGTTTGAAAATCGAATTAAGAACCCATGAAGCCTGTCGCATTCCTCCAGGTGTGTGAGAATGATGGATTGGTAATCTATTTGCATATGGTAGATAGTGATTGCTTCTATGATTAACGTGTGTGGAGGTTATTGTAGCGAACATTTTGCGACTGTAAAGTTTTGTTTGTGTTGTGTTCTCTGAGCTGGCTGGGTTGTTTAATCGTGAAGAAGCTTTCATCGTGTCTCTCTAGACGACATTGGACAAAGTAGTCGCCCTCTTCGCCTTCATCTACATGAACATCAATTGGCTAACAAAACGTCACGACATTTCATCACTCATTTCAATGCATGTGGATAACAACTATGGACATGAATTCAATTTCGACAATGTAGAAATCTTGAATGGAGAGAGAAAACACAAAAGATATCAGAGAATTCCTAGAAACTTGGCGCCATTCAGGTCGGTCAGTCAGTCAGTCAGTCAGCAATCAAGAGATGTATAGACATAGACCCAATCGATGAACCAATAAGAGAGATGACGAGCGACAGAAAGGTTAGAGGTGAAGCAGAGGGATAGCCAACTGGAAATCTATACAGTCAGTCAATGACACAACAATCAAAGGAAACAACCAATCACAAACCAGTCGGTCAGGGCAAGCTACTAAATGACTGACGGAGAGATATTGACAGCTCACTCACTTCATACTGAAGTTAGTGCTGATGATGTCACTGTCTAGAGAGACACGATGAAAGCTTCTTCACGATTAAACAACCCAGCCAGCTCAGAGAACACAATACAACCAAGACCATCCACATAAGCTACAAATATTCTGCACTGTAAAGTTTGGAATAAATGGTCCAGATATGGGTTGACTAACGATTAAGTTGTTAACATTGTATCTGTTTCACAATGTTTGTCTAAGTAATTTAGTTTATTTATTTTTCACTATTAAAACTCTTGTGGTTGAATATGTGACTTAAACTGAGCTTAGGTCTGATGGCTTATAAAATTTTTGGTATCAATTTAACGAAGTTGGAAATTGTGAATCACTGGAAACCGACCCAGTGGTTGGATGGTTAACGCGTTCGCCGTGAAACCTGAAGGTCCTGATTTCGATCCCTAGCCGGGTCGTGCGTACTGCTGAGGAGTCCCATTCTAGGACGAAACGGCTGTCCAGTGCTCCCAGATTTTCAATGGTTCCCCAACTGATGTCAATCCATGATGAATACCACTTCTAAATTAAAAATCCCCATTCATCTCAAAAATACACCAAGGATTATTGTTCCAAATTCTAAGCAATCTAGTACCACTTAAAAAGACTGAAGAAACTATAATCCTACATTTTACCTGATCATAAAATCGACAGTAAAGCTGAATGGAATTTGTTAGTGGTGAGAGATAATGGGTAGAAGTGGAATGTAGAGCGTACTTTTCGTCCCGAAATGCAAAAATTCCCATTTAGACATTTAGTAAAAACAAACAATGTGAGCGAAGAAATATTTCTTTTCAATTAGTTCCTCATCGATATTATTATTATTATTAGTCCCTTGGGTTCCTAATGGAACATAGCGCTTCAGTAGCACGTCTCCAGTAAACTCTGTTCTGTGAAATCTTTTGAACCTGGCTCCACGACAGCCCACAAGCTCTCATTTCCTCCTCGCATGATCTCCTCCATGTCACCCTCGGACGTCCAACTCGTCGCTTCCCATGGGGATTCCACTCGAGGGACTGGCCTGACTTGTGATGTCCCCAATCGGCCTTCTCAGTGTATGCCCAATCCATCTCCACTTCCTTCCACTGCATATTTGTTGAGTGATAGCTTCTTGGTTGGTTATTCACCAGCCAGAGCTCCTTGTTGCTTATTCTTTCTGGCAATCCATCTGACCTTCAGTATCGAGCCAGTGTAGGCAGTTGTTGATGAATGTCTGTAGTTTATTGGAAATCCCTTTCGTGACGCACCGCCAAGTCTCTGAGCCATACAGAAGAACTGACTTGACTGGATTGGTGTTGAAAATCCGGATCTTGTTCTTTATGCTGAGTGCAGAAGATCTTCACACTGGTTTCAGATAGATGAACGCCTGTCTTGCTTTTCCGATTCTGACTGTGACATCCTCGTGTGTGCCACCTGTAGTTGAAACAGTGCTTCCTAGATAGGTGAAGGAGGTTACTTCCTTTAAGTTTATCCCATTGATGGTGATTGGAGTTTGTTGTTGTTGTTGGTTGGGTATCTTCATCACTTCTGTCTTCTCTATATTCACTTGAAGTCCCGCCTTCGCTGCCTTGCCTCTTCTGCCAACTTGTTAGTTTTCGCCTATAGATCTTCAAGTTTGTGTGACATCAGGCACAAGTCATCGGGAAATCCAAGCCTTCTAGGTTCTTTTCCGCAGTCCAGCGTATCCCCCTCTTTTCTCTCCCCACTGTTTGTTGCATGATCCAGTCCAGTTGACCACAATCAGGAATATCATGGGGGATAGTAGGCAACCTCGTTTCACTCCTGTATTCACTTCAAAAGCATGACTGAGCTTCCCATTGTGAATTACTTGGCTGGCATGTGGCGTCTTCATACAGTTGTTGAATGAGGCTGATAAAGGTTTTCAGTATTCCGTAGTACTGAAGCAGTTTCCAAATTACCTGTCGGTCGACACTGTCAAAGGCCTTCTCAGAGTCGATAAAGTTGAGGTAAGGTAGAAGGTTGACTTCCATTCTATACTCCGTTCTATGATGATGCGAAGCGTAGCGTTGTAATTTGGTCCGCATATGATTTGTACTTCCTGAATTCAGCCTGTTCCGGTCGTAGTTTTGAATCCAGAGCATCGTTTAGCCTCTCCAGGATGATGCGGCTTAATATTTTGCTTGCTCTGAGGTCTCCCTTCTTCGGGAGTTTGACAAGGTAACCCTTCTTCCAATCAGTGGGCAGGTACCTTCTCTTCCTTCCAGATCTTCTGCAATAGTGGTGTGGTGTGAGATGTCCGCTGTTGTCTCTGCGTCTGTTTTCAGTGCTTCTGGCGGGATCCCATCTGGTCTTGCTGCATTCCCACATTTCAGTAGCTTCATGGCGTGGCGTTCAGGACTGCCATTTTTGTTGGAGGATTTATGTTCACTTGTAGTTCAGCGGCTGGGCTGTAGGTGGTATTTCTGGACGAAGCTCAGGTGGTGGTGGTGGTCTATTCAAGAGCTTCTTGAAATGGTCGGCCCATTGTTTCCTTTGTTTCTCTTCTTTCGTAATTAAATTTCCCTCATCATCTTTTATTGTTTTCGTCTGTGTTGATCTCTTCCCTGTCAGATAGCAACCTGGTTATTTGATACAGTGTTGTGAGGTCTGTGTCTTTCCTACCAGCAGCCTGTTCTGCTTCACTTGCCAGTGTTTCGTAGAAGTGTCTTTTGTCTTTCCGTGCACTCTTCTTTACTTCTTTGTCCAGTGTTTTATACATTGTACTCAGATCCTCTTGTCGTTGAGCATCCTTGCCTGTGCTGGTTTATCTTCTGCTTCACCATCCTCCTCTCCATCCTCCATCAGCTTCCATGTATCCGTCGAGATCCATTCCTTGTCTTCTTTCTTCTTCCTTCCTAATACGGCTGTGCAGGTTTCTTTCCACATAGCTTTCAAAGACTTCCAGTGTTCTTCCACACAGGTTTCTTTAGGGATGTTCCTCGATGTCTCCCATTTTGTCTTGATGGCTGACTGACGTGAAGATTTCCTTTGTAGTTTCATCCTTCAGTTTCTGTTCTGGGTGTTGTACTTGAACTGTGGTCTGTCACCAGCTTCCTTGAAGGCTTTTAACTTGATTTGGAAGGAAGGTTCCTTGCACTCGATAGCGAGTGGTCTGAACCTACATCTGCTCCTCTTCTTGACCTTGTGTCAAGTAGGCTGACTGCGTCTCCATTTTCTTGAGTTTGAGATAAAGTCGATTTGATTTTTAGTGTGTCCTGTTGTCTGGTGAAATCCATGTCGCTGGCTCTGTGGATATCCTTGTGCTTGAACACAGTGCCTCACTGCAATCACCAAATCGTTGAATGCACAGAATTCTGCAAACAATTCTCCATTCTTGTTCATCAACTCACCGAGTGCTTCTCAACCCATGGTAAGTTCTCTTCCTGTGTTGTCCACTCCCACTTTGGCATTCATGTCGCCACACCCATTAGAATTTTAATATCGCCAACTGAGGCGGTGTCTTGTCCAGTGTTGATTGAAGTTGTCTGTAGAATTCCTCCTTTTTCTCTGCTCTGCATTATTTGTAGGTGCATAGCATTGTATGATTGTGACCTTTCTTCCTTCCTTTTGAGTTGAACCTTGCTGTCATGATCCTGCACGAGGAGATTGGTTCATACTGCATGAGAGAGAGAGAGAGCCTTCGATGCTCTTGAGGACATCATGATAGCCACTCCCTCAGTGTGCTCGTGGTTGTTGTCTGGTTGACAGTATCGGAGTAGATTATTAATTCTCCAGTTGACAGTTTGGAGAGTCCACTCCCATTCCATCTGCTTTCGCAAATCCCAAGCACTTCAATTTGATACCTCCTCATCTCGTTTGCAATCTGGGCTGCCTTGCTGGGTTCAAACATTGTGCGGACATTCCATGTCCCCATGTTTACTTTCGCTTTCATCGAGAGAGAGAAGACACATCGGCCCGGCTTATTGGCTTCCCGAAGGCAGACTTTCACCAACTGGCGTCATTTCGCCTCTCCGATTCCAGCGAGGAATAATTTTGTTATTATTTTTTATATATCGTTTGTGCTTTGAAGTTTCTTTAGCGGTTAGATTTGTTTTACGGGGTAGGGTTGCTAGCCGTATGTCCAACCTTCGGTGTATACCCGGTCTTAGGACCGGCTAGTGACTAGTGAACTAGTTAACCAGGCGAGGTTTCCTCATCAATGGCTCTACACTCATATATATATGTAGCATTTTCAAAACGTAAAATTACGTATCAATCTAGTAATGAGAGTTATTCAATGAAGGGTTACCAATCTCAAAGTATCAAGAAGGGGATAATTAATCAGTTAATTAAAACTATTAACTAAAGCATTGTGAAATTTTAAACAGGTTCTTACATATGATCTATTCTTACATAATTGATATTTTGTATAATGGTAACTACAGAGCAAAAAAGGAACTGTTACGTAAAATGGTAAGTTATTGACGGTAATTAGAGACAGTAGGGGGAGAGGAAGATGGCTAAATCTGTAATAATAATAATAATAATAATAATAATAATAATAGAGCTATTAAAATATTAGTTATAGTCAGTTGTGTGGTGAATGAAATGAAGAGTTCTGTTGTAATAAATAGGCTATACAGATGGCCAAGGCAAAGAAAGAGGCTGTACGAATCTCTTGTGAACACACAGACTTGGTTTGTTTAGGTGGATTCCTATAGATTCTGCTGTATGTAAAAGACGAACTCATAGAGCATGGGTGAGGTGAGAAGGAATGTAATCAATAACTTTAAAGGCATTATGAATGTTAACTCGGTGGTCGGTGTCAATCAGATGAGAGAGTATTGAGCTTCGTATCGATCTGGTTTGCCCGTTACTTAGCCATGAAGGGTGATGTTCGGCGATTCGACGACGAACCAGCCTACCTGTACGTCCAATGTAACTAGCTGCACAGGAGCAGTTGAACTGGTAAATGCACATAGAAGAGGAGAAGTCAGGTAGTCTGTCTTTAGTTCGTGTGGTCATCATCGTCCTGATTAGGATTCATCAGGCAGATCTATCTGTCTACCAATGAGTGGGTCACGTTGTTTTCACTTATGCTTGAACTTCTAACTTCTCACTTCTAACACCAAAGTGTCATCCACTAAGCTACATCTACGCTATTGTGGCTGATTTTCAGCCTTATCATGCAGTGTGAAATCAATGATTCTTATCCTCTCCAAAACTTCAATCTGACACCTTCACCTTTGTACAGAATTCGAACCAACATTCAGAGACTTCATTGACTTGAGTTGGTCATCTCTAGCCTTCTTCTAACACAGTCCCTCCTACTTCGACTAACATTGTGCATTGAGGTGGGTAATGGTAGCTCAACATGCGCAATACCTGTTAAGGCCAACTCATTCACTACAGGTTCACAACTTCATCGACTTACTTATCTTCTTTGCCTAGTACTCTCTGCTTAACTTTGACGTTACTCAGTATTTGGCTCATTTACACAATCGCAATAGTAAGTGGAACACCTGTAGTGAAACACTCGTGACTCGAATTCCTTACCATCCTTTTTGTCTTTTTGTTTTCAGGTCAAGACTCTTCTGAAGTTGACACAACTGACCAACCTGTAAGTTATGTGTATACTGTTGCATTTTACTTCCTCTTCTTTGATGATATTTTATACCCTTCCGTTTGTTATAATGGACTCAAGGATGATGTGAAATTTATCTAGTTGTTGTATTTATTCTTTAGAGATAATTTACTTCGAAATCATTTTGAAGTATTATCTTGTAGTCGCTGTAACAAGCTTTCTAAATCCATTCAAATCAACATAGGACCGGGCACTACTGCGTAACGGTCCGAGTTGCCACACCTCATCAGTACTTCAAGTGAAAACGCAGTGAAATGCAAGATAAAGAAAAGGAAATTCAGTCAAAAGAAATATAAAGTACGAAAAAATAGTGAGATTTGGAATAGCGTTGAGATGAGGATAATGTGTGTATACATCTGTGCCACTGACATAGGTACTCAGCCATATCGCCTAAAGTAAGTCTTCAACTACTGCTTTCTCTAGTCCCGCGGACCCCAACCACCTAGTCTGCATCACCCACATGGTTCAAATCAACAGTTAAAGACTTCATACATTGATGTCATGTTTTAGTCTGGCCACTTCGGGCCTTTTACCAGCCTGAAGCTACTTCGGTCAACATTGTGTGATGAGGCAGACGGCGACTAGGCATATATAACACGTGTCTCAACCATCTCGATGAAGGTTCACAATAGCATCAACTGGCTTACCTCTTCTCCCTAAAACTCTACACCTGAGCCTGACTTTTGCGTTACTCATGTGGTGACACCACGGAATATGGCCTATACTATGAAGGCAACATTATTCAGACACCTGAAGCCACCCTTCTCATGTCCTCTACCTTTAATGGCCATGTATCACAGTCATAGAGTAGAACAGACCGGATTGCTATGTAGTACACGTGACTATTAACAGGTAATCGGATATCACGGTGGTGCCATAGGTGGCGTAAGTTGGCGAAAGCCAGCAGAGCCTTTTGTATCCATGCATAGATTTCATCGGCCACTGCCACTGACCAACCCACCAGGGCTGATCCTACTTCCGAGGTAAGTGAAGTATTCAACGCACTCAACCACTACACTCTCTATTGTTAGCCGTGGCACCATAGAAGACCAGTCCTAGAGCACACAGGTGTTCGAGTTAAGAGCCTTCAGTAGGGTGATGTACGTACTCGGTATCCTTTTCAATGAGACACATTAATTACCATAAGACTTCTCGATCAACGGAGTCGAATGCCGCCTTCAGGTCGAGGAATGCAGCTCTTGTCGGGCCTCGATAAGCGTGTTTGTGTTTGAGAACCTGACGGAGTGTGGATATTTGGTCGATACACCCATGAACAGGTGTGTAGCCTGCCTAGTTTTCTCTGGCTTGCTATTCGCGAGCTCCTCTCAGCCGTTTAGTGATTATAGGACCTGGAATCTTAGACAGTGTGTTCTCGAGGCTGAGTCCTTTGTGGTTATTAAAAGAATACTTCTCGCTACTACTTCTACTAAGATTACATGACTCGTAGATTATTGTTTTGGTTGTATTGTGTTCTCTGAGCTGGCTGGGTTGCTTAATCGTGAGGAAGCTTTCATCGTCCTTCTAGACAGTGACATCAACACTAACTTCAGTATGCAGTGAGTGAGCTGTCAGTATGTCTACGTGAGTGATTTATTGGCTTACCCTGACCGACTGGTTTGTGATTGGTTGTTTCCTTTGACTATTGTGTCATTGACTGCATATATTTTCCTGCTAACTGTTCTTCAACCTCACCTCTGACCTTTCTGTCGTTCATCATTTTCTCATTGTTTGATAGATTGGGTCTATGTATATACATCTATTGATTACTGACTGACTGACTGATCTGAATGCCAAGTTTTGAAGATCCTTGGTGACATGACTCAGAATCGATGTTAGTAGCACTGAATTCAGTATTTTCTTATTCCTTCATCCTCTTTCTGGCTATTTGACTCCCTTATTTTTCATCTTCTTGCAATTTCACGTGATGTGTTGATATTAGGTATTCTAGCTTGAACCGTAATGTGGCAATGCCTACTCCCATGTTGGTACGAAGGTTGATCTATGACTTATAATTGAAGGTCATTTTCTACCTTGTTTAGTACTAAATTGATGACCCATAGGCGTAGAAAAGTTTGGGTAAGTTCAGCGAAATTCAGGTCATGAGATGTTTAGAAAAGTGTTATCATGTGAAAGTCATAGTTATGTTCTACAGTTATCTACAGTTATCAATGACATGAAAATACAACCGTATAAAGGTAAAAATACTAAAAATTACAGTATAGTTCCCATTTACAGGCAATCTTTCCTTCTGTGTATTATTCTGCAATATTCTTACCCTTTACATTTTTCAATATTATTTTGCCTAATCCTCAGCAGTCGATCGTAATCACTTTTGACATAGCTGTACATACTACTTATGTGAAGGACTTTCACTATAAATTACTGGTAAATGTACCACTTGAGGCGTAAAAGGATCCCTGCTACATCTCCAATTATATATTACATTCAGTCAAAACGACGATTGCTCTAAGGTTATTCAGTGGAAGTTATCAATTGAATACTACCAAAGAGGATGAAGAATGTCCTGTCACACAGTAACTGGTTATAATTTTGTATGCATGATTAAGTAATAATGATAGTAATACTAAAAATCAGTGAACATGTGTTTGCCTAGTAAATTGTGAATCTAGTACGTAATGATTGTAATCAGGCAATAGTATCAACTTATCCGAACCTTACTTCACCGAGGTTCGTTTAGAGAAATAACTTTGCTGTTGGGACTGATGCACCTAGTGGAGGGTTCATCGACCGTATTTTCATTCTGCGGCAGGTTCTAGAACACAGGCATACTTACCGACGACTGCCACTAGTCATATCTCTTAACCTTAATGCGGTATTTGACTCTTTCGACCGCGAGTTGTTGTGACTGTGTCTGACTGTAAAGAAATTATGTAACATACATCAAAGCTCTCTACTCGAACTCATGCAGCCGTGTGAGGGCTTATGGAGAGTCTTCTTGTGATTTAACGATAACCACTGGTGTCCGTCAGCGATGCAGACTGTCACCGTTCCCGTCTATTTTTGTCATAGGCGTAGTAATGGACAAAACCTTGTGTACGTCTGACTTCATAGGGACCGATCTACTCCTTGAAGGTATTTGGTTGAATTGAGGTGTACAAACAATATCCTGCTGGGTGAAAAGGGTGACAATGTGCAGGGTTTTTTAAACGCGTTGATCAGAAATCTTAGTATGTTTCACTGGCACAGTCAAATGTCTTCTGGAATCACTCCTAGTTTACCGAAAGGGAGTAAAAAGGATAGAATCTGTCGACACTACACTTACTTAAGGAACTGCATCAGCCGGAGCGGGATGGTTGCTGACCAAGTCTCAGGTCGTATACGGAAGGCTGGTTGAACACCTGGCAACTTGCATCATCTGTGGCGCCTATTGGCGAAATATCCGACTATCAATCACGGGACGAGTATATTGAGCTGCAGTTCATTCTATTTTGTTTTTCAACTGCAAGAAATGACTACTAGAAGTGAAAGACATGAAGCGGTTATAGAATTCTGATCATAGGTGTTTTCGTTGCACTGCTCGCTTTTCGTGGAATCATCACGGAGTAATGTTGACGTCAGGCGAGGGGTACTAAGCAAGACAGGGCGGAAAGTCAGTTGAGGAGGTTGTGAACATTAGTCGACTGAGGTGGCTTGCACACGTATGGTGCATGGCGATCCACCACCTACCTTGAAGTGCCATGCTAGGGGAAGTTTTATCAGGTTAGAAGAGGGTTCGGGGTGACTAGACCAAGATGTGACACCGGTCGATGAAGTCGCTGACTGTTGGTCTGAGTTGTGTTGGAGATGTAGACTACTTCGCTAAAGTCCCCCAGGTGATAGGAATCAATGGTTAGCGGCATGGCTAAAAATTGGTCACAGCAGCGCAAATGTATTCATTCCTTGACGTCTTCTAAAGCTTGAATATTTACACCGACTATTATCTTCAAATTGTTTATTGCCTCACACAACTTTGTTCAATTTGATGTGAGTCTTTGCCCAACCATCTGTTGTTTGTGTCTTACTGTGAATTGTGGTAACTTGGAGTGATATATTGGTGTGCGATGTTCTACTTTATTTATGCCTCTCTGTTTGTCTAGTGGTGGCGTGACTGGTGAAATTTCTAACCGTTTGTCGAGTCACATCGTTTGGGATGCGTGATTATTATTGTTATTATTATCTCGGTTACTTTTGCCACCGTCATGACGTTAAGCTTGTAAAACGGCTTGTGCAGAACGTGTCAGTGTGGAAAATTCTGTTATACGACAATGAAGCCTGATCTTTTCGAATTAAACATATCTGATGACTGTGCATGAGAGATCGCTGTTATCTTCGAGGGTTGATCACCTTCGGTGGAATTAGCATGTAAATAATCCTGAGGTGAAGTGACATATGTTTGATTGTGGTGAAGATTGTCGATTATTGAAATTGGTTATCTTGAAATGCCATCTTCAGTGGCTTAAATATGTATCACAAATGCCAATCCAGTTGCTTTTGCTTTGTTCACTTGCCCTGGGATTAGTCGCGAAACGCCGAGAGGTCAGTCTACGAAGTAGTACCGTTGGATGAGGAATAAATGCGTATGATTAGCATGTGTAGGTGCCTCACTACTCCCTATATGAGCTCCATGAGTCCACGCCACTTTTAGGCCTAAGGTTATAGACTATCTTGGTTGTATTGTGTTCTCTGAGCTGGCTGGGTTGTTTAATCGTGAAGAAGCTTTCATCGTGTCTCTCTAGACAGTGACATCATCAGCACTAACTTCAGTATGAAGTGAGTGAGCTGTCAATATCTCTCCGTCAGTCATTTAGTAGCTTGCCCTGACCGACTGGTTTGTGATTGGTTGTTTCCTTTGATTGTTGTGTCAATCACTGAAATTATTCGGAGCAGTGGGTCATGGGTTCAAGCTTCGTCCAGCCTATTAAGGTTTAATGGAATTTTGAGGGAGTTTTGGGGATTTGGAAATATTTCAAGTTGTTATTCATCGTAGACAGACATCAGTTGGAGGAACAAAGGAAACCTGGGAGCACTGGACAGTTGCCATTCCATCCTAGTATGGGACTCCTCAGCAGTGCGCACGCATGACCCCTCCTTAGGTCGAACCCGCGACCTTCAGGTTCCGTAGCCAACAGGGAAGGTCGTGGGTGCGCACTGCTGAGGAGTCCCATCCTAGGACGAAACAGCTGTCCAGTGGTTCCAGGTTTCTTTTGTTCCCCCAACTGATGTCAGTCTACAATGAATAACAACTTGAAACATTAGGGTTTAGGTGACCGAGTACTGTTACTAACCCTTACACAATAGATATGACTTATTGTCAAGGTTGTTGAGTGTATCTTGATTGGAATAATCACTTCAATCTTTCCTACAGATTTTGTTCTGATGTATGTTTTCTAACTATTGTTTCAAGAATGTAGTTGGCTAAGGTTTCCAGAATCTTCTTTCTCCCTCTTTTAGTTAATTTTTTATTGATTAGATTTCCTAATTTAAATATGCATGAAATTTTAAGATAATCACAGAACATATTTCTTCTTTCATTTCTTCTATTAAGGGATCCATTAAAAATATTAAAGATCCTAGTATTTCAATAATTGAACGGTTGTTAGCCGATCCAATCACTGCATCGAATACATTACAGGCTAGAGTTGAAGAGAATGCCCTAAGAACAATGGAACGTTTACGCAAAGCATTAGATACACGTGGATCTACCTCACAGTCAAGTAATCTACCCTATGTTTATGATGCATCAGCTGAACTACGAAAAACTGTCAATATTACAGATACTTCTAAGGTGAGCACTTTTCTCTCACATCTTTTTGTTTGTTTTAAATATATATGAAACATAGTGTTTACTTCAAATTCCTTGCGATTTTCTCGGCAGTAATTTCCGTTCTTCCTTTCCAAGTCTTCTGTTCACCTTGAACTTATCATCCAAGGAGTTGACTGGCTTTGTTTATTGACATGATTTTGATTTAAGAGCGCATGATGCCACTCAACATTGAACAATTGGACAATGCAATGTGGGTATCCGAAACTGTGACTCATCGAACTAATTAATCGTTGAAGAACATCCAACATGTTGCAATAATACTGTTAGCCCTTTGTTCCTCTGAACGCATTGAGCAGAAATTTGAGTATATTTGACTAGCACACGTTTCGCACCTGTCAAATGTTAGATAATGCTCCGGGAATAGTCTGCTGCAAGTACTCCCAATTTAATGATAGGGAGTGGAATGGTGGAATTTGTAGACCACTTCAGCCTGAACAGTCTGGTTGCTGACAAAATCTCAAGTCGGATATGCAAGGTTGTTTAGGGTTTGCCAACTTGCGTCACCTGTGGCGCCGGTGAGGTACCCAATTACCTGTTAAAGGAACAGTATAATGCGCTGTAGTTCGTTCTGTTCTGTTATACAGCTATGAGACGGTCGTTAAAAGTATTTTGTCACAGATGTCTTCATAACATCGTTCACGTTTGGTGGAATCACCGTGTGAACAATGTTAAGGTCAGCTGAAGGATACTAGGCAAGACACGCTAGTAGGCCATCGACTGAGATGGCTTAGACATGTGTCTACTCCCTACCTTGACGTGCCATGCTGGGGAAAGTTGAACAAGGTTGAAAAAGGGTTAGGGGGTGGGGGAAGTCGTTGACTGTTGGTCTGACCCGTGTTGTGAGATGTAGACTACCTATCTGGAGTCTGTCAGAAGATATAAACCAGTGATTGATGACTATTGGTTAGATGGTTGGAAATTGGTGGCAATAGCGCAGTTGTATTCACTCATTAACTTCTTCTAAAACTTGAATATTTTCACTGACCGTTATCTTCGAATTGTTTATTGTTTCATATAACTGTGTTCAATTTGGTATGAGTCCTTGTTCATCCATCTGTTATTTGTGTATTACTGTAAAGTGTGACAACTTGGAGTGATGGGTTTATATGCGAGGTTCTACGTTGATTTTATGTCTATCTGTCTGTCTGGTAACGTTTTCAAACTTTTTGGGTCCAATCTCATGTTGTGGTGTGAATTCATGTGAATATCTTGGTAACAAAAAAAGTGAGAAGGATTTTCAGTCCCTTATCGACAGGAAATGTTACCTTATTCGGTTTGTCGTAATCATTCAACATTTCAGTAATCATACTCATCTATTTATTCATTATATACAAATATTTGATATGCCATTCTGATATATATATTTCTTGTTTGTTTTAAGCTTTTATTACCAGAGAATGTGAAATATCAACAATTGGCAATATGTGATCAAGTTGACTTTCCGTTATCTCCTAAACCTCCAGAAGATTTACTGAATATTCAACGTGTAAAAATTAGCTCCTTAGATAATGTAAGTTTTGAAAGATAATATACATGTATAAGAGTTTATGTGTGTCCTATTTAAACTTCTTTGAAAATCATGGATACTTGAATGACTCCTAGAAAGTTCTCTCTGTTTACCCTACTTGATTGAGTACTGTTAGTTACTACAGTATTTGGCAGCCAACTATCATTGTTAATATAAAAGTGAAACTTAATCACTGTGATAGAATGTAATGTTAATGTGGGTCAGTCGTCACCTGAATAGCTCGGTGGTAACATCGCTGACCACTACACTAAGTGACTTGGCTTCAAACCTTATATACGGGACTTCACTTCTATTAAGGTTACAGATACACCTTACTGGACAGTGGCAACAAGAACGAAACGTAGGTCCATGGCTTCTTGCCGACTGATTTCAACCAGCTAACATCTACAGTAAATTGTGTTTGAAACCTAATCCATCATCATCATCATCATCATCATCATCATCATCATCATCATCATCATCATCATCATCATCATCATCATCATCATCATCATCATCATCATCATCATCATCATCATCATCATCATCATCATCATCATCATCATCATCATCCAGATCAACCCAGGACCAAGCATTACTGCGTATATTAGTACATCAAGTAAAAAGACAGTGAAGTACAAGATGAAGAAAACAAAATTCTGTCAAAAGAAATATAAAGTACGAAAAGAGAGAAAGGAAGAACGAGAAAGTGGTGGGAATCGGTATAGCGTCGTTAAGATGAGGATAATGTGTGTATTCGTCTGCGTCACTGATATCTCTTCTGAGCCATATCGCCTAGAGTCTCCGAATACTCACCGGCTCCTTCTCTCCCACCGACCCCAACCACCTGGTCTGCATCACCTACACATGGCTCAAACCAACAGGCAGAGACTTCATACATTGGTGCCATGTCTCAGTCTGGTCACCTCCTCGGGCCTTTCTCCAGCCCCAAACTACTTCGGCCAACATTGTCTGATGAGACAATCAACAACCAGGCATACGTAGTACGTGTCCCAACCATCTCAGTCGATGAAGGTTCACAAACTCGTCAACCGATTTACCTCTTCTCCCTAAAACTCTACACCTGAGATTGACTTCTGCATTACTCACTTGGTGACACCACGGATTACGGCGGCCTATACGACGGCCTAATACGGCGGCCAACGTTGGTCGAACACTTGAAGCCTTCTCATGTCTTCCACCTTCAATGGCTATGTTTCACAGCGATACAGTAGAACAGCACAAACTCATGTGTGACCCTTAATAGACAATCGGATATCACGGTGGTGCCATAGGTGGCGTAAGTTGGTAAAAGCCAGTCGAGCCTTTTGTGTGTGTGCAGAGATTTCACTGGCCACTGGAGCTAGCCATCAGGACTGATCCTACTTCCCAGGTAAGTGAAGTGGTCAACACACTCAACCACTTCACTTTGTGTTGTTAGCCGTGGCACCGCTGAAGACCAATCGTTGAGCAACAATCTGTATTTGGGTGGTGAGAAATGCATCCCAACCATTCTCAAATTGCTACTCAAGGTGTTCAGAAGACTCTGCATCTTGTCAGTGTCTTCACTTAACAGGACTATGTCATCTGCATATTCTAGGTCTAACGAAAATCCTCCTGTGATTAGGTTAACGTCTGTGTAATCAGGTGACGAGAGGGAGATCTCCATGAGAATATCCATGACAAAATTAAACAAGAATGGAGAGAGATAGAGCACACTTGTCGGACACCATAGGCTCTAACACGCCCACAATTGTTCGAATAGAGAGCCTTTAATAAGATGATATACCTACTCGACATGCCTTTCAATGACAGACACTGTCATAGGATTCCCCGATCAATGGAGTCGAATGCCGCCTTCAGGTCGAGAAATACAAGTATTGTCGGGCGTCGGTAAGCCTGTCTATGTTCCAAACCTGAAACGTAATCCAGTAAATAATACTGCTTCACTATATGATGTATCAAATAAATCAACTCAATTGTATAACTACCTATGTCTTGTGATCTGTTGTGGACGTTTGTAAATGGTCAGCATGTTGTTTCGCTTTAACTAGACCTTCGTCTAATTTGGATGATTTAAGAATCAGGACGCTAATTTGTAGATTCGAATTAACACGCCAGAGTAGCTCATTTTTAGGAAGTCAAAAAGTAAAACACAATTATAGAAAATGATGAATTTTGGCTGATATATTTGAGAATAGATTTAGATTGGATGTGTCGACTACTTCACTTGCTTGGGGAGTTTTATTATCTTGGATACTGAAGCTCCGTTTGGCATTTGTGAAGTTGCGTCATCTGTGGCGTTGGCGAGATATCAAAGGAAGAGTATACTATGCTGCAATTCGCTCTGTTCTGTTTTACGGCTATGAGACATCACCGTTAAAAGCAGAAGATAGAAGCGGTTACAGGGTTTCGATCATAGGTGCTTCCTTAGCATCGTTCACATTTGGTGGGATCACCGTGTGAGCAGTGTTTTAGATAGTAAACTGCCTGATTGAAGTCCACAAGAAGAATGAAATCAGTAGTTGAGGACTCTTAGTGATATACTTGAAAATCGGTCACGATGGCGCAAATGTATTCACTCTTTGAATTCTTCTGAAGCTTGAATAATCGTACTACTCTTTATCATCAAATTATTGATTCTCTCATACAACTTTTCCCACTTTGATATCACTCTTTTTTGTCCTCCTGTCGTTTTTATACCACTGTAAAGTTTAGGGACTTGGAGTGGATGCTCTTGTGTGTGAGGTTGTACGTTGATTTCGTCAGTCAGTCAGTCAGGATGGGTGGATGAATGCCATTGAAACTGATAGTTAGCCATTACTCAATTTTTGTAACCTTGCACCTTATTTTGCACTGCGATACACCTGCCTCCCACCCCAACCTTGTCAGTTCACATTTCCTCTTATGACTCTGGCAATGAATTGATACTGTATCCCCTTTTTTCTCTAATCGTGTTTTCCCTCCAGATAAATTGTCACATGTAAATCGGTAGTGATTTTAGGTGTACAACGCATGTTTCAATCATTTTATCAGTCCGTAATATTAGTACCTTTATCTTCAGCATCTTTGCAAAAGAGCTATCCTTTTAAAGAACTGCTAATCAGATATCCATGTCTTTCGTAAGTCTATTCTCAAGAGATATTTCTCTTTACTGTAGTGAAGGTGTGAGTGAAAGTATCTAGACAATGTCACTAACTGTAACAGATTATTATTATCATTATTATTAGTCCCTTGGGTTCCTAGTGGAACATAGGGCTTCAGTAGCACGTCTCCAGTGACCTCTGTTCTCTGAGATCTTTTGAACCTGGTTCCACGACATCCCACAAGCTCTCATTTCTTCCTCACACGACCTCCTCCATGTCACCCTCGGACGTCCAACTTGTCGCTTCCCATAGGGATTCCACTCCAGGGACTGGCCTGACGCGTGATATCCCCAATCGACCTTCTCAGTGTATGCCCAATCCATCTCCACTTCCTTCCACTGCATATTTGTTGGGTGATAGGTTCTTGGTTGGTTCGTTCCCAGAGCTCGTTGTTGCTTATTCTGGTTATTCTGGCAATCCATCTGATCTTCAGTAACGAGCCAGTTGTTGATGATGCGTGTCTGCAGTTTATTGGAAATCCCTTTCGTAACGCACCGCCAAGTCTCTGAGCCATACAGAAGCACAGACTTGACTGGTATTGGTGTTGAAAATCGGGATCTCCATACTGGTTTCAGGCTAATGAACGCCTGTCTTGCTTTTCCGATTCTGACTTTGACATCCTCGTGTGTGCCGCCACCTGTAGTTGAAACAGTGCTTCCTAGATAGGTGAAAGAGGTTACTTCCTTTAAGTTTCTCCCGTTGATGGTGACTGGAGTTTGTTGTTGTTGTTGATGGTGGTGGTGCGTTATCTTCATCACCTCTGTCTTGTCTATATTCACTTGAAGTCCCGTCTTCGCTGCCTCTTCTGTCAACCTCGCCTGGTTAACTAGTTCACTAGTTACTAGCCGGTCCTAAGCTCGGGTAAAGAGGGAAGGTTGGGCATAGGGCTAGCAACCCTACCCCGTAAAACAAATCTAACCACTAAAGAAACTTCAAAGCACAAACGATATATAAAAAATAAAAACTGTAACAGATGGCAGGTCAAATTAGCATATTACTATCATGTATTATTTTATAAACTGCGTTAATTTGGTCAGTTATCGTATTGACTACCAGATAATTCAATGTTGAAAGGTTCAATTTGATGAAAGTTTGCTTAAAATGTTGAGAACATATCTAAACGAGTAGTATTTAAAAATGTAACAAAGTTATTACAGGAGTCTAATCCTCATCTTAAAGTCGCCTGTCTGATGTGTACTACTAACGCTAACATAAAAAGTTGTAGGATTAACTATAGGGATCATCAGTCACTTCAAGCAACACATCAATAGGTTAAAGTCTCAATGAGGACACTGTCACTCACTGAGATGTAAGTATATCCAGCTGATGAGCCTTAGACAAGACGAAACCTATGTTCTCAACTGTACTGCTAGACATTAAATAGATGATTATTTAGTTAATGATTTGGATTATTGTTTTTTTTTTATTATCAATATTTCTGATTCCATGTAGATTGGTCAAATGGTATTTCAAGGGATTAAAGAACTGAATTTAATTCAATCTGTTGTCTATCCACTTGCTTATCATACATCAGAAAATCTTTTAGTATCTGCTCCAACAGGTGCGGGAAAAACAAATGTTGCATTGCTTACAATTGTCCAACTACTTCGTTCCCATTTGAAAGGAGATAATATATTAGATTTGAAAGCATTCAAGGTAAGTAGATTTAGACTACTTTCATGTATTGTTTATTTTAAACAACAGAGGTGATGATGATACCCCAACCAACGCCACCACCACAGCCAACAACAACAAGTGCCAATCACCATCAACGGAGGAACTTAAAGGAAGTAGCCTCTTTCACCATCGCCTAGGCAGCATCGTTTTAACTACTGGCGGCGGTGGCATATACAAAGACGTCAAAGCCAGGACCAGAAAGACAGAAAGACAAACGTTCATTAACCTGAAACCAGTGTGGAGAGCTTCTGCACTCAGCAAAACCGATGTCAAGTCAATGCTTCTATATGGTTGAGAGACTTGGCGCGTTACTAAAGGGATTTCCAACAAACTACAGACACGCATCATCAATAACTGCCTACGTTGGCTCGTTACTGAAGATCAGATGGTCAGAATAATAAGAATAAGCAACAAGGAACTCTGATCTGTCAACGAACCAACCAAGAACCTATCGCTGAACAAATATGCAGTGGAAGGAAGTGAAGATGGATTGGATATGCACTGAGAAGACCATTTGGGGTACATCACGCGCCAGGCCAGGTACTCGAGTGGAAGCTAGATGGGAAACGACGAGTTTGGCGTCCGTGGTGAGGGTGACATGAAAGAGATCATGTGAGAAAGAAGTGAGAAGTGAGGTAGTCGTGGAGCTAGGTTGAAAAGATTATAGAGAAGAGAGTGGAATGGAGACGTGGTACTGAAGCCGTATGTTCCATTAAGAACCCAAGAGACAAATAATATGACAATAATGATTTCAAACAATAATGGATTGGGCTACGTTGTTTTTACTTCTGAATAATCATGTCACATTCTCAGTTCTCTAATTCGTTAGTAATATGTATTGGTTAACACTTAACAGTTGGTTAAATTTAGCCCTTTCTTTGGGATTCATTTGGTTTTTATAATTCATCAGTGTTTTAATTCATATTATCAGGAAGATCGTATCTAATTTGATAGAGATGAGATTTAGTACAGTGTACAGCATACTCATTTTCATAGATGTTGGTATTACTGATGGTGATCTAATTTTGTATACTTACTGATTCAAATATATAGGAGCGTTATGTTGAGAGTACCAGATCCTTAAAATAACCGCTTTCCTTTTAGAAATTTGAATATATCATTTTCACACTTTTCTAATATGCTTTTGATGACGCTTATTCTTTATTGGCTATCCTTTCACTTTATATGAGCTACTTGTTCATCCCAAGGACCTTTCCATTGTGTATGAACCAATGTACTCTATCCGTTACCGACAGTATTGTTAGCCAGCCAAGTGAGTTGTAGAGGAATCATCAGTGCAGCAAGATCATATATTCATAGTTTTGTTTAACTTCAAACCTTAACATGTTTACTCTACTGAATTACTGAGCTCATTGGTTTAAGTTGATGACTTTCAACTGATGGGTCATGGGTTCGAGCTTAGCGCCTCATCTGCCGAGTTTTCTCCAGGGAGTTAGCCATCACACAACAGGTGTAGCTCATTGTCTACTGCATAAATTTACATGTGACGGTTGAATACATTTCATTTCTATTCAATTCGACTGAGTTGCAGTCTACTGGCTATATAATGAAGTTCAGAAATCATATTCCCATTATCTAACATAGGCAGTCAACTTGTTTATCTTTAATTGATTTCGTTCATATTTTCTACTTCTTTGTCAATTTTTGTAGATTGTCTACTTAGCTCCAATGAAAGCACTTGCAGCTGAAATGGCGGACACCTTTTCAAAACGTCTCAGTCCTTTAGGAGTACGTGTCAGAGAGTGTACTGGTGATGTACAGCTAAGTAAGCAGGAGATACTTGAAACTCAGGTATGCTGTTTTTTCCTAATTTAATACAATTAATGTATATGTGTTTGTTTCTTTTACATCGTTAGAATTACTTGAAATCATACTCATTTTATGTCAGCTGTTGGGATCAAACATTACATAAATTCTATACGAACAGCTGGATAATAGTTGATCGTTATCATATACAGTTGATTTAGCTTGTAGTCTAACCCGTTAGTCCGTATATTATCACTGAACTGCACAAGCTACCTTTAGACAGCAACCGCTATCTTGCATACATGTGATACTACTGCATTTGTTCATGCTGGGGTTGGCGGAGCACAATTTGAACTCAAAACGTCAACTTCAGTAACCTGGTGATATCATAAGTCCTCATACAATAAGTATGGTTTCAAAGTGTTATTGCTTATATTATCCCGTTGTTGATTAGACCGAACTGATCGGTCTGTATTGGCGTATAGGATCCTGCGCGTATGCCTCAATATTGCCTCCAATGGTGAATAGTGGCTAGCAGTGAGACTCGTTAACCGAGTGTACCTGCCTCCCAGTTAGTGATGTTGTTCCCACAGGTATTCGAACTCGGGAGCGATCGCTTCAAACACTACAGTGTTATGCACTACACCACCGAGTCACAATAGCTATTTCTTGTGCGATGGGTATTGTTTAAGTGTTATTGCTTGTATTATCCCGTCGTTGACTAGATCGAATTGATCAGTTTCTATTGGCATATGGAGTCCTAAATGAGATGAAATAGGCGTCCTAAATTTCACTGCCAGTCACTATCCAACAATAATATTTATAATGTGGTTTATAGTTTAGTAAATTCGTATTTCTCGGAGCTCCATTTGTTCAAAAAGATGCCGTCGTGGCGTCATAGATCGACCGAATTCACAAAGAATTTAATGATCTGTTTACTGGTTGTAAAATACTCCTCGATTTACTTCAAGAATCTATTCTCATAGGAATGATTAATGAAGATAGTGCTCTATGCGTCCTCATTCTTAACAAAAAGCTTTTATGCATTCTGTGTTCATGTTGTTTGGAATGTTCAAATTTTTTTTGAATATACTGAGCTTTGTTCGACCTTTGAGCAGCGTAAACTCTCATCATCGTTTCGCTGCCTTTTCTTCCATTGAATGATCCACTGATTTTCCGATTGGTTCCTGCCAATTTTCACTTACCAATTATTTTTTCCGCTCTCAAGGTCACTGTAGATCTGTATGTATACAGCAAGCTTTCACATATGTACATTTTCAGTTTTTTCATTCGATTAGGGATGTTGACTTCTAAGTTTATACTGTGAACAACTCTGGTTAGATCGTATCAGCTCTCGAACTCTTGATAGTAATTTTTATTCTTGTCGCTTCATCCATTTTGATCCATAACATGCTTGCAAAGGTATTTGAAAAGTAAGGAACTTACAACTAGTAAATCTTGAGGTGTATACGGAGCCAGGTTTTTGAACACACACGCTCACCCGCGCCCAACAATACTTGCATTTCTCGACCTGAAGGTGGCATTCGACTCCGTTGATCGAGATGTCTTATGACAGTGTCATTGAAAGGCGTGCCGAGTAGGTACGTCACCTTATTGAAAGCTCTCTACTCGAACACTTGCGGGCGTGTTGGAGCCTATAGTGAAATGCACATGACATAGTCCTGTTAGATGAAGACACTGACTCGATGCAGAGTCTTCTGAACACCTTGAGTGGCATTTTGAGAATGGTTGGGATGCGTTTCTCATCATCCAAATGCAGATGGTTGCTCCGGGATTGGGCCTTAACGGTAACCACCACGGTTAACAATAGGGAGTGAAGTGGTTGAGTGTGTTGACCACTTCACTTACCTGGGAAGTAGGATCAGTCCTGATGGCTAGCTCCAGTGGCCAGGGAAATCTCTGCACACACACAAAAGGCTCGACTGGCTTTCACCAACTTACGCCACCTATGGCACCACCGTGATATCCGATTGTCTATTAAGGGTCGCACATGAGTTTGTGCTGTTCTACTGTATCGCTGTGAAATATAGCCATTGAAGGTGGAAGACATGAGCAGGCTTCAAGTGTTCGACCAACGTTGGCCGCCGTAATAGGCCGTCGTATAGGCCACCGTAATCCGTGGTGTCACCAAGTGAGTAATGCAGAAGTCAGGCTGAGGTGTAGAGTTTTAGGGAGAAGAGGTAAATCGGTTGACGAGTTTGTGAACCTTCATCGACTGAGATGGTTGGGACACGTACTACGTATGCCTAGTTGTTGATTGTCTCATCACACAATGTTGGCCGAAGTAGGTTGAGGCTGGAGAAAGGCCCAAGGAGGTGATCAGACTGAGACATGGCACCAATGTATGAAGTCTCTGTCTGTTGGTTTGAGCCATGTGGAGGTGACGCAGACTAGGTGGTGATGCACTTGTGTGTGTAAGGTTCGAATTTGATTATATCTCTCTGTGTCCAAACATCAAGAATAACCCCATTTTCGATGTAGTAGAGTTAAGTTGGTGCAATAATGCTTTACAATGTAGAATATTTCGAGTAAGATGAATAATTTTTCGTGTTTTATTTTACTAATTTTTGTATACTTTGACTACAATATACCTGCCTTATTTTAGATGCTTGTCAGTACACCAGAGAAATGGGATGTTATTTCACGTAAAGGCACAGGTGATGCTACTCTGGTAAAACTAGTAAAGTTATTGATCATTGATGAGGTTCATTTATTACATGAAGATCGAGGTGCTGTTATCGAAGCTTTAGTTGCACGTACTCTACGTCAAGTAAGCTGATTATTATTTTGTTTAGTCCTAGTTTTGGTTGTAAGTAGTATTTCTCCTCTTGCTTTTGTTCTCTCAGATCATTAATGTGTTGCTATGACCGGTAGTACGGCCTAACAGTCTATGAACGATAAGAGTCTTGCAGATTACGAACGATATGAACCTAACATGTAGAAGAATCGACTCTAATGCAAATCAAAACAACAACTGCTACCACCACAATAACAATACCACCGATGTGCGAAGACAAGAAGAGAAGACAAACTATCGACAGAGATCTGTTTACTATCTCAATAACAGTCAATACAGTTGGTGGCGATGCTGAATATATACATTTCTGAACGACTTTGACAACAGCAAATACACATATAGGTAAAAATAGTTAACAACCAATGAAAATGCAACCTCCAGACGAGGAGGAAGAAAAACTAACAACAGTGTGAAAACAGCCATGACAACAGCAAGCAAAAGTTATGCAAAATTAGGAGTATATATATATATATATATATATATATATATATATATATAACGAGTGAATTATTTTTTTAGTTGCCTTCGTAGCATAAGCGATCCGTTGTAGTGTCATTATATCAGTAATGCGGTAGTCAGATGTAGAATTTTAGGCAGAGGAAGGAAGTCAGTTGCTGTGGCTGTTAATAACCTTCATCGGCTCAAATGGCTTGAACATGTGTTACGCATACCTAGTCACCATCTACTTCATCGCACTATGTTTTCTGAGGTAGATGTAGGCTAGAAGAAGGTTAGATGCGGTCAGAGTAAAACATACCACAACTGCTTGAAGTCTTTAACTGTTGGTGTGGCCTATGTAGCCAAATGTAGACTCCTGTGTGGCAGCAGACACCAGTAATTGGAGACTCTAGGGACGTTGTTCAGAGTCTGTATCAGTCGTGCACATGTATTATTATTTAATATTATTTGTCCTTTGGGTTCCTAGTGGAACATAGGGCTTCAGTAGCACGTCTCCATTTCACTATCTTCTTTGCAGTATTTTGAAGCTAGCACCACCACTGTCCATGAATTTTCATCTCCTCCATGTTACTCTTGGACACCCAACTCGTTGTTTCCCATTTGGCTTCCACTAGAGGGCCTGGTCTGGCACGTGATGTCCCCAATCGATCTTCTCAATGTATGTCCAATCCAATCCATCTCCACTTTCTTCACCACATTTGTTGGGCGATAGCTTCTTGGTTGATTCGTTGCCAACCCGCCAGCCAGAGTTCCTTGTTGCTTATTCTTATTATTCTGGCCATCTTATCTCCATCTCCAGTATCGAGTGAGTGTAGGCGGCAGCTATTGATGATGTATGTGTGCAGTTTGTTGGAAATGCTTTTCGTAAGGCGCCGTCTCTCAGACATCACATAGGAGCACTGAGTGATTTAACTGACAGTTTTGAATATCTGGATGTTGTTGACGCTTTGTGCTGAGTGGAGTGGAGTGGAGTAGATCTCCAAACTGGTTATTTTAGGTTAATGAAGTCCTGTTTTGCCGTGTTTCCGATCGTGGCTTTGACATCGTCATCTGTGCCGCCGTCGCCTTTAGTTGAATCGATCCTGTCTAATAACTGTTGATAACTAAGGATATATTGTTAGCCTTATGATCTCGTAAATATCTTAGTGCAATTCAAGACCGTAGTTTTACCTCTGATCTGGATCACTTACGTTGAATATCGAGGTTGAAATTCAACACTCAATGCTTCAAAAGTTGACAGTTTTATGGCATCCACAACCATATGTTTCAGTGACTTGTTGTTTGAATGAATCATTTCACTTCACAGGAACGCCCAATATTATCCGAATTGTGATTAGATTGGAAGAACAAATGAAGGACGAGGAAACCAAATCATGATATCATCCATGGAGTCTGTGAAACATTACCACCAACGGTGGAAGATATTGACATGAATCTCAGTTATGCGCCATTATTACCCCCCACTCCATAGAAGAAGTGGCTTGTCGTGAAATCAACATGTCAGCACCATAGTATAGAGTCCTAGGCTGTAGATGTTCATTGAATCTGGTGGCTGCAGTATTTGTTATTATTATTATTATTATATAACTTATCACCTGGGTTTCTAGTGGAACATTTGGCTTCAGTAGCACGTCTCCAGTTCACTCTCTTCTCTGCAAACTTTTGAACCTGGCTCCACGACATCCCACAAGCTCTCATTTCCTCCCCGCACGATCTCCTCCATGTCACCCTCAACTGGGATGCCCAACTCATCGCTTCCCATCTGGGTTCCACTCGAGCAACTGGCCTGGTGGGTGATGTCCCCAGTCGGCGTTCTCAGTGTATGCCCAATCCATCTCCACTTCCTTCTACTTCATATTTGTTGGGCGATAGGTTCTTAGTTGGTTCGTTGACAGGTCAGAGTTGCTTGTTGCTTATTGTTATTATTCTGACCATCTGAGCTTGAGTAACTAGTCAGCGTAGGCGTCAGTTGTTGATGAATGTGTGTAATTTGTTGTAAATACTTTTTGCAACGCAGTAAGTCTGTGAAGCATCACATAGAAGCAGTGAGTTGACTGAATTGGTGTTGAAAATGCGGATGTTGTTGACGCTTTATGCTGAGTGCAGTGCAGATCAGAAGATGTCCACACTGGTTATTTCAGGTTAATGAACACCTGTCTTGCTTTTCCGCATACCTAATCAGCGTTGTCCCCGACGCGCATTGTTAACTGAATTTGGTTTAGGCCGGTAAAAGGTTAAAGTTGTCCAGACTACAACCTGACATCAGTCCATGAATTCTTTGACTGTTGGTTTACTGATAAGTATAGCATATTAAACCATATGCCGTAATTTTTTATTCGCTCATTGATATTAACTGACCGGTTGGGTCTCACACTATTAGTTCGAGACCTGTAGGGAAAAGTAATTGTCCTGGTTGAAGTCCATGAGGCAGTCAAAATAGACGATGAGATAGGTCAAAATCGATTATACTGTAGCATATTTCTTTAGCTAAATTGTAATTGTATGCTTCACTGTACCTTTCCTCGTCTCTTTTCTCTTTGGTTCACGGCTGTCTGTAGTTTCTACCTCTATAATCTGGTTTCTTTTTTTTTCTATCTTGTTAGATTCTACCGTAATATCGTGACATAGAGTATTACAACCAATCAATATTCGGTGTCATTAACGCCTATTCAGATAATAAATCTCACTGAATAAATTTCAAATATCTTTTGTTACCTTTCAGGTGGAAAGTTCACAAACAATGATACGCTTAGTTGGTCTGTCAGCTACACTACCAAACTATATAGATGTTGCTCGTTTTTTGTGTGTTAATTTACAACGTGGTCTGTTCTACTTTGATTCACGTTTTCGACCAGTCCCATTGGGAATGTCTTTTATTGGTATACGTGGTGCAAATCGTAAAATTCAAGATATAAATATGAGTACACTATGCTATGAGAAGGTTTTAGAACAAGTTAAAAAGATGAACAGGTAAATTGTTTTTGATTTATTCATTTAGCCTCCTTTCATCATTGAGGTTACATTCACTGAAAAAAATACTAGAAGATAGTGAGTTATTGTTATTTTTAATGTGTAATTCAGACTCCGTTCCCTATATTGTAGGGATTTTGGTCTAAATGCCTGACTTTCTACCAGTGGGATATGGGTCTGAAACCAGCTCCACTTATATGTGTAGGTCTGGGGAGCTAGATTATGCAGGTAATCTATACACACTGTAGGTTCACTTCATTGTCGAACGTATGAATATGTACGTGGTTGTTGAGGTAGGTACCTTCTGCATCTACTTTGTGAAGGTTGTTGGTGCTTTGTATCTATTCAAACGTGAAAATAAATCACTACTATGTCTTAAAAGTGTGCACACACTTCACAACTTCAGCTGAACAGTTTTACCGTTAGCAGTCGCATCGTAATCGTAAGACATCCGTTTAGTGATGGGTCGTGGCTAGCAGTGAAGTCCAGGATGCGCATTTCGTCCTATTTGGGACTCGTCAGCTGGATGTACCTGCTTCCCAGTGAGTGATGTTGTTCCCACCGGGTTTCGGACTCGGGGGCGATCTCTTCAAACGCCAGGGCATTATCCACTACGCCACCGTGCCACGATAGCTGGCGTTTGAAGCGATCTCTCCCCAGTCCGAATCCCGGTGGGAACAACATCACTCACTGGGAAGCAGGTACATCCAGCTGACGAGTCCCAAATAGGACGGAATGCGCATCCTGGATTCCACTGCTAGCCATGATCAATCATAAACATAAATAAATTGCTGGCAATATCGAGGCATCCGCACAGGAACCCATATGCTAATAGAGACTGGTCAATTCGGTCCAATCAACGATGGTATCATATGAAAACAATTATACTACATCCGTTTACTGTTTTCTGTTTAGCTAGCTGTTCAGAGGGTGAAAGTTCTTTGCGATGCGCATTAGTGTTAATTAATTCTTGCTTATTTTTACTCTGGCTCGGTTGCTAACGAAAGCTCAGTTCGGCATTCGCTAATTTGTGCTATTTGTGTCACCGAATGGCGAGATATCTGACTACCTATCGAAGGAAGAGTATACTTCGCTGCAGTCCGTTATGTCCTATTATACGGCTGGAAGACATGGAGGTTAAAATTAAAAGACATGAAGCGATTACACATATGTTGTCACAGATGTCTTCCTAGCATCACTTACGCTTGGGGGAATCACCGTGTACGCATTGTTGACATCAGATGAAGCGTAATAGGCAAGATAGACAATTTGATTTATGAGGTTGGGAACCTTCATCAACTGAGGTGACTTGGCGATATACTGTGCATGCCAATCGACTGCCTACCTTGACGTACCTGCTAGGGGAAGTTGTACCAGGTTGGAAGAGGGTTGGGGATGGCCGGACCAAGATGTGACACCAGTCGATGAAGTCGATAACTGCTGGTCTGAGTCGTGTTGGTAGGTGAGGACTACCTATCTGGGGTCCCCTAGACGATAGGAAGCAGCGGTTGATGACTGAATGTCGGTCACAATGGCTCAACCGTATTTCACTCTTTGACATCTTCTAAAGCCTGAGAATTCGCATTAACTGTTATCTCTCACTGCTTTATCTACTTACATATCACTCATTTGCTATCCACCTGTTCTTTGTATACTACTGTGAAGTGTGGCAACTTGAATGGATGCCACTGTATGCAAGGTTCTACGTAGATTTTGTCATTCACTCATTCCATTTATTGTTCAATCTTTGTATGATGTAGAAGATAATTAAAAAAAAAGCAAGAAAGCTGCACCACGATTACCGACGATTTTGACTCTAAGCAATGTATGGTATCGTCTCAAGCCAGAGTCACATGCTCTCCTGGATCCCACCTAGACGGAGGTCGTAATGTTAAAACACATGGTAACTCGACTGCTATTCATTGCCTACCTCATGTCATACACTGATCACCTCTCTGTTCTTCCTAATCAGTCTCACTCACGACACGAAAACAATGAACGGTGTGGAAACTGCTTAAATGGAATGCGTAATGCGTGTTCAAACCACCAAATATTCTTCCAATTAATCTAAGTCCCGGATAATTATCATCTTCGAGATGATTCACTCTTGGGATTCAACAATTTGAATACTTGTTTTCATTTAGTTACAGTGAATATATTTCTTTTCGAATTCTGTAGTAATTTTCAAAATTTTTGTTGGTTTACAGTATGTATTATTATGCTTATTCATATGGTTTTACTCTCTTTCACCAGGTAATGGTATTTGTGCATGCTCGTGGAGACACTTTTCGAACAGCTCGTAGTCTACGTACCTCTGCTCAACAACTTGGTCATATGATGTATTTTCGAAATGAAGATAGTTCAGCAATGAGAATATGTTTAAAAAAGGTAACACCATGTGTTGATATCGCTTAATAATAATAATAATAATAATAATAATAATAATAATAATAATAATAATAATAATAATAATAATAATGCATCAACAGCTTATTTTATAACCAACGTCGGTCATGGTGAATAATCTCATTGAAAGGGGTTCTGAGTAATTACATTACCCCATTGAAGAACTTTTACTCGAACACTTATGGGCGTGTTAGAGCCTATGGTGAGATATTGAGTGAATTGCATAGGTCGAGTACTGTCCATCAAGGCTGCCCAATGTCTCCATTCTCATTCAGTTTTTATCATAGATATTCTTATGGAGGTCTCCTTCTCGTCACCTGATTACATAGAGCGTGACCTAATCGCGGGAGAATTTTAGTTAGACCTAGAATATGCAGATGACATAGTCGTGTTAAGTTGAAGAGGCTGACAAGATGCAGAGTCTTCTGAACACTTTGAGTGGGAATTTGAGTATGTTTGGGATGCGTTTCTCACCACCCGAATGCAAATTGTTACTGACTTAAAGTAAAGAGTGAAGTTGTTGAGTACGTTGAATAACTCCACTAACCTAGGAAGTCGAGTCAGCTTTGGTGTGTTGGTGGTCGATGAAATCTCCCCACGGATACAAAAGGCTCGATTGGCTTTTGCTAACTTATGCCTTTTGTGATACCGCCGTGATATCCTCTTGTCTATTAGGGATCGAGTGTATTGCGCAGCGCTCCTGTCTTTTCTACTCTATGACTGTGATACATAGCCATTAAAGGTAGAGGACATAAGATAGGTGGCTTCAGGTGTTTGACTAACGTTGCCGTTATAGTGTAGGCCGTACTCTGTGGTGTCACCAAGTGAGTAACGCAGAAGTCAAGCGTAAAGTTTTAGTGAGGAGAGGTAAGTTGGTTGATGCTGTCGTTAACCTTCATCGACTGAGATGATTATGAGATTTGTTACACATACCTAACCACCTTCTGCCTCATCAAACAATGTTGGTCGAAGTAGGTCCAGGCAGGATAAAAGCTCGTGATGGCCAGACTAAAGCATGACATCAATGTGTGAAGTCTCTGACTGTTAGTTTGAGCCATGTATGACGATACAGACTAGCTGTTTAGGGTCGGCGGGACAAGAGAAACCAGTGCTTAGAGATTGTAGGTGGTATGGCTGAGAACCGATGTCATTGGCGCAGATGTGTATACATACATTATGTTCATCTTAACCGTTATACCTTCTTTCCTCTCTTTTACTACTTTTTATTTCTACTTCACAAGAATAGATATATGTAGTATATGTTGAGAGGGTGGCAGAAATCATAGGGAATTACCAGCAATGGGTAGTGATTCTGTTCAGAGAAACTCAAGCGACAACATAGGTGTATAAAAGTAAATTAAGAGAGAAGCAGAAGAGGATATGAAGCATATTATGCAAATGACTGTCTTAGTGCAAGGTGTACGATACTTAACGACTACTGTGCCACATGTTAATAAGAAACATCACTTCATTTGTCTCTATTTTCTACTTCATTCGCTCTGTTTTTCTTTCCTTCTTCATCTTCCATTGTATTGCCTTGTTTACTTGATGTGCTGATATGACATGTAACAACTTGGATTGTTACGCAGTAATGCCTAGTCCTATGTTCATCTCGGTGATGATGAATGACCTTTACTGGTGATATATTACTTCTGACCAATTTTTGTAACTTGTTATCTTATTCTGTATAGTTTAATGCGTTTTTTAAACTGTTCATTTGAGTACATTTAGCAAGAATTTTTCAAGAACTAAGATGATAGGATGTAATTTTGATGATGTAATTAAATTCTCAGAATTTTACATACTGTGGTTATGTAACCTACCTTATGTTTGTAGAAAGTGCAACTTATTCATCGCCTGATTTTAAATATATATCAAATTCCCGTGATCATAAAATTGCAAAGTGGGTTTTAACTGATAGGATCCTAGATCTCTTACATGAACAAGTTATAATAAGGAATTATTATTATTTTATTATTAGTCCCTTGGGTTCCTAGTGGAACATAGGGCTTCAGTAGCACGTCTCCATTCCACTCTGTTCTGTGAAATCTTTTGAACCTGGTTCCACGACAGCTCAGAAGCTCGCACGACCTCCTCCATGTCACCCTCGGACGTCCAACTCGTCGCTTCCCATGGGGATTCCACTCCAGGGACTGGCCTGGTGGGTGATGTCCCCAGTCGGCCTTCTCAATGTATGCCCAATCCATCTCCACTTCCTTCCACTGCATATTTGTTGGGTGATAGGTTCTTGGTTGGTTCGTTCCCAGAGCTCCTTGTTGCTTATTCTGGTTATTCTGGCAATCCATCTGATCTTCAGTAACGAGCCAGCGTGGACAGTTGTTGATGAATGTCTGTAGTTTATTGGAAATCCCTTTCGTGACGCACCGCCAAGTCTCTGAGCCATACAGAAGCACAGACTTGACTGGATTGGTGTTGAAAATCCGGATGTTGTTCACGCTTTATGCTGAGTGGAGTGCAGAAGATCTCCACACTGGTTTCAGATAGATGAACGCCTGTCTTGCTTTTCTGATTCTGACTTTGACATCCTCGTGTGTGCCGCCACCTGTAGTTGAAACAGTGCTGCCAAGATAGGTGAAGGAGGTTACTTCCTTTAAGTTTATCCCATTGATGGTGATTGGAGTTTGTTGTTGTTGTTGTTGGAGATGTTGGTGCGGTTTCTTCATCACCTCTGTCTTCTTTATATTCACTTGAAGTCCCGCCTTCGCTGCCTTGCCTCTTCTGCCAACTTGTTAGTTTTCGCCTATAGATCTTCAAGTTTGTGTGACATCAGGCACAAGTCATCGGGGAAATCCAAGCCTTCTAGGTTCTTTTCCGCAGTCCAGCGTATCCCCCTCTTTTCTCTCCCCACTTTTTGTTGCATGATCCAGTCCAGTTGACCACAATCAGGAATATCATGGGGGATAGTAGGCAACCTTGTTTCACTCCTGTCTTCACTTCAAAATCATCACTGAGCTTCCTATTGTGAATTACTTGGCTGGCATGTGCCATCTTCATATAGTTGTTGAATGAGGCTGATAAAGGTTTTGCTCTATTCCGTAGTATTGAAGCAGTTTCCAAATTACTTCTCGGTCGACGCTGTCAAAGGCCTTCTCAAAGTCGATAAAGTTGAGGTGAGGTAGAGGGTTGACTGCCATTCTATACTCTGTTGTATGATGATGCGAAGCGTAGCGTTGCAATTTGGTCTGCACATATAATAAAGAATGTTAAAGATGTATTCTATTTCATCTTAATGTTAGAAAGGTTGAATATGAACTGGAAACATTTAATATCTCTGGTTTTTTATTCTTTATTTCACAGTGTATCACTTATTGAAACAGTAGGATTCATATATCAGCAGACATTGAATAAACAAATTAATATTCGACTTCAAGAGTTTCATCTTTAACAAATCCCTCCTATGAGGCACCAGATTGATACAGTTGCATGGGTTATTCCTGTCAAACTAGAGAATGGACCAATGAAAGATGTTATTCGTAGCCTGAATATGTACAAACGTTATATTGACAACTCACCATCATTATCTTTGATCAAAACATTGACAGAAATGAATTGTCAAGAAAATTCAATCACGTACATTCTTCTGCCACTTTCACTCGTGAAGATGAACAGGAAGATATGTTACATTTCTTAGATGTGTGACTGATTAGAAGAGATGATAGGTCACGCATTAGAAAGGGTATACAGAAGGATCACAACTATGGGTCAGTTCATACATTTCCTCAGGTTTATATCCATTGGGTATAAAGGAACCTCTGTTAAGTGTCTGTGTTTTAAGTCCAGCGAAGACAAACTGCTCCGATAATTAGGTGTAAAACAGGTTATAAAACAGTTATCATATATTAGTAGGAATGGGTTACCTCTACATTTTAATAAGGAGTTTCAATTTCATTGGAACACACGTAGTAAAGTTCTATTGTCGAGTAATTCATACACCTATCTAGCATTTTCAAGTTGAACAACTAGACAGTTTAACAAACTTGCTACTGACCACTTATCCTTATGACTAGTGAAGGGATAAGTGAAGTCAATAGGAAGAAGTTCAACTTTGTAGAATTTAGTTGGTAGTGGTCGTGTAATAGATAAGATCATGTATCATACTCCACAAAATCTTTCCAGTGGAATTCATGCTTGCATATTACATATTTATCTGAGACTAAGGAAATTAGAGAAAAGATTCCTTGTCTTTGTGCAGTCCATATATCTCCCTTAGCTAGAGAAAACTTCATAAATGACTTCAAAGATAAATCTTGGTTGTTCACCCTCTTTTTTTTCTTTAGCCCCTCTCCCCACTGACATACATATCTTATTTGCTAAGACGTTGACTATCTACACACCTCAGTATTACGCAACTTTTGTTATTCTAAGTTTTGAATTAAAATGATTATCTATATGTCGACCACCGCGTCTCCGTCCACTGGTTCAAATTCCGCCACGGTCCAAATTTCCATTTCACTTTCAATCATTACCCTGTATTAAATTGATTGCTTGAAATAGCTACAGTACCACATCATGATAATTTGCTTAGTTGTGGCTAGCAGAAGAACCCAGGATGCGCGTTTCGTCCTATTTAGGACTCGTCAGCTGGACTTGCCTGCCCCCTAATGATAATGTCCCCACTGAGATTCGAACCTCGTAACCATCGCTTCAAACGCCAAGGTGTTATTCACTATGCCACAGAGGAACAGTAGCCACTTCTTGTACATCGGGTAGTAGTTATTACTATTTATTGGCATACTTGTTATTCTCCGTTGTTTTGTTGGTTCGAATTGTTCGACCTCGTCTCAGTGGGAACAACATCACTAGGGTGCAGGTACATCCAGCTGACGAGTCCTAAATAGGACGAAACGCGTGTCCTGGATTCTTCTGCTAGCCACAACCAACCAATTTATCATAATTAACATTCAGGCAATATTGAGACATCTGCATAGAGGAGCCTATATACCAATAGAGGTCGAACAACTCGATCCAACAGAACAGCGGAGAATAACAAGTATGTCGATAAATAGTAACAGTGACATATTGTTTACATAATTTTTGTTATTTACATTGTGTTGACTTATGTTTTAATGTTTTTAACTGTTGATCAAAATGTATGAAATGCTACTTTATTGATTTTTCTCTTCATCACTTTCAGCACAATTTATTGATTGACTAAAAATCTCTAATTTACGATTATTATTATTATTATTATTACTATTATTATTATTATTATTATTATTATTATTATTATTATTATTATTATTATTATTATTACAGATACAAAGATCTTCTGATTCTGCTATTAAAGAATTGATCCCAGATGGTTTCGCTTGTCATCATGCTGGAATGTTACGTGTTGATCGTAGTTTAGTAGAAAAGTTATTTTCAGATGGATATATACGTGTACTAGTCTGTACAGCAACATTAGCTTGGGGTGTTAATCTACCAGCGCATGCAGTTATCATTAAAGGTACACGTGTGTATAAAGCTGAAAAATCAGATTTTGTCAATTTAGATGTATTGGATGTGTTACAAGTGAGTTTTTTTTCTTTTGTTTACATGTCTATCTATTGTTAATTTTTATGTTTAGTTAGTTATCTATGCTAATACAAAGTGGTTATTTTTATTTAATTATTTGTCCCTTGGGTTCATAATGGAACATATGGCTTCAGTAGAACGTCTCCAGTTCACTCTCTTCTCTGCAAACTTTTGAACCTGGCTCCACGACATCCCACAAGCTCTCATTTCCTCCCCGCACGATCTCCTCCATGTCACCCTCAGCTGGGACGCCCAACTCATCGCTTCCCATTTGGGTTCCACTCGAGCAACTGGCCTGGTGGGTGATGTCCCCAGTCGGCCTTCTCAATGTATGCCCAATCCATCTCCACTTCCTTCCACTTCATATTTGTTGAGTGATAGGTTCTTGGTTGATTCGTTCCCAGAGTTCCTTGTTGCTTATTCTGGTTATTCTGATCATCTGAGCTTGAGTAACTAGTCAGCGTAGGCGGTAGTTGTTGATGAATGTGTGTAATTTGTTGTAAATACTTTTTGCAACGCAGTAAGTCTGTGAAGCATCACATAGAAGCAGTGAGTTGAGTGAATTGGTGTTGAAAATGCGGATGTTGTTGACGCTTTATGCTGAGTGCAGTGCAGATCAGAAGATGTCCACACTGGTTATTTCAGGTTAATGAACGCCTGTCTTGCTTTTCCAATTCTGACTTTGACATCTTCGTCTGTCCCGCCTATAGTTGAAACACTGCTTCCTAGATAGGTGAAGGAGGCTACTTCCTTTAAGTTTCTCCCGTTGATGGTGATTGGGGCTTGTTGTTGTTGGTGGTGGTAGCGTTGGTTGGGTATCTTCATCACCTCTGTCTTCTTTATATTCACTTGAAGTCCCGTCTCCGCTGCCCTGCCTCTTCTGCCAACTTGTTAGTTTTCGGCTGTAGGTTTCGAAGTTTGTGTGACATCAGACACAATTCATCGACGAAATCCAGATCTTCTAGGTTCTTTTCCGCAGTCCAGCCAGCGTATCCCTCTCTTCTAGCTCTTCACTGTTTGTTGCATGATCCAGTCGACCACAACACAATCAAGAATATCATGGATGATAGTAGACAGCCTTGTTTTACTCCTGTCTTCACTTCAAAGGCATCACTGAGCTTCCCATGTGGCGTCTTCATGTAGTCGTTGAATGAGGCTGATAAAGTTTTGCAGTATTCCGTAATGTTGAAGCAGTTTTAAGTGCGATTAAAGTTTGAAGGATGATAGAATTGTAGCCAGCGATTCAGTTTTTCTACTAATTAAGTTTAAGAGGCTCATCTGCTGACTATATTTTAATTTCACTGTAACCAACAATACAACAATTCAGAAATAGGACTGGTTGAGTGAATGAAGCAATGCATATTATTTTTCAATTAAGTCTTGATCTTGGTTTCTATACTAATAATATAGAGAGTTTACAATTCAATCAAATTATCAATCACATAATGAAGTAGCCTGTTTCACCTATCTAGACAGCATCGTTTTAACTACACCCGGCATCGATGAGGATGTTCTCAAACGTTATTCCTCTTAAAGATCACTCGTATCGTTAGTATTCGGTGTTTTTTCGTTCACCTAGATATCCATTTGATAATTGTAGAACCTGATGAGATTATTTATTCTAAAGCATATTCCTAGTTTGTTATTATTATTATTATTGTGATTTTCATCACTCATTATTGGATCTGAAATTTTCTCATGGACTGTAGTATACTAACCTTTGGAAGATAAAATTATTATTTTCCTAGAATTTGTTTCATAATTATGCCTTTATCAATTATATTAGATTTATACTTGGTGTTTTTTTCCTTCTTCACATATTATAGATATTTGGTCGTGCAGGTCGACCACAGTTTGATACACATGGTCAAGCAATTTTGATAACTACACAAGATTCATTGACACATTATTTACGTTTAATTACTAATCAAGGACCAATTGAAAGTACTTTATTGAATAATTTACATGATCATTTGAATGCAGAAGTAAGTACTAATGTTGAATCCTTTTGAATAGACATATTATTAAAAAATTTTGAGGGAGTTGTGAAGATTTGGAAATATTCCAAGTTGTTATTCATCGTAGACTGATATCAGTTGAAGGAAAAAAGGAAACCTTGGAGCACTGGGCAGCTGTTTCGTCATAGCATGGGACTCTTCAGCAGTACGCACCCACGATCCCGCGACCTTCAGGTGCGGACAAAACGTGATGACCTTGAGGACAGTTGCTCAACGATGACATTCGGTGGCGGTTGCGCTATATCGTGAGCTAACAGAAGTTGGAAATATGGAGCTTTGGATTCTGACCCAGTGGCTGAATGGTAACGTGCTGGCCACGGAACCCGAAGGTAGCGGGTTCGGTCCGTGGAGGGTAGGGTCGTGGGTGCGCACTGCTGGGGAGTCCCATACTAGTCGGACGAAACAGCTGTCCAGTGCCCTCAGGTTTCTTTTGTTCCTTCAACTGATGTCAGTCTACGATGAATAACAACCTGAAATATTATTAAAACTCGCTTATATTGTGATAGATAAAACCTATAGAAACTTAAATACTGACTCCATCAAGTAGATTTTCTGTATATTGGCTGTTTTATTGAACCGTTTATCCTATGACTCAAGGGTGTATCGAAAGATGGCAATCGGTTATCTTCTTCTTCTTCATCCATTGAATATATCTTTTAAAACAAGCAACAAACGTTAGTAAAGCAGGATTCTATTTGAATTCATAAATTTCAGTAGAATGTGTAAGTTCCATTTTAGTCTGTTTATTAGAAATATCACACAGTTAAACAGTAGCGTTTACTGGATAACGTTTCGAACACAATTTATCGTCTGTATTCATATCAGCTAACTCTAGCTGTATTACTACTACTACTACTACTACTACTACTACTACTACTACTACTACTACTACTACTACTACTACTACTACTACTACTACTACTACTACTACTACTACTACTACTACTACTACTACTACTACTACTACTACTACTACTACTACTACTACTACTACTACTACTACTACTACTACTACTACTACTACTACTACTACTACTACTACTACTACTACTACTACTACTACTACTACTACTACTACTACTACTACTACTACTACTACTACTACTACTACTACTACTACTACTACTACTACTACTACTACTACTACTACTACTACTACTACTACTACTACTACTACTACTACTACTACTACTACTACTACTACTACTACTACTACTACTACTACTACTACTACTACTACTACTACTACTACTACTACTACTACTACTACTACTACTACTACTACTACTACTACTACTACTACTACTACTACTACTACTACTACTACTACTACTACTACTACTACTACTACTACTACTACTACTACTACTACTACTACTACTACTACTACTACTACTACTACTACTACTACTACTACTACTACTACTACTACTACTACTACTACTACTACTACTACTACTACTACTACTACTACTACTACTACTACTACTACTACTACTACTACTACTACTACTACTACTACTACTACTACTACTACTACTACTACTACTACTACTACTACTACTACTACTACTACTACTACTACTACTACTACTACTACTACTACTACTACTACTACTACTACTACTACTACTACTACTACTACTACTACTACTACTACTACTACTACTACTACTACTACTACTACTACTACTACTACTACTACTACTACTACTACTACTACTACTACTACTACTACTACTACTACTACTACTACTACTACTACTACTACTACTACTACTACTACTACTACTACTACTACTACTACTACTACTACTACTACTACTACTACTACTACTACTACTACTACTACTACTACTACTACTACTACTACTACTACTACTACTACTACTACTACTACTACTACTACTACTACTACTACTACTACTACTACTACTACTACTACTACTACTACTACTACTACTACTACTACTACTACTACTACTACTACTACTACTACTACTACTACTACTACTACTACTACTACTACTACTACTACTACTACTACTACTACTACTACTACTACTACTACTACTACTACTACTACTACTACTACTACTACTACTACTACTACTACTACTACTACTACTACTACTACTACTACTACTACTACTACTACTACTACTACTACTACTACTACTACTACTACTACTACTACTACTACTACTACTACTACTACTACTACTACTACTACTACTACTACTACTACTACTACTACTACTACTACTACTACTACTACTACTACTACTACTACTACTACTACTACTACTACTACTACTACTACTACTACTACTACTACTACTACTACTACTACTACTACTACTACTACTACTACTACTACTACTACTACTACTACTACTACTACTACTACTACTACTACTACTACTACTACTACTACTACTACTACTACTACTACTACTACTACTACTACCACTGCTAATATTTTTCTTTCGGTTTCTTATGAATTTTTTTAATAAATTTTGGTGGGTAATTATTGAGAAGTAGGGTATTCTTGATGTGTCCAATCTCTTGTGTTACCAATACTAATTCCACTACCAATAGTAATAATGGTGACAGGGTTAAGAGAGAATTCAATGACTCTGGTGTGTTACCATACAAGGAAGTCACCTCAGAAGCATTACGAAGAATTCTCAATAAGGTTGACGGGGATTAAAGTAGCATTCAAACTAACAAACTCGCTGAGATAAACAAGATTTGTAGGTTAAAGATCCTATCGATGGAATCAAACAAAATAATCTGGTTTACCAGATCCCTTACAATGATTGAGAGGTTAAGTACATAGGTCAAAGCAGTCGACCAGGGTCGATTAGAATAATAGAGCACAAAAACTTAGCTGAATCAAGGTTAGTAGATCCTAATAGGATAAGAAATTTAGAGAAAAGCTCGGCTATAGCTATGTATGCGATGATACACAATCACACAGTAGGGTAGGATAGGGCGACAGTGTTGGAAACTAACTTATTTGGGTGGAGGAAGGGAGAGATTGAAATAGAACCTCCATTTGTCGAGTCAACATACACCGAATACATGCAGTAACAGAAATGATTCTACACCTGTCCCAGATATATGGAAAATTCTACTACCCTTGTCATCACAGAGAAGAAGAGAAAATTAGGAATATATAAAGTTGTGGAGTTACCTGATCTGATATGAATATGGACAATAAATTATGCCCGAAACGTGGTTATCCAGTCAATGCTATTGTTTGACTGTGTGATATTTCTAATAAACAGAGTGAAATGGAATTACGATCGGCTACAGTGCTCAAGTTTTACTCTTATATTAAGAACTTGTCAGCTTTTTACTCTTCGTATATGTTTTTATATACTATTGTTCAATAAAGGAATATATACATACATAATACAGCACACTATGACATTGACTGAGGCCTAACAACGCGGACTGAATCATTTGATTATGTCAAAAAGAGCTAGGACCAGGTTGGGAGGGGGGTAACGAATTGATAATGAAAAGTAAAAGGCCTAGGGATGGATTACATCATTTCGAATCGAACAATAAATAGTCAATTAGATAGCTTGATAAAGGTGCATACTAAGAGACCATAAGTGTTAAATAAACAAAAATATTCATTGTAATAGTAATAATACAAGTGAGTGATAATAATGATAACAATGAGAATATGAATATTGAAAAGATTATGTCATTTTGAAACAAGGTAAAACTAAAGGAGGCTAGAGTAGTAGTTGCACGATAACAATAATGTTCAAGAGAACATGATAATAGAGCAGGATGATAGTGAAGAGATAAATATGTGAAGTATAGGAAGAAATAAGGTGAAAGAATAAGACATAAATAAAAACGAAATAAATAACTTCAACACATCTACCATGGCAGATTCAGGGTGACTACCATCTCTTTCTGTACATGTAGGCTCGGTTTACGAACTTGAATCGCACATGCTTCCACAATTGCGAGCATTTTCCTATTCTGCTGTCTGCTGACAACCGGGAAGGCTTTAGTGATGTCGACACAATGTCAATAATCTATTAGATGTTTCGTAATCCAACTCCGAGGGATTTTTGACTTGGCCTGCCTCAACCATTTAGGTAAATGCTCAACCATGCTGGTAGAAAGACGCCTTTCCGTACGACTTATGTATGTTGTTTTGTACGTTGCTGAGACTTTCCAGCAAACATTTCACATCGGGCTTGTGACACATCACAGTTGCATCATCAACATGTCTCAATCAGTTATTATATGATTATTATTTGTCCCTTGGGTTCTTAGTAGAACATAGGGCTTCAGTAGCACGTCTCCATTTCACTCTCTTCTCTGCAGTATTTTGAAACCTGGCTCCACTACTGCTCACAAGCTTTCATTTCTTCCTCATATGATCTCCATGCCACTCTCTGCTCTGACGTCCAACTCGTCGTTTCCACTCGAGAACCTGGCCTGGCGCGTGATGTCACCGAATGGTTTTTCTCAGTGAATGCTCAATCCATCTCCACTTTCTTCACCATATTTGTTGGGCAATAGCTTCTTGGTTGGTTCGTTGCCAACCCGCCAGCCAGAGTTCCTTGTTGCTTATTCTTATTATTCTGGCCATCTTATCTCCATCTCCAGTATCGAGTGAGTGTAGGCGGCAGCTGTTGATGATGTATGTGTGTAGTTTGTTGGAAATGCTTTCCGCAAGGCGCCAAGTCTCTCAACCATATAAAATAGAAGCACTGGCTTGACTGACATAAGTGTGGAAAATCCGGATGTTGTTCATGCTTTATGCTGAGTGCAGTGCGGTAAATCTCCACACAGATTATTTCATATTAATGAAGGCTTGTCTTGCTGTCTTTCTGATCCCAGCTTTGATATCCTCATCTGTGCCGTTGCCACCTGTAATTGAAACGATGCTGCCTAGGTAACTAGGTGTATCAGACAACTTCCTCTGGATTTCTCCCGTCGATGGTGATTGGGGCTTCTTGTTGTTGGTTGGTTAGGTCTCTTCATCACCTCTGTCTCCTCTACGTTTACCTGAAGGAAATCCTGTCTTCGCTGTCTATTCTGTTTACTTGTTGGTTTGTTGGTTGTGCAACAAGACATTAGACATAAATCATCATCGGCGAAATCCAAATCTTCTTCTGGTGTCTTTTCATCGACCGAGCCAGCGTATACTCCTCTTCTCGGTCCTCACAGTTGTCTGCTGCATGATCCAGTCCAGTCGACCACAATCAGGAAGATCATCGATGATGATAGTAGGTGGTAGCTTTGTCTTACTCTTGTCTTCACTTCAAAGGCATCAATGAGCTTTCCATTGTGAATCACTCGGCATGCAGCGTCGTTATATAGCAGTTAAATGAGGTTGAGAAAGGTTTGTGGCACTATAGCTGTAGAGTTGAAGCAGCTGGCAAATTACTTCTCAGTCGACGCTGTCGAAAACCTTTTCAAAGTCGATGGAGTTGAGGTAAAGATCCAGTTGACTACCATTCTGTGTTCTGTTCTATGATGATGTGTGGCTTAGCGTTTCAATTTGATCGGCACATGATTTTTACTGCCTGAATCCAACCAGCCTACTCCGGTAGTGATTTTGAATGGAGAGCATCTTTTAGTCTCTCTAGGATGATGCGGCTGTGTTTTGTTCCGCGTGTTTAGGAGCGTGATTCCGTCCCCTTTCTTGCAAAGACTCTTCTTTGAGAGTTTGACTAGGTAGCTATTCTTCCATTCGGCAGGTACTTTCTCGTTCTTCCAAACCTGCAAGAATGGTGTGAGCTTGTTGGCTGTTGTCTCTGCGTCAGTGTTCAGTGCTTCTTGAGGAATTCCATCTGGTCCTGCTTCTTTTCCGTATTTTAGAATTTTTATGGGATATAGCCACTGTAATATAATAGGTAGAGAGGAAGAGATTGATTACTAAATCTAGTAAAACAAACAATGTGAGCGAAAAAATATTTCTTTTCAGTGGCTCTACACTCATATATATGTAGCATTTTCAAAACGTAAAATTACATACCAATCTAATTATGAGAGTTGTTCAATGAAGGGTTATCAATCTCAAAGTATCAAGAAGGTGATAATTGATCAGATAATTAAGACAGTTAACTAAAGCATAGATGAATTATTTGGCAGAGAGAGTTTGTGAAATTTTAAACAGGTTCTAACATATGATCTATTCTTACATAATTGATATTTTGTATAATGGTAACTAAAGCGCGAAAATGAACTGTTACGTAAAGTGATAAATTGTTGCCGGTAGGGGGAGAAGAAGATGGCTAAATCTGTAACAATAGTAATAATAATAGTAATAATAACAATAATAGAGCTATTAAAATATTAGTTATAATCAATTGTGTGGTGAATGAAATGAAGAGTCCTGTTGTAATAAATAAGCTACACAGATGGCCAAGGCAAGAAAGAGGCTGTACGAATCTCTTGTGAACACACAGACTTGGTTTGTTGAGGTGGATTCCTATAGATTCTGCTGTATGTAAAAGACGAACTCATAGAGGATGGGTGAGGTGAGAAGGTATGTGATAAATAACTTTAAAGGCATTATGAATGTTAACTCGGTGGTCGGTGTCAATCAGATGAAACAGAAACAGAAAGTGACGACAGCACCTTAGATGTCCTATTGACAAGGAAGGCGGATGGAACTATGAAAAGAAGTGTGTATCGGAAACCAACGTCAACAGGTCAGTACACCCACTTCTTGAGTTTCGTCTCCTTTCAATATAAACGAAATCTAGTTAAATGTTTGGTCCATGGGGCTAGACTCATCTGTTCAGATGATAGTTTTGACGAAGAGCTTCAAATTATCCACGATCTACTCAGTAGTAATGGATATCCAGAAACGTTCCTGGCTAAAAATATGAACACATCCAATATGAAAACCAGAATGCCTACAGTCTCCAAGAAACCACTGTTCCTGAGACTACAATTTCGAGGTGACATCATCAGGGAAATTGTGACACAACGCTTAAGAAATGCCATAAGAAGATCATTTAATGCCGCCAAGTTCTGTTGTGTTTTCTACAGCCCGGCCGATGATGACCACACGAACTAAAGACAGACTCCCTGACTTCTCCTCTTCTATGTGCATTTACCAGTTCAACTGCTCCTGTGGAGCTAGTTACATTGGACGTACAGGTAGGCTGGTTCGTCGTCGAATCGCCGAACATCACCCTTCATAGCTAAGTAAGTGGTAAACCAGATCGATACGAAGCTCAATACTCTCTCATCTGACTGACACCGGCCACCGAGTTAACATTCATATTGCCTTTAAAGTTATTTATTACATTCCTTCTAACCTCATCCCTGCTCCACGTGTTCGTCTTTTACATAGAGCAGAATCCATAAGAATCCACCTAAACAAGCCAAGTCTGTGTGTTCACAAGTGATTCGTAGTGTCTTTCTTTGCCTTGGCCATCTGTATAGCTCATTTATTACAACAGGGCTCTTCATTTCATTCACCACACAATTGATTATAACTAATATTTTAATAGCTCCATTATTATTATTATTATTGTTACAGATTTAGCCATCTTCTTCTCCCTCTACCGGCAACAATTTATCACTTTACGTAACAGTTCATTTTCGCGCTTTAGTTACCATTATACAAAATATCAATTATGTAAGAATAGATCATATGTAAGAACCTGTTTAAAATTTCACAAAATCTTTCTACTATAATTCATCTATGCTTTAGTTAATTGTCTTAATTACCTGATTAATTATCACCTTCTTGATACTTTGAGATTGATAACCTTTCATTGAAAAACTCTCATCACTAGATTGATATGTAATTTTACGTTTTGAAAATGCTACATATATATGAGTGTAGAGCCATTGAAAAGAAATATTTCTTCGCTCACATTGTTTGTTTTCACTAAATGTCTAGATGGGAATTACTGATTACTGAATCGTTGTTCATCGAATCAACACCCATCACATGTGTATTAGAAATGACGTAACACCTATGCCAGAGATATGGAAGATTTTACTACCAATAAAAACAAATCATATGAGGTCACGTAGCTATAAAAATCAGACGTCGAAATTGGAGTGTGATTAACTTGATCTAATTATGGGCAATAAGTAATTTCTGCTCGGAACGTCATCAAGTAAATAATACTACATGACTGTGTGTTATAAATTAAATAAACAAATCTTATATGGGGTTTAATTCTACCACATTGCTTAAGTTTTACACTGATATTAAATGAAGTGTTCAGCGCATTCAACCACGTCGCTCTCTATTGTCAACAAGGTCACCGGTGAAGGCGAGTCCAGAAGCAAAATTTTACATTTGAGTGGCGAGAAATGCTTTTCGAACTCTCTCTAATTACCATTTATAGTACCTAGAAAACTTCATCTTTGCAGTGTATTCGCTTAATAGAACTATGTAAAATAAGTCGAGTTATGACTTATTGGTTTGAAGAGATGACTTTCAACTGTTGGGTCACGGGTTCGAACACCGTTCCACGTATCGTGAAAAAGTGAACAATAAAGAAGACAGATCTCGAAAAGCGATCTCAATCTATGATCAAAACTTATTTTCGAATCAATTAAACAATTGAATAGCTATGCATTACTCATCATTGACTTGTTTTGAGATGGATTTCTTGAAGATCACGGTGACCTGCTTGAGCCTTAGGCTTCCAGGTTTATCTATCAAATTTCTTTCTTTCAATTTGTTTTAATCATTTGAATGTGTCCTTTGAACGTATCATGTAGTCTGGCATATTTTCAAACTATTTTCCAACTCTTGAGTCTCTGCTAATTATTCATTATATTCTTTCTTTTCTCATAGATTGCTCTAGGTACTGTTTCTAATATCGATGAAGCTGTGACATGGCTTAGTTACACTTATTTATTTATTCGTCTAAGGCAGAATCCACTTCAATACGGTTTGACTACAGCTGTACTTGAGGTAGGTTTTGATTATTTATTTTAAAGGAGGTTTTTAGTGATTTATTTATTGATTTCAGGTTGGTATTCATCGTGGATTGACTGTTTCGTCCCATTATGGGACTCCTTAGCAATGCACACCTACGGGATCGAACACAGAACCTTTAGATTCCGTGGTCAACACGTTACCATCGACCCAGCAGATTGGAACCAATAGTCCGTATTTCATACTTCTGTCAGTTCACGATATAGTCTGTTGTTGAATAACTATCTTCACGACCAAATTGGTTGGCCCAACCGGCAACGACTTATCATTAGAACTTCGGGAATCTCATCTCGAAGCGTATCACTCAATAATCAGTGCTAGAGAGTTGTTCGGTTTTAAGGTTTAAGGAGGTTGATTTCTGGTTCTCTGGTTAATGTCAATCCGTGTTACATACCAGCCTAAGATATATATATATATATATATATATATATATATATATATATATATATATATATATATACTTCATAAGAGAGCCTTCGATGCTGTTGGGGACATCATGACAGCCACTTCAAAACTCAGTGTGCTCGTGGTTGTCGTCTGCGTGATAATATCGGAGTAGATTATTGACTCTCCAGTTGACAGTTTAGAGGATCCACTTTCATTCGATCTGCTTTCGCAGGTTCCTAGCACCTCTATGGCATGCCTTCTCATTTCTTTTGCAATCTGGGCAGTCTCACCAGCCAGCATCAAACATTGTGTGGACATTCCATGTCCGTATAACTTACTTTCACTTTCATCGAGAGAAGAGAGGACACATCAGCCAATTAGCTTTTCGAAGGCTTTCACCAACTGGCGTCATTTCGTCTTTCCAATTCCAGCGAGGAATAAGTTTGTTTTTATTTTTTATATTCACTTTATGCTTCGAAGTTTCCTTAGCGATTGGATTGGTTTTACGAGGTAGGGTTGGTAGCCGTATGCCTAACCTTCTTTGTCTATCCGGGCATAGCATCGGCTTATAACTAGTGAACCGGTTATCAAGGTGAGGGGGTGACTGTGTGTGTGTATGTAGTTTCTGTGCCAGCCACATTATTGATTAGGTTTTCACAACTTCGTCAACTGACTTTCCTGTTTTATCCGAAAATCCTTCACTTGATGTTCATATTACTAAGTTGGCCTATCAACGACACATGGCCTATGCTATTTTAATTAGTCTTCTTTCTCAGTTATGTACAGAACAGGGTAGCTCATTGTCACTTGATCCTTAGAATAGACATAAGTAGTATATGCATATAGATCAGCAGAAATCACAGGCAATTAACAGCGATGGATAAATATTCTGCCGAGAGAAACACAAGAGTCAATATGGGAGTAATACAAGCGAGTCGAGATACAAGCATAAATGGAAGTGAAGCAGATTATGAAAATACCTCATTTTACGGGAAGTGTACAGTATTTTATCACTAGTGTACAAAAATGTCATAACATTGATTTGGTGTTCTCTCGAAACTTTATTACGATCTTGCATAGTGATCTCTTGAAAAGATTCACAAAAATGTTGGAGAGTACATCGTAAAATCTGAAGACGTACTCTAATGATCCCAAAAAGGTCATTCGATTCAGCTTAATATTAAATGGGAAATTCTTCTTGTAGCTCAGGAATTAAGCAGGCCATCAGTTCATAGATGGAGAAGAAATAAATGAACGAATCAAATATTTTTTTTTAATTTCCAAGTTGATTATATGTGTTTGTGTGCTTGTTTCACTGCTATTGATTTCCGAGTTATTTCACTCACCCGGTTTCGAACCTTTCTTTAACTACTTTGATTTAGATAATCAAGTGATTTAATCATATTAGGCAATTTTCCACCTTACGAAGTTAGTGATTCTTCCGTCAGTTAGTGACAAGGCCTGCGATCAAGTTTAGCTTACCTCCTTTGATGCTTCGAGTTACTTTTAACATCACCCCAACAATCGCTGAAATAACCAATCAGGTTTTGGTATTTCGTCTGTAAAAGTAGTTTTTCATAAAATAATGGAAGTTTATTGGTTATCTCAATAATTGTTAGAAGGTATGACCTTGAAAGCAACTCCGTTCTTCATTTCTTACTCTCTAACATTTCTAACTTACTATTACCCTTAAGTTGTATACATTAACGAGTTAATGTAACTGGTTTAGATAATAACCCGTAAAAATATTCACGAAAATATTCTTCAAGTCGTTTCATATGAAGCGTTTTTTTCCAACTTATACTCCAGTTTATCAATAATGAAGTCAACACATACTCTTAAGTTTTACGTTACTATTATATGTACGCAGAACCTAATGTATAGACGAGTGACTTTAAAGGCCACCCTACCAACAACTGAAGGTCAGATTTTCATAAAGTCGAGAAATCTGATTGGTTAATTTAGTTGTTGCCAGGGTAATTTTTAAAGTTACTCGTATAGACGACAACCGCAATTTAAAATGTTTGGGAATTATTGTTGACTGTGAATGAAGTGTTATTGTTAACATGTTTTTTTGGTCCCTCCCCCGTCTTATCAAGTTAATGTTCTCTCAGTGAAATGAAATACAAAATGAAATCGGGCAATTCAACCCTTATAGCAAGAGTTGATACTGGTTGCATAAGAAGGTGGGTTTCGTGCCTCAGTGGCCTATTAGATAAGACTTTGGAGTTTCAAGTGATATTTATTGGTGTGGAAGTTCATCCTACTGATGAGTCTTATATAGAACGAAACACATATCCTTAGTCTCACTACTGGTCACCAAGATGGCAACTACAAAATGATTTCTTTAAAACTTCAGTGTATGCTAATGGCACATAGGTCATCAAAATATTTTCACTGGTATATGCTCTGTTGAAATACAGTCGTGAAGTAATCATATTTAACCTAGATTTCGTATCCTTAAGGCTTTTGTCTCCTAGCTTCAGGAATTTGATGTTCGTTGAATGATCTTTGAAAACTAGTGATTTTCATATTGTTTAGTTTTAAGTGCTGATGGAATTCTGCCGGTTATTGTTTAACCTGGTTACCAAGCTAGGAAACTTATCTTCATGGTGAAGACAGGCAAACAAAATCAACGTAGAACCTTTCACACAGGTGTATCGTTTCAAGTTGCCACACTTCACAGTAGTACACAATGAACAGTTGGTTAAAAAAAGAGTCTTGGGGAACCCAGCCAAACAAGCTACATTTCACAACACAGCTCAGATCAACAAACACACACTTCATGGACTAGGACTACGTCTTGCTATTGCCACTCTCAAGCCTATTCCAACCTCCTCTATCATGGTCACAGCGTTATCATTGTGCAGTTTGATTGATGACAAAAATGGTTAGAAGAATTCGACACGATGCTTTGCTACTTTTTAAGAAACTTATTAACATTCTTTAGCTCTCAAAATGTGTAATCCGACTAAGTTATTTCTAGTTGGCTATAAGCAATTATCCTTCATTAGATGAAACCTACTGTAAGTCTTTGCTAGGACTGGCGTGGAATCATATTCCTGTCCACCCAGAACAAAATATTAAGACGCATCATCCTGGAAAGACTAAAAGATGCTTTGGCTTCAAAATTACCACCGGAACAGGCTGGCTAGCTGACTGGCTATAGGAAAAACAAATCATCTGCCTATCAAACTGCAACGCTACACTTCGGATCATTATAGAACATAGCAGAGAATGGCGGTCAACTGGGTCTTTACCTCAACTCCATCGGCTTTGAAAAGGTTTTCGACAGCGTTGACTGAGAAGTAATTTGCCAGCTGCTTCAACTCTACAGTTTTAGTGCCACAAACCTTTCTCAACCTCATTCAGCTGCTATATAACGACGCTGCATGCCGAGTGATTCACAATGGAAAGCTCATTGATGCCTTTGAAGTGAAGACAAGAGTAAGACAAAGCTACCACCTACTATCATCATCGATGATCTTCCTGATTGTGGTTGACTGGACTGGATCATGCAGCAGACAACTGTGAGGACCGAGAAGAGGAGTATACGCTGGCTCGGTCGATGAAAAGACACCAGAAGAAGATTTGGATTTCGCCGATGATGATTTATGTCTAATGTCTTGTTGCACAACCAACAAACCAACAAGTAAACAGAATAGACAGCGAAGACAGGATTTCCTTCAGGTAAACGTAGAGGAGACAGAGGTGATGAAGAGACCTAACCAACCAACAACAAGAAGCCCCAATCACCATCGACGGGAGAAATCCAGAGGAAGTTGTCTGATACACCTAGTTACCTAGGCAGCATCGTTTCAATTACAGGTGGCAACGGCACAGATGAGGATATCAAAGCTGGGATCAGAAAGACAGCAAGACAAGGCTTCATTATTATGAAATAATCTGTGTAGAGATTTACTGCACTGCACTCAGCATAAAGCATGAACAACATCCGGATTTTCCACACTTATGTCAGTCAAGCCAGTGCTTCTATTTTATATGGTTGAGAGACTTGGCGCCTTGCGGAAAGCATTTCCAACAAACTACACACATACATCATCAACAGCTGCCGCCTACACTCACTCGATACTGGAGATGGAGATAAGATGGCCAGAATAATAAGAATAAGCAACAAGGAACTCTGGCTGGCGGGCTGGCAACGAACCAACCAAGAAGCTATTGCCCAACAAATATGGTGAAGAAAGTGGAGATGGATTGGATTGGACATTCAATGAGAAGGCTATTTGGTGAGATAACGTACTACACTAAGTCCTCAAATTGAACCCAAATGGGAGACGACCGGTTGGGTGTCTTAGGTTGACATGGAGGAGGTCGTCTGAGGAATAAGTGAAAGCTTGTGGGAAGAAAACCTAACATATCATTTCATGATCAGTCAACGTTTCCTTACAAAGAGCAGTTGAATTGATAGGTTGACTTATCCACTGGATGAAGTTTTTGACTACACCACTACTTCTTATACATCTAGGAATATCTTGGACGTGGATATATCATAACAGACGTAAATACGTTTTTTGTACTGTACAAACATTGTGCCGAAGCAAAATATTGAGTTCCAAGTACACCAGTGTCATCTCCTCTAGCTTTTATGATTGCAATTCCATAGAAGGGATCAGCTGAGGGAGAGCTCTCGAAGACTTATGCTTTTTTCCCGTGTTATCAGTCATTATTAGCAAAAGTGTGTATATATATGTGTGTGTAAATCAGTGGTATTTGGTATATACGTTTTAATGATATATAAGACTTAGCAAATGTTTCAATGTATTGCCTTTTTATTAGCGTGATCCAGATCTAGTTGAATTTTTGGGACGTGTTGTGCGTACTTGTGCAACAGATTTAGATGCTGCTGAAATGATACGTTATGAACCAGCTACTGGTCAATTAGCATCTACAGATCGTGGACGTACAGCTAGTTTATATTATATTCGTTATGCAACTGCTGCTATGGTGAAAGATACACTGGAACCAACAATGATGATTCCTCAACTATTTTCAATGTTAAGTGAAGCATCTGAATTTGCATCGATGAAAGTATGTGAACTATTTATATATACTTATCATTCATATTCAATAATTTTTCATTGAATTCTATGTAAAACCTATTGAATGCATAGAAATTCATTTTCAATATGGAATGTTGCGTACACCATAAAGTTTATCAACTTTTATGTTTGTGAAAAATGATCATTGAAGGTAGAAGATATGAGAATATTGTAAATATCCAACCACTGTTATCTTCGTAGTATGGTTCCTATAGTGTGGAATCACCACGTTAGTATTGTAAAAGTGTGATCTGAAGGTTGTCAACTGTTATCGATTAGGATGACTTGTATATGTGTTACACATACTCAACCACTTTTCTGCTTCGTCCTACAATACGGTCAAGACAGCGTGGCATAATCGGTAAAGTTTTTCGTTATGTTGGATAATGAAGACTTCTGGATTCCAGTCTACATGACAACCGGAACTGGGTGATTTAAGACGCTACAATCTACTTCAGTTGAGCGCATGCTCTCCAGCCGTACTGTCATTTTTACTCTTATATGACGTTTCCTTTTGATTGACGGCTTCTTACATTTTTTGTCCTGGATGCATCTATTCAATCATCACCCAGTACAATTACTAGTCTTCCAAACTGAGGCTATCTTAGATAATCAAATCATAATCCATATATGATGCTCCCCCTCTCTGATTCAGTTAGCTTTGGATTGGGATGAGAAGTCCTGACTAGGCATCCAGTGTGAATACCATCACGTGGTAGTTGACCAAAAACCCCTTGATTATTGAAGTGAAATAAAATTCTGATCAGCAATCAGACCCTCAAATCGGGTCTGCAATCCGGTGGTCGCTGGTTCGAGTCCGACTGACGTCTAGATTTTCATCTCACCTTCAATCATACGAAACAGCATTTGTCTGAAATACGGTTCTATATTAATAAGCAATATTGTATAGTGGAATAAAAGCTTTAAATCATGAGGTATCTGCAGGTTCATCGCTTTCAAGACACTTGCAAAGAGTGCATCAACAGTTAAAACTGCAGGACTGCGTTCAAGCCATCAGAGGGGAATATATTAATGACGCACGTCGGTTCTCACAGTGAGATAAATACTGAAGATAAACAAATGTTCAAGGTAAAGTAGGACATACGGGAACAAGGAAAGAAATTATAACACAATCATGAACTATGAAAGATACCAATATTTACGGATGTTAAATAGTAAACAAGATACGATTAAACAGAATAAACAATCAAGGCCGTAGGTAAGACAATGCTATTGGGCGACTCAAATTATACTACTTAAAAATACTGAGTAGTATAAAACTAAAGATATAAAAAGGTGATACAACGGAAATGAGCACAAGAAAGGAGTTAACATCCACATCTGCCAGAATAGTACCTACATCCTCTGTCTACTGGATTTCAACATTTTTAGACATTGATTCAAAAAGTCGGAGTTATCCATTTGCTTGACATTAGATATATATTGCATTTGTGTCAGTCTCAGGGGGTTTAAAATTAAATAATTTCAACGTTTCGCACGAAAGTCTGGTTCAAGATTCTTCAGGGGAAAAGAAGCTCGGACCAGACCTTCCTACGAAACGTTGAAATTATTTGATTTCAAACCTGTAGTGACTTGCACAAATACAATCTATATCTAATAGATGCTCGCTAACAACTACTACCCATTGTACAAGAAGGTGTCCGACTTGATTTAGTAACCTAATGAACCGTACTTAATCAAGGAGGTTAAACACTGAGGGAGAATTTTTTTATCGTTTCAATTTTTTCCACTTTACGTCTCAACATAATGAGTGGAGAAATCATTAAGCCTACTCATTTACATACAGTTTCAAATAAGGTTTAGTACAATCCCTTTTTTATTGATTTGTTGGATATATCGCATAGTGAAGGGACAGTATTATATACTGGATTACTTTTCCGATATCATTTATTGTCCGCAGTCGTATCAAGATCACTATCTCCACAACTTTGAAACATTCTTTTATATGGTCCTAATTTCCTCTTTCCCTTTGTGATGACATGGGTAGTAAGATTTTTCATATATCCGGAACAGGTTGTTATGCTATTCCTTTTGCTGCATGTATAATGTATTGATTCCATATACAATGATTCATTTATCAATCTCACTCTCCACTTTATGTTAATTTTACGAATTTTCATCCTGTTGTATCATTGCACGTGTAGCTATAGCCGAGACTATTAGGATCTACCAGTTAACCGGTGGCTTATGACTTTCAACACCACTCATCATCATTATCAACATAGGACCAGGCATTACTGTGTAACGGTCCGAGTTGCCACACCTCATATCAGCACATCAAGTAAAAAGGTAGTGAGGTGAAGGATGAAGATAAGTGAATGCAGTCAAAAGAAATATAAAGTACGAGAAGAAAGGAAAGAGGAGTGACAAAATAGTGAGATTCGGTATAGCGTTGTTAAGATGAGGATAATGTGTGTATACATCTGCGCCACTGACTTCGGTTCTGAGCCATATCACCTAGGGTCTCCAACCACCGGTTCCTCTTGTCCCGTGGACCCCAACCACCTAGTCTGCATCGTCCTACATGGCTTAAACCAACAGTCAACGACTTCATACATTTGTTCCATGTTTTAGTCTGGTCACCTCCTACTTTTTTCCAGCCTGGACCCACCTCAGCCAATATTGTGTGACGACGCAACTGGTAACTAGGCATACGTAGTACGTGTCCCAACCATCTGAGTCGATGAAGGTTCACAGCCTCGTCAACTGACTTACCTCCTCTCCCCAAAACTCTACACCTAACTTCTGCATTACTCACATGGTGACACCACGGAATACGGTGGCCTGTACTACGAAGGTAACTGTGGTCAAACACCTGAAGCCTTTTTGTATCCTCCACTTTCAATGGCCATGTTTCACAGGCATATAGTAGAACAGAGCGGACTGTTGTGCAGTACACGCGACCCTTAATAGACAAACGAATATCATGGCGGCGCCATAGGTGGCGCAAATTGGCAAAAGCCAATCGAGCCTTTTGTATCCGTGCAGAAATGTCATCGGCCACTACCCCACCGGAGTTGATCCTACTTCCCAGGTAAGTGAAGTGGTCAACACACTCAACCACTTCACTCTCTAGTGTTAGCCGCGGTGGGCTACCGCTGAAGACCAGTCCTGGAGCAAAAATTTGCATTTGGGTGGTGAAAATCGCATCCCAAACATTCTCAACACCACTCCAACTACTGTTATTTCAAGTAATTAGTTAGTATCATTATGTTCTTGACGAATAAGCTTGACTTGTCGCTTACTTCATGATTGTGAAAGCGGTTGATGAATTTCATTTTCCAAATTTCTTTTTGGCTCTGTATGTGCGAAAGGTTGCATGTTATTGATTTTAATGGTTGAATAAATATTTCATGTAATCATGTGTAAATTTGTGTCATTAATTATGCGCTATAATAACTAATTAAAAAGTCACTGCTCTTTCAAGAACTAGTTGCTATGGCTAGCGGTCCTCAACAAGTATGCACTAACTGAGTGACTGACAAAATCAATGCTGAACCCTACATGCAGGAGCATCGGCTCAAGTTGTCACACTTCACAGAAGTACATAAAGAAGAGGTGGATAGAAAGGGAGTGATATCAAAGATAAAGTAGTTTTAGAGAATAAATAATCTGGAGATAACGGTTAGTGCAAATATTCAAGTTTTAGATGTCACCGATTTCTAGCTATGTCATCAAGTATCCTCAACCACTAATTCCTTTCATCTCGAAGATCCTAAGCAGACATATCCCCAAACAATTCAGACCACCAGTAAGAGACTTCATCAGATTTATACCACGTCTTAGTCTAGCCACTCTGAACCCTGTTCCAATGTAATACAACTTTTCACAGCATGACACGTCGAAGTAGGCGGTTGCTTGGCATGTGCAGTACATGTCCAAGCCGTTTCAGTTGACTAAGGTCCGCAACTTCATCAGTCGAATTGTCAAGTACCCTACACTTGACGTCAACATTGCTCACACGAGCTGTACTACAAGGACATTTATGCCTGAAACCCTTTAATCGCTTCAACATCTATGTCTCTCAGCCATAAAATAGGACAGAACGGACTGAAGTGAAGTTTTTTCGTCTTGTGATGGGTAATCAGACATGGCTCCAGTTGGCTTCACAGGTAATGCAAATTGGTAAATGCCAAACGGGCTTTCTGTATCTAGCTGAAATTCCGTCAGCAATGAGCCCATTTTCAGCTGATACAGCTCCGCAACTAATTGAAAGTGATTGATACATTCCACCGCTTCATTCCCTATCTTTAAAATAAGAGTAGTTGTCTACCAGTCCTAAAGTTGTACTTGGTTTTTATACTGTTTGAACAGTGCATGAACAAAGATTTTCATTCGCAGAATAAAATGAGTACATTTTATTTCATGGCCTTTCATCAGTTGTAAACAGCCTACAATTTAAATGAAGTATTACTAGTAGCAATCATGGCATGACATACTTTAAATATGTAGGAATAAATGAAGATTTGAAATCCAGGATAAACAATAAGGTAGTGAGTGAGTCAAGGCAACACAAGATTTATAATTACAAATCTTGGTCAAAATCAATGATGATTTATATCTGATGAGATAGAAAATCCTGGAGCTGTGGAATAACGTGGGGACAACAAACAAAAACCAGTGTAAAAGAAGGAAATGTTTCAGGGTTGGCAGGTTACGTAATCACATGAGAGACAGAGAGAGAGAGAGAACTGTTAAGTGATTCACAGTCAGAATAGATACAATCAAAAGAAAAGGGAAGACTATATGCATACATACACATCCAAACGGTTATATATAGTTGCAAAGTAAAGAAAGGTTAATTACAGTCTCCTTCTGACTATAACAGGTCAGGTTGAAAAATGTTTGAGTAGGAGAGCTTCTGCAAACCGTTATAAACATGGTGTTCTTTGTTTGTTGATAATCGTGAAGGATTGATAAACATCTATATTTGTTGTCTTGTCTCCATCAGGTGTCTCGTGGTTGCGCTGTTGGAGACCTTGCTGCTATTTATACACAGATTTGTTGGAATATCTTCATAAAGTCGAGTAGATGCTGTTCTTTCGGTTCGTCCTATGTACTTGCTTTGACAACTGCAGTTGAATTGATATAGGCAGTTGGAATTGACATCTCCCCTATTCCACAGCTTTGTAATTTTCTATCTTATCAGATATAAATTGTCACTGATTTTGAATGAGATTTGTGATTATAAATCGTGTGTTGCCTTGACTCACTCACTCCTTATTGTTAATCCTGGATTTCAAATCTTCATTTATTCCTACATATTTAAAGTATGTAATGCCATAATTACCACTACTAATACTTCATTTGAATTGTAGGCTGTTTACAGGTGATGAAAGGCCATGAAATGAAATGAGGTTATTGTGGTGGATGGGATCATACAGTAAACAGTGAGGAGCTTGAAGAGAGGGATATGGTGGACCGAGTAGAAAATGTCCTCGAAGATTTGGATTAGGCGTATGACTTGTTTCTAATGTTGCAGAAACTCGAAGATCTCTAGGTGACAACTAACAAGTTGACAGTGGAGGCAGGGAAGACAGGACTTGAAGTGAACGCCACCACGAACGAAAACCAGGTTCCAATTACCATTAAGGGGATGAATGTGAAGGAAGTAGCCTCTTACCTGTGTAGGCGGCATCGTTTGAACTACAGGTGATGGGACAGAGGAGGACGTGGAAGCCAGCGAGGATCGGAAAAGCGAGACAGGCTTTCATGAAGCTGAGACCAGTGTGGAGATCTGCTGTACTGCACTGAGCATAAAGCTTGAACAACATCTGTATTTTGGACACTAATGTTAGTCAAGCCAGTGCTTCTATACTATATGGTTGAGAGACTTGGGGGCGCGTTACGAGAAGCATTTCCAACAAATTACAGACATACAACAACTGCGTACACTGGCTCGATACTGAAGTTCAGGTGGCCAGAAAGAATAAGGAAGAAGGGACTCTGACTGGCTGGCTGGTTGGGTGGTGACGAACCAACCAAGAACGTATTGGTCAACAAATATGCTGTGGAAGGAAGTTGAGATTGATTGGATAGGGCATGCACTGAGAAGAGGATTAGGGTACATTACACGCGAGGCGATTTCCTCTAGTGGAAGGCAGATGGGAAACGGCTAGTTGGGCGTCCGAGTGGAGGGCGACATGGAGGAGATCATGTGAGGAAGAGATGAGAGGTTGTGGGCAGTTGTGGAGCCAGGTAGAAACGATTGCAAAGAAGAGAGTGTAACGGTGATGTGCTGCCGAAGCCCTATATTCCACTAGGAAGTCAAGATACAAATGATAAAAATAATTTTATTCTGTAAATGTTTATGTTCTCGCATTGTTCAAACTTGTTAAGGAGAAAAAATGAATGACCTTTATGTTGGAAGTCATTTAGTAATCTGTAAAGCACTTTTGGAAAGTGGATATCCGACGAAGTTTATAAATTGATGTAGAGGTCAAGTAGCACCAAAGCCAACTCTATACAAGGTCCATAAGAAGAATGTCTATATCACTCTACTATACAGAGGGGAGTTAAATAGTATCATTTTGAGACGTAGGCTGACATCAGCCATTAAGTAAACGTATTACGCAGCGAATCTTATCATTGTGTAGAAAACAAAACACCATGCTTCACCTAAAACCTAAACACTGCATCAATGGTTACATCACATCCCATTGTGTTTACTAGTTTACATGTGTGTGGGGTCACACATACATAAGGGAGGAGTAATCGAGTCATGCAGTTGAGTGTGAGAGAATCTGTAAATTATTATTATTTTCTCCTCTCACTTTGATTAAAGGCTCATGCCACTGTACAAATCAAGTTATTTTCTGAGCTAAAGTTTTAGTTGGTGGTAAGACATTGAGATCAGTATGAAACTTTGAATAACTTGCCAATAAAAACTCTTAGTTTAGACATTAACTCAGTGGGAACATCCACACAATGAGCTTAAAATATTCTTCATCACTTCTCTTATTATATATATATATATATATATATATATATATATATATATATGTATTTTGTTTTCGCCAATTTTTAAATGTCACTATTTCAAGGTACGTGAAGAAGAAGGAACAGAACTTGTTGATATAAAGAATAAAGTTTGTCATCTACCTATTCAACAAGCTGGTACAGTGGATACAGATGTTGTAGCCAAAGTGAATGCTCTTCTTCAAGGTTATATAAGTCGTCATATACCAAGTTGTCATTCATTAACATCAGATATGAATTTTGTACAACAGAATGCTGGACGTTTAGTTAGATATTTATTTGAGATTTCATTGCGTCAAGGTTGGTCTCAATGTGCTAGTATTACGCTTACATTAGCAAAAGTAAGTGTGTATTTTATTCCCATTTACATCTTCATAAATCAGTATCAATGTTATTTTTATTCCATTTTCGCACTGTTTAATGCTCATCAGTATGTTGTTCTTGAGGCTTGGAAATACCCCCCTCTTAGTTAGTATTTCCACCTTCCATCTGATTTATTGTTCTCCAATAGCAATCTGGACAGACAGTAAAACGGAAGAGATCAACTCACCTATTAACTTTAAAGTGAACATATTCACAATAATGCTATGCAATAGACTTCTCTAGTACTTCATCTAACAGTGAATATATCTCCTTGATAATGCTGCATACCTTATAGTGAACAGTATACAAAACGCATTACCATTGGTCTACAGTTCTTTAAAGGTTTATCCCAATTGCACAATAATATCTAATTCTGATGGCGTAAATCTATATTGCTGTGAATGATAATACTTGTATAGATATTCACTTGGATTAAATGATTATGTGGAAACTTACAGATTCTCAACATCGTCATCGTGGGTTGTTTGTGATCTCCGAAGCTATAAACATAAGAATTTATGGTAATTACTATTAGTCCCTTAGGTTCCTAGTGAAACACAGGGCTTCAGTAGTACGTCTCCAGTGTCCTCTGTTCTCTGAGAGCTTTTGAAACTGGTTCCACGACAGCCTAGAAGCTCTCATTTTCTCCTCTCACGATCTCCTGCATGTCACCCTCGGACGTCCAACTTGTCGCTTCCCATGGGGATTCCACTCGAGGGACTGGCCTGGTGGGTGATGTCCCCAGTCGGCCTTCTCAGTGGATGCCCAATCTATCTCCACTTCCTCCTGCATATTTGTTGGGTGATAGGTTCTTGGTTGGTTCGTTCCCAGAGCTCCGTGTTGCTTATTCTTTCTGGCAATCCATCTGATCTTCAGTAGCGAGTCAGCGTAGGCAGTTATTGATGAATGTCTGTAGTTTATTGGAAATCCTTTTCGTAACGCACCGCCAAGTCTCTGAGCCATACAAGAGCACTGACTTGACTGAAGTTGGTGTTTAAAATCCGTATCTTGTTCCGCATGCTGAGTGCAGAAGATCTCCACACTGGTTTCAGGCTAATGAACGCCTGTCTTGCTTTTCCGATTCTGACTTTGACGTCCTCGTCCGTCCCGCCTGTAGTTGAAACAGTGCTTCCTAGATAGGTGAAGGAGGTTACTTCCTTTAAGTTTCTCCCATTGATGGTGACTGGAGTTTGTTGTTGTTGTTGTTGATGGTGGTGGTGCGGTATCTTCATCACCTCTGTCTTGTCTATATTCACTTGAAGTCCCGTCTTCGCTGGTAAAATAAACGCTTATTTAGGGTAACGGGTTTTTGCGAAGACGAATGAAACATATCGACTGCTTGTAACGGAAATTTGGAATTTTGTGCCACCACCGGTGAAAAAAAAGTATCACTAAAAACGATCTAAACTTTAACTTTCCGTATATGTTGAAAATTGATATTTTCTTATTCATTTCATAACTTGTGGAATCTTCTGATGTTTTTAATCGAATATAATCGCTTCCGTTCCGCACCATTCAGGTCCCGTACAATCTTGTACATTTTACATCATATATCAATGTAATACTGCCTGTAAACTGGCTTCTCTCATATTATACTACTAATATCCGAATAAAATATTGATTTATTTATATCATTTTGTAGACTTTCACTTATTTGCTTTTTTATGTGTCATTTATAGGATGACAATTTCGACAATACACTAGTAATCAAGCAAATGGTAATTAATTGACATAGTTCAGTATACCTTGATCCTTCTTCTATGCATAGCTGAATGATTAGTTCACCTTCCGTTTTGTACTGTACTTTACTAAAAGTTTAGTCAACTATGTAATGTTGAAGTCTTCAGTAACTGAGGTTGATCTGGTATCAAAAACGTTTCAAAGAGTATTGTATTCACTTATGTGTTGCTAACTGGGATTGGACGACCTCTAATTTGTCTATTATGCCTAGTATGATAAAAAGTTTGAAGTGAGGGTGCTTTGAGAGGGTCGCTTTAAAACACAGCTAACTTATCTAATATGTTGATGTTTGTTATATGATAGAAGACTGTGAATAAGAAGCTTGGAACCTTATATAGATGAACTTTGGACTGTTTCATTCATTCAAAACTAATATCTATACCTGTTGATTTGTCAGTTGACTTCATGCAAGAGAATCGCTTGCCAGATTTCATGCAGAATGCTACTCGGGTTGGTATTTTATCATAGAGTGACATCAATAGCAGGAATATTGTAAAACTGAGAACGCTGAACAATTGTTTCGTCCTGATCTAGGATTCCTAAGCAGTGCACACCCATGAACCCCCCACCAGGGGACGAACCCAAGAACTTCTGTTTTCGCGATCAACACGTTACTATTAACCCAATAGGTTGGAATCCAATGTTCCGTATTTCCTACTTCTATTACTTCGCGAAACAGCGATACCTCAATCCAATGTTGTAATTGTGTAACTGTTCTCATGTTCGACATGATTGATTCTTACTTGCAGAGTTGCCACTCTGTTGTCTAATTTATGCATTTATTCATTTTATTATAGATGTTTGAACAACGATTATGGGATGGGCAAAGTCCATTATGGCAGTTCATTGAAAATGGTAAACAACGATTAGTTCAACGTGTTGAAGAACTCCATCTGTCGATAGATCGAATTCGTGAAATTGATGTCAATGAATTAGGTATTATAATTGTAAACTATTTTTCCATACTGAATGATTGGAAAAAAAAATTCTCAGTCATTTACTCAACCATATATGTTGCAAGATTATTGATTAAGTAGGACTAGGCATTACTGAGTAACGTCCCAAATACCAACATCTAATATCAGTAAATCAAGTAGAAAGGTAGTGAACTGCAAGATGAAGGTGAGAAAACTCAGTCAAAAGAAATATAAAGTACTAAAAGGGAAAAAGGAAGAATGACAAAAAGGTGAGAATTGGTATAGTGTTAAGATGAAGATCATGTGTATATATATATATATATATATATATATATATATATATATATATATATAAAGCACTGACATCTGTTCTGAGCCAAATCACACAGAATAGGTCTCCAACCACTGACTCCTCTTGTCCCACACACCCCAACCACCTAGTTTGTATCGCTCACATACCTCAAACCAACAGTCAAAGACTTCATGCATTGATGCCATGTTTTAGTTTGGCCACATAGGGCCTTTTAACAACCTCAACATACTTCGACCAACATTGTATAACGAGGCAATCGATGACTAGACATACGTAGTACGTGTCTCAACCATCTCAATCGATGAAGATTCACAATCGCATCAACTGACTTACTTCTCCCAAACACTCTACATCTGACTTCTGCGTCACTCACATGGTGACACCACGAAGGGAACAGTGGTGAAACACCCGAAGCCAGCCTTCTCATATCTTCCAACTTCAATGGGCATGTTTCACAGTCATACAACCGTGGAACACAACTGACTGCTGTGCAGTACACTCGACCCTTAACAGACAATCGGATATCACGGCGATGCCACAGGTGACGTAAGTTGGTAAAAGCCAGTCGAACGTTTTGTCTGTGTGCAGAGATTTCATCGGTCAGTGAGCTAGTCACCAGAGCAGGGCTGATCCTACTTCCCAGTTAGGTGAAAAGGTTGAAACACTCAATCACTACACTCTTTATTGTTAGCCGTGGGATCGTTGAAGAGTTTGTAGCATCACTATTCATTAAGGTGATGAGAAACGAATCTCAACCATTCTCAAATTGCAACTCAAAGCGTCCAGAAGACTCTGCATCTTGTCAATGGCTTCATCTAACAGAACTTGTCAAGTGACTTTTAAGGCCACCACCATGGAAACAACTGAATTTTCAGTTGAGAGGCTAATTTCCATCAGTTAAAGAAGTCTTATTGGCCAGTTCAGTTGGTGTCAGAGTGAGCCTATAAAGTCAATCGTATTTAGCTGAGCAAAGTGATTTTGACGACCACTCCTGTTAACACTCACCTTTGCACATGAGTAATCTCACATACGCTTACACGTTTCATATTTTCAATCGAACAACATGAAGCTAAATTAACAACAGCGGAAAAACCCATTTAGACTTTTTTTATTTTACGAAAATCTGCCTTATTCGCCGAAATACAGAAACCTAGTTGGGTACTTCAATTGTTCATAGGGTGGTTTTTACAGTCATTAAAATTTGACTACTCTAACCACATAAAACAGAATACGAATTCATGATCTTTTTAAAACGAATTTAAAAATCAGCCTAACAACTGCTGAGATAACAAAGTACGTTTCTTTATTTTGTGAAAAATTACTCTTCCAACCTAAATACCATAACGTGACTGCTTATTTCAATAGCTGCTGGGGCGGACTTCAAAGTTAATCCACTTTATGTTCGTAACTATTTTTAAGCAATTGAACTCATGGAGCTGAATACCCTGGAGACAGTGAACCATAATTCGTGTTATGTTCTCTGAGCTGAATGGTTTAATCATAAAGCATTCATTGCCATTCTTGACAACATCATCATGAAAAACTAAAAAGTAGTGAGCTGTAAAATTTTCTTCATAGGTGGCTCGGTAGCTTGTCCTGATGACCTTTTAGAGATTGGTTGTTCCCGCCAAAGTCTTGTCAATGTGTCCATCTTCATTTTGATTGGTTGTATTGCTGGTGATGTCAACTTTGACCTTCTTATTGTTTGTAATTGGGTGATAGACTGGGTCAATGTCAGTATGCCTGTTGACTGCTGACTGACCTGAATATCAAGCTTCTAAAAATTCCCTGCCATTCCTTATATTTCATCTACCCAAGATTTTCACATCCTCCCAGTCAAATTCATATCCACAGTTGTCCGTATGCATTGATATGGGTTAACATGTGTCATGACGCTTCAAAGCTAGTTGATGTTCATGCAGATGGATGTGAAAAGAGCGACCATACTGTCCGAAATTGTGTTTTTCTCAGTTTTGGTTCTCGCCATTATACCTTTTTGTTTGCATAAGAGAGATGGAAAAGATTTTATGGGCTTGTGAACTATAGCGATTCCAAGAAGCTTCAATGATCTAATTGTCATCACAGAGATCTTTTTTATGTCAGATAAAACAAATCGTTTGTTGGTTTCCAAAGATGATATTTTGGCTGATGACGAAATATACAAACATCTCTTGATGAAGTTACGCAAATGTTTTGCGCTATTGGGTTCCTGCTATTGCAGTTGAGTATTTGATCCCTACGAGTTTATGATGTTGTCTAGAATGGCTATGAAACCTTCATGGTTAAACCAAACTGCAAATATTCACCATCATTTCAAAGTGAGGCAATACTCAAAAATTAATTGATATCAGAAACGTAAGTTATACAATACTCATTGGTGATTCCCGAAGTTCCAATGAGAAGTCGTGATTAGTGGGGTTAACCAGATTGAATGGAAGTCGTACTATATTGTGAACTAAGAGAAGTAGGAAATATGAAATACTGGATTCCAACTCAGTGGCTGTTCACAGAACTTGAAGGTCTAGGGTGCAACACCCAAGCAACGTGAGGTCATGAGTACGCACTGCTGAAGAGTCTCATACTAGGACGAAACAGCTGTCCAGTGCTTCTAGTTTTACAATGTTTCTCCAACTGATATCAATCCATGATGAATACCAACCTGAAATTAATAAATCCTCACAAACCTTAAAATAGAATCATATAGAAATGTATGAGAAGTCAGTCCAAAGCTCTGGAGCCCAGCTGTAAGATAATGTTAATAAAATATGTCATAGATAACCGCATAGTTTTCAGTAATATTACAACTTTCGATGTGTTAATCAATTTGTTGGCAATAAAATCCGGTTTTTATTCATATTTCTTGATAACACCCACCTTGAGATATGAGTACATGTAAGAAGAATTGGTTAATTGAACATTAGTATCAAGAAACGGATCAAAATTTTAGTAATTACTACAATGGAAGTTATTTTAATCTTCAGTAATACACAGTCATAAAGATTCATAAGAGAAGTGACTCATTATCTAGCATATAAGGCTAACATTTACTAGTTTAAGCACTCGAACACTTTCAACTAATAGGTCATATGTTTCAGGACCGCTCTCCTCCACCTCTTGACGTCCAGACAGTCAGTTAGTATTATTAGTCCTCATACAGTATGTATTCCTCAGAGGATACCAACTTGTATTTTCATTTCATAGTGATGCAATGCATGTCAAGATGTAGTTTAATGCTGATCAGATACCAGTGATCAAGAGAGGCATTGCTTAACTATATGAGACTCTTATTCAATCAGTACATATTATGAAACAATCCATAAAAGGATCTTTATTTATATAAGATTTGTTTATTTGACTTATAACACGCAGTGTAGTACAGTATTATTCACTGGATGACATTTCAGGCATAAATTATTATTTCTCTTCATCATATCATTGTAATCACACTCCGATTTCGACTTCTAATTTTTATGATCCTGTCACTTATTATTATTTGTCTCTGTTGCCTGTAAAATTCTTTATATCTCTGCTATAGCTATTGCATATCTTCGGTGTTGGTTGATCTGACGAACAAAGACTCAGTAATCAATATATCTCTCTCTTCAGTCATTTATATTGGCATTGAGTGGAGTAGTTTCACCACCCATTCTAGTGTATGGTTGTGTGTTAATGTATCCATTGCGATAGCCAAGTTTCCTTCTAGATTATTGATCTTATTCCGATCTGTCATTCTATATTTAGTTAAATTACTATGTTTGACTATTCTAATTGACCCCGACCGGCTTGTTTGATCTATATACTTGACCTAACTCACACACATTACATGGAATTTGATACATAAGATTATTATGCTTAATTGATTCTATCAGAACCTTAAGCAAACCGATAAAGCCTATCGATGAGTGAGTTTGTGTATTTGAATGCCACAATAATTCCAGGTTTGTTGACCATCCTATATCCTATAAGTTTCTAATGTACCCACCTTCATAATGTAGTAACACAATGGATGTTGTGAACGAACTCCTTTCTACTTGACTTCTCATTATTATTCGTACTCGTGTATGTTACTGTTATCATTTCGTTTCTTGTGTGTTCGTACGAATTTCTTGATAAATTATAGAAGATGAGTAATTACTACTAACACTTCTCTTATGTGCTTCAGTTCCTTATTGAAGCGCTTGCATTGACTAGTCAATTTCCCACCTCCATCATTTACATATTTCACTTAACCAGTCTTCACTGAATGACATTGCATGAGATCACTTGAAGTCTAGATACCTGTTAGAATCTGTCGTTTTTCTGCACATCATAGTAACCAAACCACCGTCTGCCCTTTGTTTCATCCTGTAATCCTACATACATAATTCTCCTAGTTGATTTTCTCACTTTGTAAGTGAATTGGATTGCACCTTAATACAGAGTTTATATGTTTGAGGAAATTTTCGATGTGTTCCAATTTCAACAGAATGAATATGTCATCCACATCATATCGCCAACATATTTTTTGTGTGCAGGATTCAACGTTTGTAAACAAGCAATTGAAGTACACAAAATAAGCACCAATAGTTAATAAATATCCTCTATAATTTATCAAGAAATTCGTACGAACACACAAGAAACGAAATGATAACAGTAACATACACGAGTACGAATAATAATGAGAAGTCAAGTAGAAAGGAGTTCGTTCACAACATCCATTGTGTTACTACATTATGAAGGTGGGTACATTAGAAACTTATAGGATATAGGATGGTCAACAAACCTGGAATTATTGTGGCATTCAAATACACAAACTCACTCATCGATAGGCTTTATCGGTTTGCTTAAGGTTCTGATAGAATCAATTAAGCATAATAATCTTATGTATCAAATTCCATGTAATGTGTGTGAGTTAGGTCAAGTATATAGATCAAACAAGCCGGTCGGGGTCAATTAGAATAGTCAAACATAGTAATTTAACTAAATATAGAATGACAGATCGGAATAAGATCAATAATCTAGAAGGAAACTTGGCAGTCGCATTGCATGTATTAATACACAACCATACAGTAGGATGGATAGGACAAAGGCACTGTATTTAAGTCTAATATAAATAGGTGGGAGAGAGAGATTGATTACTGGCTCTTTGTTCATCGAATCAACCAAATTTTACCACCAATGGAGAGAAATAATAAGAGGTGACAGGACTGTAAAAATCAGATGTCGAAAGTGAAGTGTGACTACAATGATATGATAAAGAGGGGAATAAGTGATTTATGCTCGAAACGTCATCCAGTGAATAACGCTGCATCACTGGGTATTATAAATCACAATGACAAAACTAATATGGAATGATATTCTACCACAGTGCCGAAGTTTTACCCGTTGTTAATAGAAGGGACTTTTACCAATATTTATAAGTGGCGACCAAGTGAGTGCAGTTGTAGTTCACCGGTTTAAGCAATTGACTTTCCCGGGTTCAAATCCTGTTCCACCTAATAAAGTTTAGGCAGTAAGGCAGTACGATTAGCCCTCATTGCTAACTGCGTGAATGTGTACAAAGTTTTTGAATGGACTATTTCACCTGCTTTTTTGTTACCTAATCAAAGCATTATTGACAAGCTGGAGATTTCAATCGTAGTCCTGGCCAATGCAGCAGAAAGTAACATATATACAACCTGATTTTTATTGGAATTCGGAATACAGACTTCTAAATGAGTTTCCATAAACAGGAAGATAGTGTCTAGGTATAACAGTCATTTTTAACACAGAATCTTCTGAACACTTTCAGTGGGAATTTGAGAATGTTTGGGATGCGTTTCTCATAACAATAAAGAGTGTAGTGATTGAGTGTTTCAACCTTTTCACCTAACTGGGAAGTAGGATCAGCCCTGCTCTGGTGACTAGCTCACTGACCGATGAAATCTCTGCACACAGACAAAACGTTCGACTGGCTTTTACCAACTTACGTCACCTGTGGCATCGCCGTGATATCCGATTGTCTGTTAAGGGTCGAGTGTACTGCACAGCAGTCAGTTGTGTTCCACGGTTGTATGACTGTGAAACATGCCCATTGAAGTTGGAAGATATGAGAAGGCTGGCTTCGGGTGTTTCACCACTGTTCCCTTCGTGGTGTCACCATGTGAGTGACGCAGAAGTCAGATGTAGAGTGTTTGGGAGAAGTAAGTCAGTTGATGCGATTGTGAATCTTCATCGATTGAGATGGTTGAGACACGTACTACGTATGTCTAGTCATCGATTGCCTCGTTATACAATGTTGGTCGAAGTATGTTGAGGTTGTTAAAAGGCCCTATGTGGCCAAACTAAAACATGGCATCAATGCATGAAGTCTTTGACTGTTGGTTTGAGGTATGTGAGCGATACAAACTAGGTGGTTGGGGTGTGTGGGACAAGAGGAGTCAGTGGTTGGAGACTTATTCTGTGTGATTTGGCTCAGAACAGATGTCAGTGCTTTATATGTATATATATATATATACACACACACACACACACACATTATTCTCATCTTAACACTATACCAATTCTCACCATTTTGTCATTCTTCCTTTTTCCCTTTTAGTACTTTATATTTCTTTTGACTGAGTTTTCTCACCTTCATCTTGCAGTTCACTACCTTTCTACTTGATTTACTGATATTAGATGTTGGTATTTGGGACGTTACTCAGTAATGCCTAGTCCTATGTTGATTAGGATGAATGTTTATTGCAAACAAACTTAGTGATTTGCATCATTGGTAGATGAAGGCTTCTGTGAGGCATGCTATGGTATATTTCATTCTCTTTCTATCCACATCATTATAAATTACTGTGAAGTGTGGTAACTTGGAGTGATGCTCTTGTGTGCGGCGATTTGTGTTGATCTACATGTTTGTCCAACTGCCATGATTCAGTGCTTCTCGACTCTGAACACCTTACATCATCTTGCTCCATTCTTTTTGATACTTAAGTCAGTCTGTAGCTGCTTTATTATACATATTGTTTTCATGGATTATAAAACGTGTCGGAAATAGTATGTGAATGAAATGATGGTATGACTAGTAATTCGACGCAGCAGTCTACCAGTTATACGAATCAAATGCGCGAAAAAATCTGCTCTAACCACCACTACCACAGCAACAGGAACACCGGCACGTGAAGGCAATAAGAGAAGATGGATTGCTGACAAACGGCTTTTAACGTCTCAACAATAATTACAGCTCATTGGTTACTAGCTTCGAGAGGTGATTTCCGAAGTTTCATTGAAAAGTGGTGACCAGTTCACTTAACCAAATTGAACATGAGGACAGTTACTCAACGACGCATTTGGATGGAGATCGCACTATATCATGAACTAACAGAAGTAGGAAATGTGGAGCAATGGATTCCGACCCAATCGATGGTTGCGGAACCTAAGTGTCTTGGGCTCGATCCCTGTGGGTAGGGTCGTGAGTGTGCACTGCTGATGAGTCTCATACTAGGACGAAAGAGTTACCCATTGCTCCTAGGCTTCCAGCGATCCTCCAACTGATCAGTTTCCCCTGAATTCCAGCCTAAAATCAATTAATGAACCTTCATATAGAAGTAATCAAAACAGTTGAGCGTGATGCTGAATGGATACACTGTAAGCAGCCTAGACAAGGACTAAATTTACTGACAAGTTAAAACAGTGAACAATGAATGAGTTAAACCTTCAGCCTGCAGCGGGAAAAAAACCTAGCATTGTCGACAAGATGATGCGAAAACAGCATTATTATTATTATTATTATTATTATTATTATTATTATCATTATTATTATTATTATTTGTCCCTTGGATTCCTAGTGGGTCATAGGGCTTCAGTAGCACGTCTCCATTCCATTCTCTTCTCCGCAGTCTTCTCAACTCGGCTGCATCACTTCCCAGAATTTTTCATTTCTTCCTCACACCATCTCTTCCATGTCAGCCTCAGATTACTAAATCCCTGTTTCGCATTCCATTCGATGGCCTGGCCTTATGCATGATGTCCCCGAATGATCTCAGTGCATGCCCGACCCATCTCCACTTTCTTCTCCTGCATATTTGTTGGGCGATAACTTCTTGGTTGGTTGGTTCGTTGCCAGCCAGCCAGAATTCCTTGTTCTTATTATTCTCGACATCTCATGTCCATCTTCAGTATCGAGTAAGCGTAGGTGACAGCTGTTGATGATGTATGTGTGCAGTTTGTTGGAAATGCTTTTCGTAAGGCGCCAAGTCCCTCAACCATATAGTATAGAAAGAAGTACTGACTTGACTGAGATTAGTGTTGAATACTGGGATCTTGTTGACGCTTTTTGCTGAGTGGAGTGGAGTAGAGTGAAGGCGAGTAGATCTCCACACTGATTATTTGAGAATAATGAAGTCCTGTGTTGGTGTGTTTCCGATGGTGGCATTGACATCGTGATGTGTTCGTGTGCCTGTGTCGCCGCCGCCGCCGCCTCCGCCGCTACCTGTAGTTGAGACGATACTGAGTTGTCTAGGTAACCAGGTGGAAGAGACAACTTCTTTCTCATTTCTCCCGTTGATGGTGATTGGTGCTTGTTGTCGGTTGGTTGGTTGGTCAGTTGGTTGGCTGGTTGGCTATCCTCATCACCTGTGTCTTCTCTACCTTCACCTGAAGGAAATCCCGTCTTCCTTCTCTCACCTCACCTCACCTCGTCTCTTCTGCTAACTTGTTAGTTTTCACCTGTTGATCTTCGAGTTTGTGCAACAAGACATTAGACATAAATAATGATGATGGATGAGATTGAAATCTTGTTGTTGGGTCGTTTCATTGTTGCAGACAGTGTATACCCCACTACTCGCTCGTCACAGTTTGTTGCATGATCCAGTGTAGTGCAGTTTGGTCGACCACAATCAGGAAGATGATGTATGATGATAGTAGGTGGCAGCCTTGTCTTACTCCTGTCTTGTTTTCATTTCCACTTTAAAGGCATCAGTGAGCTGTTATTGTGAATCAGTTGATATGTAGTATCATGTAGCATATAGGTGCTGTTGAATGATGTTGATAAAGGTTTGTGACGTTGAAAACAGCATTGATGCAGTTATTTTAGTGTATAGGCAAAATTTGGTATATATCTTACACAAAGCCATCCATTGTCTACGTTTTATCTGTTTTATTTCTGCATTTTCAGCACTATTGTTTCATTATCAGGGTAAAGAAGGTGCACGAGAGATACGTCGTTTAGCTTCTTATGTACCAAGAATAGAGTTGAATGTTGAATCACAGCCTATTACACGGACTATATTACGCGTTAAGCTTACCCTTGAACCTGATTTCTCATGGTCTAATCAAATTCATGGAGTACAACAATCATATTGGATATGGATTGAAGATCCTGATCAAGGCGTAATATTTCATTCAGAATATTGGACATTGACAAAACGTATGGTAGGTTATATCAGCGTATAAGTGTGCTTATCATTCCGATTATCTGAGATAGACGTGGTTTGCCAGACTAGTATATCTATACTTGATGAGTCATCATGAAATGAAAATTTGGTCCAGGGCCTTGATTTGAACCAGCGACCACTGGGTTTTTGGACCTCGTAGGTCGGTTGGTAAAGTATCGGGCTGAAAACCTTCATTCATCACCTTGTATTTGAATCAAGGTAACAATAGTTTTTCACGTGTTATATCCAAGAATTCTGAACACATTTTAATGTATATGGGAGTTTTTGTTACCTCAGAAATATAGAAACATATTCTCGACATTATTGCATGTGTTGTTCCATTCAGAACTCGTCAAATAGATTTGTCTGGTTCCCAGTGAGTATGTGGTGATCGTATCAGCATCATTCACATTCGCTTCACTACAGCAACAATTATCATTGTCAAATATACAAAATCTAAGACTCCTATTTCGTCTTCTTTGGGACTCACTTGTCAGTAAGATGTACCTTGGACCCCAATGAGTATTTTTCCCACTGGGACTCTAACCCGGTAAGTATCGGTTCAAACACCTAATCGCTATCTTATTGGCCACTGGGGCACAATAGTCACTTCTTATTCAACGGCTGTCAGTTTTTGTTTTGATACTTGTGATTTCCTGTTGCTATACAGTATCGAATCGCCTGGTCTCTGTTGGCAGATGAGTGCCTATATGAATGCTTCGATACTGCCGGATGTTGAGGATGTTATATTCATCGTCATCATATTCAGTTTTGGAACAATATTCAATTTTCTGTTGTCACATTTCTTACTTACTTACCGTGTTACAACTTCTTATATGACTGACTATTAGTATCGACATATTCAATAATGTGTAACTGTAGAAAAAATCGTGTACACGCCTAATCTATTCAGTTGGGAAACTGAATATAATGATTCAAGGGTTATAGTGTCCCCTGAGTAGCCCCATTACTGTTAATGCAGTTTTGTGATTAGTCTTAGAACATTACAGAAAACAATTTGCAAATTATAGTAGTTAACCATGAATTCCATTGTTGAGGTTTGTGGAGATTTATTTATTGATTTCAAGCTGGTATTCATCATAGAATGGCATCATTTGTGGAACCATTAAATACCGAGAAAGTAATGAACAGTTGTTTTGTGTTCGCCGCAGAATCTGAACCTTCTGGCGAAGTTATAAGTATGCACTGTTGAAGAGTTGAATGCTATGTAGAAAGAACTATCCAACGGTCCTGTGGCTATGATATCATTCCATGATGAATGCCAACTTGTAATTAGGATTTATCATAAGATTTCCATTTATCATGACTCCTTGTTATACCTTCCAACTACTTTTTAGTGCGCTGATATAATTGTCTGTATAACCATTTAACTTCCTAACAACTAGTTCACAGTTGTGTCACGAACTATTTATGTGTTTTAGGTATATGCTTCATTCTTAGCGTAATGATACTACCTGGCTGTCTAGATCTCAGTTAGCGCAACAGTTTTCGACCTAGTGATCCACTTGTTGGGACTTAAAATACCTGGACAAATCAACCATCAATAAAAGCGCTATCGTAATGCAGTTCTCCTAACTGCGAATTAGAAGTCTGTTTCATATGATGGCCTTTGGGCAGTCGAATAGTATTATCATAGGCCATCACACGATACCTCTGGCTCTTTGCTGTACTAACCTACATGCCTTTGATGATCTAAAAGTATTCGCTTTACATTTGTGCTTTTCTAGTGTAATTTGAATGCCTAGTACTGATCTACACTAAACGGAGTAGCTAACTTACTTTCATGATTAGTTTCAGTATGGACCGTAATACGGACTGGTGACAAGAGAATCCCTAAAATGTTTAGCCATATAATTACCATCTCAGCCGCTAAGGTAGATGGTTTTCGATTTCAGTTTTTGTTTTATGTTACTGTGTAGCCAAGATAAGCCTTATTGGACAATTTTTGTCCTACACCTGACCAATCAGAATAAGCTATTTAACTTTTAACCTAGTGGTATATAAATGATGTATTTTTGTCGTCTGATTTTCGCGGCTCACTGAAGTATGTGGTTCTGAGGAAGACAAAGCCACTGTCCGTACGCAGTTTAGGTGTCTCATGCTGTTATTATCATTCAGTTTATTAATACCATTATTCACTCAGTCACTTCACTATCTGTTTGAATCACTTCTCTCCATCTACTCAGGTGTTGGCAGTATTATATGGTAACATTGGCCTTTATTTATTAAGCATGGTTCATTGTACAGAGTATTTAACTATATGTGTTTGCTGAGTTGCAGGGAGAAAGGCTACTGTGCATCCATTCACTGCCACACCATCCTAATCCATCCATCCAGATCAACCTAGGACCAGGCATTACTGCGTAACGGTCCAACTTCCTGCCACACCTCATATCAGTACATCAAGTAAAAAGGCAGTGAGGCGCAAGATGAAGATAAGAGAATTCAATCAAAAGAAACATAAAGAACGAGAATAAAGAAAAGAGAAGTGACAAGATGGTGAGATTCGGTATAGCGTCGTTAAGATGAGGATAATGGATGTGTGTATGCATCTGTGCCATATCACCTAGAGTCTCCAATCACTGGTTTTTCTTGTTCCGCGGACCCCAAACACCTAGTCTGCATCGTCCCACACCATCCTAATATTTGAATAGCTAACATTGCAATATGCTAATCTCTTAATAATTTATTTTCGACATCACTGGGGATATTATTTACAGGTAGTATTCATCATAGACTAACATCAAATGGGGGAACCATCGAAAACCTAGGAGCACTGGACAGCTGTTTCGTCCAAGTATAGAACTCCTCAGCAGTAGTGAGGAGCAGTGCTAGTGTCAATAAATCTGTTTAATAGTATCACGTGTTGTTATTCTTGTTGTGTTATATTGTTAATTCTTATTCTCCTTTTCTCATCCTGTGTATATTATGTTATAGTACAGCTCAAAGGTGCCTCAAATTTTAAATTTCACTATTCCATTGTATGAACCCCATCCAAATCAATACTATGTACGTGTTCTCAGTGATTGTTGGCTTGGAGCAGATTCTACTTGTCCAGTTTCATTTAAACGACTTATTCTACCAAGTAGTGATCCACCTCATACAGGTATGTGTACATACATGTGTATGTGTGTAGTTTCTTTTCTACAATATTGATTAGTAGTTGTTATCATTCAGCTTGGAGTAGATATGTTGCTGTATGTTCAATATATTTCATAGTTGACTTTCGAAAGCTACATATCTACTTGCTTGGATGATTGTTACAATGACATCATCAATGCTTTAGCTGTTTTCATTCTGTTAGTGTACATCTAACAAACAAACTGTTGGAAGATTTAAGAAGTTTATGCTGATTATGAAGACTTCACGATTAAACCATCTGGTTCAAATAACACAACACTATCAAAATCATACTCCTGAGCTAAAAAACATTCCTCACTGTTATTCGGTAGATTAAACGTTCAAGTTGTGTTCCTTTGATAACGTGTTCTAGATGGCTATCAACTATCATAACAACCGTCCAATGGTAGAATGAATTTGAAGGTCACCCTAGCGACTGTTCAGACAACCAATTAGGCGTCTTTATTTTGTGAAAAACTACCTTTGTAACCAGAATAACGAAACCTGATTGGTTATTTCGGCAGTTTCCAGGATGGCCTTTAAAGTCGCCTCTATAGTGTATACCTCTCATAGGATTCCTTAATAAATAAATCTGTACGTGGTCGTTAAGTTGATAGAGGTTGTTATTAATTTGAAGATGGTGAACTACCAGAGAATTATGAATTGACTGAACCGATGTTATTTCTTTTGTTAAACTATTCAGTGTAGAAACTGTCCCAACAAACATATTGTATGATGGCTAGTGTTACTTCCTGGCTCCCGATACCTTGGTAGCTGGAATAGGGTTTGAACCTGCGACCTAATGGTTGATAGGTATCTCCTTAAACCACTGAATATGAGAGTTACGTCATAGATATCCTACAGCCTAGCTGGTCACACTCTACTAAACAGCGTGCTTCCTGATACAATTCATAGTCGACAAGTTTCCTTCCCATGTTACCTTTTAATTGTATATACAAGTTTACATGCATCTACGCTAACAGTTACATCTAGAGAACAACAAAAAGCGTTCAACTTGGATTCTTTGAACATATGCCAAAAATTTGGGCTGTGGCTGGGTTCGAACCACCAGCCTGTTGCTGTACCAACTGAGCTACGAGACCAAACTGCGGACTAGATATTTATTTCATTTCAGTCACTTAAATTCCATGTGAATTCATGAAGTGTTTCTAATGCTTGGTCATACTCTAACTGGCTGTTCAGGTTGGCCAAACTGCTTTTGATTGAAGATGAAATATAAATGTCATCAGCAGTCGGATCTCGTAGTCCAGGTGTTAGTAGGATATCGTGCTGCAAATCTGATGGTCATTCGTTCGGATTCTGTCATGGCTTAAATTTTCATTTTACTTTCAATCATCATTCAGTATCAATACTAACTAGTCTGTCATATCATGGCTATCTCAGATAGCCAGAATGATATACTAAAAAGCTTACATTTCTAGGGAACAAGTTCTTTCAGTGATGCAGTTACTTGACATCTTATCGATACAAGGCAAGGTAATCAACAAACGACATAATTCTAATTTTATTTAGTTCACTGAAACCGTACCCATCAACCGAATGAAACCGGAATTGTCTGTACAAAAAGAAGCAGGGATAAGTTCTTCTTTGTCTTGGTAACCTTATATACCACTCTTCTGGTTATCTGATGACATCATCTTTTGACTAAACCATTTTTCTGTTGGCACCTAATTTTACTAATCATTGTACTTGGTGAGCTCAACTCACTTTACTACATAATTTGTTTGTTATTTATTATCAACAAGCCAAATTGTCAGTCTTCTTACACAACCTTTTATCACTACTCATATTTATTCCTCGAAGTCTCACATTTAACTGAAACTGTCTTGTTAACTCAATCTAGATGTTTATATTGTTTACTTAAAGCATATCGTCTCGTGTTTTGTTACTTGTAAAGAGGTGACTTTCATGCCTTAATGGTCTGAAGGAATGAATACTGAGTACTGGGCACATCCAGCTGATGAAACGCGCTTGTTGAACTTCACTACTAGTCATCAAGATGAGTGCAACATGTCATTCTTTGTTAACTAACTTGATTTGACTGCAAGATTCATACACAAATCGTTTTATGATATGATATTTAAATATTCTTAGGTTGCAAGCTGCTGATGAGAAACTGGCGAAGTAACAGAAAATTCTTATGGGAATATACAAATCAGGTGTAGACCTTTTTGTAGCCAGAGCTTTAGCAGACCTTAGTATATCCTTGTAATAGGCTTGGTAATGGGTTTGAAAGATACTTACAAATCAACCTTGTGACTTGTCTTAGTGATATGTTTAATTGTAGGCGAAGTTCCATATCTATTGCCTCAGTCAGTGGGATCATTCAGCTTGATTTGTAGCCATTTTGAAATGTACTTTGTAACCCTTACACTCGAACAGGCCGACAGGTAATCTTGATGTGTGTGTGTGTGTATGCGTGTGTGACCATGTTTACTAGTTGTAACATCGTCGTTCAAATGCTTCGAGAGTTTTCTCTATATAGTGTTCACCCATACTGCATAGTTTGTTTTTAAGGTGCCTATCTTAAGCCTTTGTTTCGTATTGAAACTGTGCAACTTACCCATATGCGAAAATCCGACCCATTCACTGGATACCGAATAATGTTAAAATTGGTAATACCATCCTTCTATTTAAGCGGTGTTCCTAGCCTTAGATTGCGATTGATGTTAACCGCTAAATTGCCTCGATAGTTCACCTGGCATGTGGCAACGATGCAACGACAACTCATACTGATTGAAGCAATTATTCCTTTAGGTCCTATACTATTCCAAAAACGTTTTTCCATTACCCCTATGGTTGAGTTCATGAGTGAGTTTATACAGTCTGCTATACGGTGTGTCAGATAAGTAAAGTGCTTCTCGTGAATGACCAGCAGCTTATACTGCTATTGCCTTTCATTATCAGAAGGCGGAGGTAGAAAATATAGTCAGTGAAACAAACACTGCCGCCTACTTTGTAGTTTTCAAATGCCCTACTGTGTGGGTTTTTTAAAATATGAATCCGAAGTCCCCCAAAATGTGTGTGTGTGTGTGTTACCAGCCTTTAAAGGATCTCCTTTGAGTTCTAGGATCGTTCACTCAGATCGTTAAAACCATCCTCACTAATTCACTTCCCTGAAGTGATGAGAAGTGTAAACCATCTTCAAACATCTGTCCTGCGTTTTGAATTAAATCTATACTCTGATCATTTGGTGTTTATTGTATAGATAGTACTTGAATTATCAAATTTCTCATTCGTAATTTCTTATTTTCTCATAGATTTACTTCGATTACAACCTCTACCAATAACTGCTTTGAAAAATTCCAATTATGAACTATTATACAATTTTTCACACTTCAATCCTATTCAAACTCAACTATTTCATACATTATATCATCAAAATGTGAATGTTCTTTTGGGTGCACCAACAGGTTCTGGTAAAACTGTTGCTGCAGAATTGGCCATTTTTCGTGTATTTAATGAATCACCTAAACAAAAGGTTTGTTTAGTTTTGTATACTACCAGCCTACTTAATATTATTGTAGAATGGATCAAATTACCATGAAATTTGATATCGAAGTTCACTTAGCATCCAATACCAAGTATTTGTAGTAGGCAGTCAGCTACATATATCTTGAGAGGATTAGTTATACTATCTCGCTAGTTAGATGTAAAGTTTTAGGGAGCAGAGGTACACCAGTAGACGAAGTTATGATCCTTCATCGATTGAGATGGTTGGGACACGTACTACGTATGCCCAGTCACCGATTGCATTGTCACACAATGTTGGCTGAGGTGGGTCCAAGCTGGAAAAAGACCCGATGTGGTCAGACTAAAACATGGCAACAATGTATGAAGTCTCAAACTGTTGGTTTGAGCCATGTCGGGGTGATGCAGACTAGGTGGTTGGGGTCTGTGGGCAAGAGGAACCAGTGGTTGGAGACTTTAGGTGATGGTGTGGCTGAGAACCGATGTCAGTGGCGCAGATGTATGCACACATTACACTCATCTTAACGACACTACACCGAATCTCACCATCTTGTCACTTCTTTTTTCTTTATTCTCGTTCTTTATGTTTCTTTTGATTGAATTCTCTTATCTTCATCTGTCGCCTCACTACCTTTTTACTTTATGTACTGATATGAGGTGTGGTGGGAAGTCGGACCGTTATGCAGTAATGCCTGGTCCTATGTTGATATTGATTGATTGATTGAATGACTATCTGGCTACCTAGACGTTGGTAGGAGAGGTGGGGTTCCAACTCATAACCCATTGTTTGGAAATTGACTACTTAGACATAAACGTCATAGTTCTATTAGGATTGCCATATATCTCAACGGGACATCAAGATACAAGGCAATAAGAAACGTAAAAATGGAGAAAGAGAAACGATGTTATCAAAAATTTTTGAAAGCTGACGTAAAACAAATAATTAGATGTGATATGTCTATAAAGATCATAATAATCCTCTGATACATTTGCACCACTGAAATCTGTATCATTTTTAGTTGTTTTATGGACGATTACCTTCAAATCTACATTTTCTTTACACTACTCATACCAGCAGTCATTTATTTCATTGACTGGTGTCATGTTGTTTTTTTGTCTAGCCACCTATAAACTTTTCTGATTATTATTATTATTATTTGTCTCTTGGGTTCCTAGTGGAACATACGGCTTCAGTAGCACGTCTCCATCCCACTCTGTTTTCTGCAAACTTTTGGACCTGGCTCCATGACAGCTCAGAAGCTCTCATCTCTCCCTCACATGATCTCCTCCATATCACCCCCCCCCTTCGGACGCCCAACTCGCTGTTTCCCATCTGGGTTCCACTCGAGGACATGACTTGGCGCATCTACATCTCCACTTCCTTCCACTGCATATTTGTTCAGCGATAGGTTGTCGGTTGGTTCGTTGCCAGCCAGAGTTCCTTGTTGCTTATTGTTCTGGTCATCTGATCTTCAGTAACGAGCCAGCGTAGGCATTTGTTGATGAATGTCTGTAGTTTGTTGGAAATGCTTCTCGTAACGCGCCAAGTCTCCAAGTTGGCGATGGTGTTGAAAATCCGGATGTTGTTGACGCTTTATGGTGAGTGGAGTGCAGTAGATCTCCACACTGGTTTCAGGTTAATGAAAGCCTGTCTTCCTTTTCCAATCCTGGTTTGACATCTTCGTGTGTTCCGCCACCTGTAGTTGAAACAGTGCTGCCTAGGAGGGTGGGTGAAAGAGGCTACTTCCTTTAAGTTTCTCGTATTGATGGTGATTGGAGCTTGTTGTTGTTGGTGGTGGTGTTGATTGGGTATCTTCATCACCTCTGTCTTCTCTATGTTCACTTGAAGTCCCGCCTCCGCTGCCTCTTCTGTTAACTTGTTAGTTTTCACCTGTAGATCATCAAGTTTGTGTGGCATTAGACACAAGTCATCGGCGTAATTAAAATCTCCTAGGATCTTTCCACCGGTCCAGCGTACCCCCGTCTTCTCGCTCCTCACTGTTTGTTGCATGATCCAGTCCACTATGATCAGGAATATCATGGGTGGTAGTAGACAGCCTTGTTTTACTCCTGTCTTCACTTCGAAAGCATCACTGAGCTTCCGACTGTGAATTACTTAGCATGTAGCGTCTTCATATAATCGTTGAATGAAGTTGATAAAGGTTTTCGGCACTGAAATCTTACTGTTGAAGCAGTTGCCAAATAATTCTGGATCGAGACGCTGTTGAAAGCCTTTTCAGAGTCGATGAAGTTGAGGTAGAGATTTACTTGGAGTGGACAGGGGCATGATTCCGCGCCAGTTCTTGCAAAGACCTAGGTCGCCTTTCTTCGGGAGCTTGACAAGGTAGCCCTTCTTCCAATCAATGGCCAGGTACCTTTCCTTCATTGCAGACCTTATGAAATAGTGATGTGAGCATATCCACTGTTGTCCCTGCGTCTATTCTCAGTGCTTCTGGTGGAATTCTATGTGGTCCTGCTGCTTTCCCGCATTTCAGTAACCTAATGGCGTTCAGGCGAGATTATAAACTTTTCCAAACCCAACACTAATTTAGCTAGAATGATCCTTTGGGGCAGAAAGTGGACTAGCATTGATAACACATATTCAAATTACCCTTAGTTGATGGATATTGACTACTTCTTAAAATGGTTTAATCCGTTTACCTCAAAGTATACACTAAGCCATTGTATTGTTGCCTTGATGGTTCAATGACACATGATCGCTTAATGTATTATCGATGGGATGAATCTTTGTCAATGGAGCGTTATATTTTTCTGCTTTTACAATTAATTTGATTGGATTACTTGGAATCTGTACACACTCCTATATTGTATGGTAATGGCTAATGATATATAGTCCACTACTCATGTCTCATATTTACTTGATCATATTACAGATCAGAAATAGACTGCGAATCGCACGCATAAAAGGTGTAAAGTAAGTTGTAATCACTCAGCCCAAGGAAGATATGATGTTGAGAATAATATACTCATGGTTAAGAATCGCTAGCAACTTGTATCACTGTTTTCTTTCGTGTTGCAATCTCTTCACCTAGTTGGGGTTTTGCATCGACCCGAACGGGCTGGTCTCTGTCACAATCTCAGATCCGATACAGAAGACATTTGTCAACTTGCATCATCTCTGGCACACTGGCGAGATATCCAAGTATATATCAAAGAACGAGTATACTGCCCTACTGTTCGTTCTGTCGTGTTATACGGCTGTGTGACATAAAGGTGGAAAATAGAAGGCACAAAGCGAATACAGGGTTGTTATTCCAAGTGTCTTTCTAGCATCGCTCACATATGGTAGAATCACCATGTTGAAAATACTGAGGTCAAGTGAAAGTATCTGGGGAAGGAAGGCAAATCGATTGATTGAAGTTGTGAACCTTAGTCGACTGAGATGACTTGGATATGTAGTGGGCATGCCAATCCACTGCCTTCCTCGATGTAATATGGTAGGGGAAGTTGAATTGGATTAGAAGAGGGTTGAGAGTGGACAGACCAAGACGTGACACTAGTCAGTGGAGTCCCTGACTGTCAGTCTGAACCGTATTGAGGGATGCAGACTACCTAGTTGGGGTCCCTGAGACAATAGGAATCAGTGGTTGAGGACTCTTGATAAGATGGCTGAAAATCGGTCACTTTTTGACATCTAAAGCTTGAATATGTGCATTGACTATTATCTTTGTGTACTGTTGTGAAGTATGGTAACTTTGATTGATCGATCAATATCAACATAGGACGAGGCATTACTGCGTAACGGTCCAACTTCCTGTCATTCCTCATATCAGTACATCAAGTAAACAAGGCAGTGAAGTAGAAGATGAAGAAACGAAAATTCAGTCAAAAGAAATATAAAGTACCATTGTAAATCTGCTTGTTAGTAGCCAGCAATGGAATTCAAGGCCTGTATTGTATCTTATTTGATACTTGTCATTACTATCCACTACCAAGCAAATTTCAACGTAATCAATAAATCGGTAATATCAAGGACTGAGGTTGACTGACAGGTTGAAGGTGTTCCAGTGGTTGACGTTTTCTGTCTGCATGCATCAACGAAGACTGTTTCTTCTTAAATTGTCTGAAAAGGAAAAAGATTTGAGTGACCACGGAGCCTATGGAACTATTTCTTGAAACCGGTCATGTGCAACCTTTTTAAACGTTTAAGATAATAATTTTTTTGCTTACTAATCCGATAATGAATCTCTGACATACCACGGGATGATGGGAGTGTTTTTTTTTGGAGGTTGACCTTTTCTTACCTCCGTTCCAATAGGGAAGGCAGCATCGAAGTTGTACTGCTGGTCATCCAAAGGAAACACCCACGCGCCTGAAGTACAAATTCACCTTCAGACATCCATCATAGTGTAGTAATTTGCACTACAACGGTAACTGCTATCCAAAAGACTTTTCTGTCATAACAAGTGTTCTATCGTCATAAATAGTTGGGTTATTGTGATATGCAAGCCTAACCAGGACATCAGAGTAGTAGCTAACGGTCGGAAATATCATGGTATCCTCATAGGAGCCCATATGCTAACAGACGCCGATCAATTCAACTGATGATAATCAATAAATAATGTGATTTACTATGTATAGCATATCCTGAAAACAGTAGTTCTTGGAACTTTACATTTGAGCGAAGTGAATTACTGTAAAATTTGAATTTGGGGGTTTGTGGGGATTGGGAGATTTTTCAAGTTAGTATTCATCATCTCTAAATCCTCACAAATCCAATTGAACTAGTGCTTATTGGTGACTAGTTTCGAAAGATGGTGATTCCTGAAGTCTCAATGAGAAGTCATGGTCTATGGGGCAAACCTGGTTGCCGTGAGGATAAATTACTCAACGATGATATCGGGTGGCGGTTGTGCTGTCGTGAACTGACAGTATTTGGAAATGTAGACCATTGGGTTCCGACCCAGTGGCTCAATGCTAACGTGCTGACCACGGAACCTGAAGGTTGCGGGTGCGATTCTTGATGAACTCATGAGTGCGCACTGTTGAGGAGTCTCATACTAGAACGAAATAGCCATCCAGTGCTCCCAAATTTCTAATGTTCTTCTAACTGATGTCAGTCCATGATGAATACCAACTGTCAGATTTACGATAAAAATTTTGATGAAACATCTGTTCTTCTTCTTATTTTCTATAGTGTGTATACATTGCCCCATTGAAAGCGCTTGTACGTGAACGTATTGAAGATTGGAATGTTAGAATAGGCCAAAAGTTGAAGAAGCGGTAAGTTTCTAAGATGAAAAATGTTTTAATTCTACAAATACACAAGTGAGTTCACCGTGATCAGAAATCTCCTAGCCTGATGGCCAAATAGAATTTGGTCAACACTATGGACCAGATAATATGACATTGATTACTTTCCAGTGATGAGTCAATATATTTAATTCAGTCCTGCAGAAGTCTAATCGTTGCTTGGATAGCTAAGTTGTAACGTCGCTGACTGCAATACTGGGTAATACAGTTTTGAACTGAACGAGGGATATCATTTCCCTTGAAATTAGAACTTCTCCTTGCTTATGAGTGGGAGCAAGCATGAACCCTAGGTCAATCGCACCTTCCTGCTGATTGCCTACTACCAACTGAAACTTAACAGCTTCCTTCAAATAATGAATGATGGATGGATTATAAAGAATCATCCTTCTTTATTTAATTAAAGTGTCATAATCTTCCCTTGAAGTGAGTAAATCGTTGATTTATGGTGCATACAGTCGTATATACTGTATGCACCATAAAACCAATCCAATCGCTAAAGAATCTTCTAAGCACAAAGAAAATATAAAAACAAAATTATTCCTCGCAGGAATAGGAGAAACGAAATGACGCCGGTTAGTGTAAGCCTTCGGGAAGCCAATTGTCCAATGTGTCTTCTCTCCCTCGATGAAAGTGAAAGTAAACATGGGTATATGGAATGTCTGCACCATATATGAATCGAGCAAGGCTGCCTAGATTACGAAAGAGATGAAGAGGTATGGCATGGAAGTGCTTGTAATCTGCGAAAGCAGGTTGGATGGAAGTGGACTCTCCGAACTCTTAACTGGAGAGCAAATAATTTACTTCGATCTTGTCACCCAGACGACAACCATGAGCTCACTGAGGGAGTGGCTATCATGATGTCCCCGAGAGCCTCGAAGGCTGTCATGCATTAGGAACCAATCTTCTCCAGGATCATGACAGAAAGTGGAGATGGATCGGGCATACACTGAGGAGGCCCTTTTGGGGACATCACGCACCAGGCCAGGTCCTCGTGCGGAATCCAAAAGGGAAACGACGAGTTGGGCGTCCGAGCCGAGGGTGACATGAAGGAGATCGTGTGAGGAAGAAATGAAAGCTTGTGGGCAGTCGTGGCGCCAGGTTTGGAAGACCGCAGAGGACAGAGTGCAATGGAGGCTTGCTACTGAAGCCCTATGTTCCACTAACAACCCAAGGGAAAAATAATATAATAGTAACAATCGTATATAGCGATGCTTTCCTAAAAAATATTTTCAATTATAAACTCTGAACTAAACTGTTAGTGAGAGTGTTTTTATGGATAAATTCCCACATAGTTTGAAGTAACTCCTCATCACCAAAATCAACATAGGACCAGGCATTACTGCGTAATGGTTTAGGTTGCCAAACTTCATGTCAACACATCAAGTAAACAAGGCAATAAAATGGAAGGTGAAGAAGAAAAGTAAAATCGGTCAAAGGAAGTAAAAGTAGAAAGTAGTGAATAAAGCGAGAAAAGAATGAGACGATGAGGTTAAATATAGCGGTTAGTGTGAGGATGATGTGTGTATGCATCTGCGCCACTGACATCGGTTCTCAGCCATGTGATCACCTTGAGTCTCCAACCACTCACTGGTTTCTCTTGTCCCACTAACCCCAACCGGCTAGTGTGTATCACCCTACATGGCTCAAACCAACAGTCAGAGACTTCATACATTGATGCCATGTTTTAGTCTGGCCATTCCAAGCCTTTTTCTTGCTTGAACTTACTTCGACCAAAGTTGTGTGACGATACAGACGATGGCTAGACATATGTAGCATTTGTCCCAACTATCTCAGTCAATGAACGTTCATAACTGCATCGACTGACCTACCTCTCTTCCCCAAAACTCTACACCTGACTTCTAGGTTACTCACATAGTAACATCACTACGAAGGCAGCGGTGGCCAAACACTTAAAGCCTTCTTATATCTTCCACCTTCAATGGCCATGTTTCACAATTATATAGTAGAACAGAGCGGACTGCTGTACAGTACACTAGACCTTTAATAGACAATCGGATATCACAGTAGCGCCACAGGTGGCATAAGCTGGCGAAAGCCAGCTGAGCCTCTTTTATCCGGGCGAAAATTCCGTTTATTAAGTGATGACACTATTCTTATGAAACATACAAACTGCAACAGCTATTTTAATTTTTTCTTGCTTTTCAATGACCATTTTTTCTTCAGTAGTCATTTCATATCTTTCACTACTTATCGTTCATACTGTTTAAACAGCTATGTAACAAAAAAAACGTTTCGCAATACTTATAATTTCTTGTTGCTATAGAAGGCCGAATTTATGCATCCAATTAGGATGAAAGGCACCTCCTGGATTTCGCTATCAGCCACCAATATGAATATGATATTGTCATGATATTGTCATTCAACAACTATATGAAGATGCCACATGCCAAGTAATCCACAATGGGAAGCTCAGTGATGCCTTCGAAGTGAAGTGAAGACAGGAGTGAAACAAGGTTGCCTACTATCCCCCATGATATTCCTTATTGTGGTGGACTGGATCATGCAGCAAACAGTAGGCAGCGAGAAGAGGGGGATACACTGGACGACGGAAAAGAACCTAGAAGACTTGGATTTCGCCGATGACTTATGCCTAATGTCACACAAACTTGAAGATCTGCAGGCAAAAACTAACAAGTTGATAGAAGAGGCAGCGAAGACGGGACTTCAGGTGAATATAGAGAAGACAGAAGTGACGAAGATACCGCACCGCCACCATCAACAACAACAACAAACTCCAATCACCGTCAACGGGAGAAACTTGAAGGAAGTAACCTCCTTCACTTATCTAGGAAGCACTGTTTCAACTACAGGCGGGACGGACGAGGACGCCAAAGTCAGAATCGGAAAAGCAAGACAAGCGTTCATTAGCCTGAAACCAGTGTGGAGATCTTCTGCACTCAGCATGCGGAACAAGATACGGATTTTCAACACCAATCCAGTCAAGTCAGTGCTCTTGTATGGCTCAGAGACTTGGCGCGTCACGAAAGGTATTTCCAATAAACTACAGACATTCATCAACAACTGCTTACGCTCGCTGCTGAAGATGAGATGGCCAGAAAAAATAAGCAACAAGGAACTCTGGGAACGAACCAACCAAGAACCTATCACGCAACAAATATGCAGGAAGAAGTGGAGATGGATTGGGCATGCACTGAGAAGGCCGACGGAGGACATCACGTGCCAGGTCCTCGAGTGGAATCCCCATGGGAAGCGGCGAGTTGGACGTCCCAGCTGAGGGTGACATGGAGGAGGTCGTGCGAGGAGGAAATGAGAGGTTGTGGGCTGTCATGGGACCAGGTTCAAAAGATCTCAGAGAACAGAGGTCACTGGAGACGTGCTACTGAAGCCCTATGTTCCACTAGGATCCCAAGGGACTAATAATAATAATATAATTGTTATTTACTGAGTTTTGATAACCTTATCAATATATCCCACCCACTGCCATCAACATCACATCTTTTCTGTCCACCATTTTTTTTATTGATGCTTCGAATGTGTTAGTAATGAGATATTTGGGTTGTCTAATTTATAAGATATGAGCTTCACTGGGAGACTGAGTATTTACATTAGTAATAGGTTAACTATGAGATTATGTGAATAGTCGCTCCATTGTGAGGGTTGCCATAGCAAATTGGGTATCTTTTTGGTGTATAAAAAAAAAATGTATGCTGAATACATCTGACCTCTAAAGTTACTCATGTTCCTTAATATTCATTGTCTAATTGAATAAGAGTTGCCAGCTTGCTTTATTGATGAATCTGGAAGCATGCTGACGGTTGACACTTCCCGACTGCCCACAACGTGGGAGTCTAGTTCTTCTTGAGGTATCTTATGAAAAAGAAGGTAAAGTTTGTCATTGCAAAGCTCAATGGACATCTACTTCAGGTCGGTCACATGGCTTTTTCGCAAGTTTGAGATTTTTGATTGAATCCAAGTCGTAGGCATCGGTGCGCCATAGGCGGGAATGTGCTTTTTTTTCGCCGACCTTTTCTAGTCCCTCTTTTCATAGGGTAGGGCAGCATCAACGTGCCACTGTTGGGTTATCCAAGCGAAACATTTTATAGCTGTCATACCGTTCAGTCAGCAGTGCGACTTCGTCCTTAGACCTCCATTCATAACATTGCAAATCATACTGTAATTGTAACTGCTTTTTGTTTAACCACTATTTAAAAAGACCTTTCTGGTATAGTGGGACCTCAAGAGAACAAGCCTTCTACCAAGATAATTTGTTGGGTCATCGTGGTATACAAACCCGACCACTACATCAAGGTAGCAGCTATCAGTGATGATGAATCACAAATCAGGTGGATAATACTTCTTGGAACGGAAAGATTTCTTGAATCATACTGTCACGTGGTGTTGCACCATCATCTTTCTGCCTTAGTGGTAAGAAATGTAAGTGAGAATCACTTATTTGAACAGTCCATTATCAGGTAGTATTCTTTGGGCTTTTCAACCTCTCTAGAATGCTGAAAAATCATGTTTGTATATAAGAGAATGGATTCTTGAAGAATAACCTTCAGGTTCTACCCTTGACGGTGACCAATCTTTTATTTACATATAGGCCCATGCGCGTTTTTTTGAAACTTTGAAGTAACACGTTCAATTGTGAATGGTTTCAGGGCTTCCTATGCGGATCCCAGAACTGTTGTGAAACATACTGAAAAATCCAAAGTTTAAACAGTCAGATAGTGTCATCATTCTCTGTGACTGGATGTCTAATACGACAACTTGCATTTTTCAACACTCTCATGGACGATGCAAGAACAAAGACATTTGCATTATAAAATGAGTTCATTTTATTTCATGGCCTTTCATCAGCTGTAAACAGCCTACAATTCAAATGAAGTATTAGTAGTGGTAATTATGGCATTACATACTTTAAATATTAAGAAATCATCCATCAAGATCAACCTAGGACCAGGCATTACTACGTAACGACCCAACTT